TTCTCCGCGATGAAATACTCAACACTCTCGCCCGCCCAACTTACACTGTTGGTCCCGCTCTCATACTTCTCCTCATCAAACAACCCCGCAATACTCTGTTCATTCCTAACCCCCTGCTTGGCACCACCACCGAAGCTCTCCAGACTAACCACCTTGCACCCCTGTTTGAGATCCAAAAACTTCTGTAACAGCAAATTATTCAGCGTCTCGCCAAACACCTTGTTGTTCACCAGCACGACATCCGCTCTTCTCAGCACCTCATCAATCTCCGGGGATTCCAAGAAATCCCCCTCGATAAGCTCGATGCGACCGAGCGTAATGTTCCAGAGTTTACTGCGCGCTTTGAGTTCGGCAGCTTGTTCCGATCCGAGGGAGGCGGCTAGTTTCATCTTCTCGATGCCCCAGGATTCGGCGCCGGTTTGGAGAGCGGATTGCAGGACGACGTTGCCTACACCGGAACCCAGATCAACAAACGTGTGTGTGCTGTTGAGCCCTGTTTGCGCAAAGATTTTGTGGACAAAAGGCGTCAGGAGTTCGCCATAGGTGGTTTCTTTTCCTTCGACTTTGCGCAGGCGGTGTGCGTGTGGGGAGACGATGCGGTTGTAGGATTGTGCTGTTATGCGCTTGACGAGGCTGAGGGGGATGGCGTGCATGTCGTCGAGGATACGTGGTATGGTGCCATTTGCATATTGGTCCTTGATCAACTTGTTGAATTTGGCGAGTTCAGCTTTGAAGAGTTCCGGGTCGTCTTTGGTTACGGCGCGCTTTAGGAGGCGGACGGTACCTAGGGCGTCGGAGGAGAGTTCGGCGGCGAGGTCGGGTGGGAGATAGTGCTGGATGATTTCTTCTATGCTGAAGTAGATGTCGTCTAGGGGGCTGTATTCCTCGTCTACTTCTTTGCGCGCTACGGCTTCGAATTTCTCGGGGCGTGATAGGCTGGGATATTGGAGTTCGACAGTGAACTTCTTCTCGCTACCGGGGAATGCGGATTTGTAGGCTTTTGCGACGTCGTCTTTTGTCATTTCGAAACCGTGTTTGAGTGTGCTCTTGCCCGACACGGCCTTCTTCTTTCTGAAGGCGGCGTTTTCCTGTGCCATCTTCAGCATGTCCGACGTGCCATTTGTGCCGTTTGCAACTCCATTTGATGTCCCGTTCGAAATCCCGTTCGCCTTGGCCTTTGTGTCTGCCTCCTCTATTCGTATACGTCTCTTCAAGTCCGGCTCGAGTGCGCGGTTCAGACTCATAGGCTCAATGCTATTACTCGCGGGCCGCGTTCTCCGTCGCTTGACGCCCAGCCGGTCACTGTCCTCATCATCGCTGGATTCATCGCTGCTTGCCCATTGCGGTGTATCGGTGCCTTTGCGCTTGCGAGTGTCGACACGCGACACGGAAACCGACTTGCGCGTGGGTTCCCGTGCGGCTGCTTGCGAGCGCGGGGTGGACTGGTATCGATTCGATGGCGGCCCTGATGCGCTGAGACTGCGTGTGCCGTTGCCTGGTCGAGTGTGTGGTGACGGTGAGGGGCTCGCTGTGGGGGCGGGTGCTTTCTTCACGAGGACAGTTCTCGTTTTGATCTTGGGCTTGCCGGGAGCAAACATGACGGCAGGAAGCGCTAGTTAAAGTTTGTAGGTGAAAGCAACGTGGTAGCGCAGAAGAAGATAGGCGAAGCAGCGGGCCGGTGCAGGTGAAGGAGTGTATGGCCGGCTGTGAAGAGAAGGACGTCGAAGATCAAAGGGAAGGCAGCAGGCCGGTCAGCCAATACGGAAGGCGTCGCACGCGCAATGGAGAAGATACGTGACCAGGCCGTCCTGTAGCCTGCACGCCACTGCACCTCTAACCGGGATCGTCTCGGTAATCCGTCTTGGCATCTGTCCCTGCTTCTACACTACCAACCTCATCTTACTGACCTACGCCAAGATTCTCTCCAAACCCATCGGATGCGCTGTGCTGGTCACCAGGGGGTCAATTTACTAGGATATTCATGTTGTGACATTCATTGTGTGTTGCTCACAGCTTGCCGTGGTCACGCCACGATGCTGCAGGTGGCTACTGCTGGAATATCCCAATGCAAGGGGTGCCATCACCGCCAGCTGACATCTGCTGAGATCCCATCACACACCTATTGCGTTCATTCAACACATTGACGCCTTGGTTCATGGAGACGATCGACCTCCAGCAACATGAATATAGGAACGCGGAACGTCAAGAACCGCCAGCTAAGCTTCTGTCTTCGTCGCAGGGCTTCACAGCGACCATATAGTTAAGGTAAAATCTTGCTCACACCAATCTTTCATAACAAGACTATCTAATTGCGCCATTGTTTATCGCATTGGTGTAAGTTTGCTTGCAACTTGCTGTTTTCTGTTAACATTGGGCAAAAGCCGAGTATCAAGAGAGTCGGAAACAATTGCCCACGCTGTGCGCACCATGACTGAGGACCTTGTGGTATGCGGAGACTGTCCTAATCTTGCCAAGCATCTCCCAGGAATCTTAATAGAGACTGACCTCGATTACGCCCCTGGCACAGGATATACAAGTCCAGGTAGCACATTCAGGTTGGGCTTGCTAGCGGATGCATCGATAGCAATTCGGCGAGAAGACAGTACGCTAGAGATATCAGAGCCAGCAGAATGCATACCCCCAACTCGTCTCGCGCCTCGAGCACGACGCCACGCACTAGATGAGAGCACAGAAGAGAGGGTCAAAGGCCTGCTCGGGGTCGCAACCGACTCCCGCGTCCCACACGGCCCAACGCATCAGCCATCTACTCAAAAACTTCTAAACACCTTACCCTCATCAATCCGCTCTCGGGCCTCCTCCCTCGACGAACCCCGCCCTCTCCCCTTTCGCTGGCAATTTCCAGTCGGTAAGCGCTACCGCATCGGCGACCCTGCTGCCTTTGCCGCGATGAAGGAACGGAATATCGAATGGTATGTAACAACGGGTGTGCTGGTGGAAGACTGCACTGGTCTAAGGTGGAATGCTGGTACCTACAACTACCTCTTATACTGGCACGTAGAAGGCATGCCGGCGCCTGGAGAGGAAGATGCGGGACAGAAGTGGTTGCAAATAGAACCGGACGTCGTGCGAGACTGGCAAAGGGAGAATTGGGAGGCCGATTTTGGGGAGGCGGTAATGGATGTGCAAGACGAGCCTGCAACTCCCATTGTAGAAGATCTCAACATAATGAACGAACCATCGTCGCCGCTTAACAAGGTAAGTAGTGTTTCGCTCAAGAGTGCGCTGCGTAGTCAGAACGGGCCGCCATCGCCTTCTCCGTCAACTCAATCGGAAACTGGTCCTGGGTCACCGAAAAGAGAGAAAAAGGTGAAGTTTCATCAGAAGAAAGGGAAGAGGACGGTACTATTGGAAGTCGACGATGAGGGTGTACCAGTGGAAGAACAAGGTAAGATTGTCGAGACGAAAGTGGATGAGACGGACGTCTTGTCCGATAATGAGGGGAGGTCGGCAAAGAATGGTTGGTGGCGGATTGAATAGGATGTTTGACGTAGGACTCATGTTCGATCCTTTTTTTTTGTTCAACCAGATGTTCTGTCCATGAATGCACGCCACGTCAAACCGGCCTCCACTTGGCTGGAGTGGCGATGAGAGGCGCGCTGTATACCGCAGGGATGATATTACCCCACCTGCCTAAACCAGAGAAACACTGTCTTGTCAGCACACACGCAGTGAGACAACACTGTGAGTTTCTCTGCAATAACAAGCTACAAAACCTGTCATTCCTTTCGCACGTCCATGTTACAGTCTTGATGAGAATTTCTGAGTTTAGTCTGTAGACCATCTTGATTTGCTACAAGACCAACATTTCTCATCACCACACCGCCAGTAAGCTTTCCTCGTTTCTATATTCCTAGGTCTTGAGAGGCTCCAGACTGATTGCAATAGGTATCATGGTATACTTCGACCAGCACATTGTCTTCCCTGCGGAAACTCGATCTTTCATCAACACGCTTACGTTAGTTCTCTTTATATTTGCGTTTGCCTTGATTTTTGTCGGTGCGATGATCTATCAGTTGACCATGGCTATTCGGGCGCAGAATGAGATCCTGGGAATGAGGAATCGTACTCAGGTGAGGAAGCTGGAAGGTGAAAAGGAGTAAAGTTATCAATAACGTGGTAGTGACTTTCCATGGCAAGATGAATCGATAACACATGAGGTTGCTATCCATTCACATATTGAAGTCTTTGCCAGGATGTTTATGCCATGCTTGGATCTCTGGCTTCACCTCCCCCAGCCTCGAGATCCTCCTTGATATCATCTTTAGTCCTTTCTGTGCTCAGTGTTCTTAAAGCTTGGATCAAGGAGAGAATGAGAGAACCAGGTCCTGATAACACAACAACAGCTGCGGGTGCAGTAAGCATGATGAGACCCAGTCGGAGATCATGCAGCATGCCAACAAGAAACGATGCTACCATCAACATCCATGCGACACCGAACAAGAACTTTGAATACCGAGGTTGTCCTATCACCGTGATTTCAGTCTTGCCCTTCTCCAACCGCTTGTTTAGATGCAGTGTTTTTAAATGAGACCATGCCCAAGACAAAAGGTAGACCAGCGCAGCAACGGTGCAAAACACCGTAGTGATACCGCAAAAATCATACACAATCCAGCGTAGATCTCTAGCTCGATTTTGCATACTCAAAAATGTACCAGCAAGCGAGAGCGGCAGGAAAAAGGCGGCACAGTAGGTCAAAGCCGATAGACTTGAAGCTTGCCGTTGCTGTGCGAACTGATTATATACTTCCAAACGTTTGTCGGCCAGAGTTTCTCGTCGCCTAAGGTTTGAGACCAGGAGCGAGCTTTCAATCTCAAGGCGACGAAGACTTTGTTCGTAGCTTGAGAGAGACTCACTAGCGATAGATTCCAGGGCCTGTGGGGTACTCATGTGGTTGATGTATCTTTGGATATCCTCGGATTTACGTATCATCGACTGAGTGAGTTCAAAACCATCGAGCCGCTTTTCAAGGTATCCCACAACGACAGGGGCATGAGTGGCTACAGGTAGTAGCTCTTGATCTCTCGAGACGAATTTTTCAAATACCATTATATCAGTTCTCAAGAGATCGATAAGCAAGAAACCGGGAAAATCCTTGGCATGGCGTATAGGCTCATTGAGTAATCCCTGGAACCGACAAGCAAATTGCCGTTGCCAAGCTGACGGTGGGATAGCAAAGTTGTCATGTGCAGTAGTCACCATCTTGCCATCCGATGTATATGCGTCTCGGAAATCGAACCAAACAGCCATGTACCGATTGTCTGCACCTCGGGTCAAATGGACCTGACTGCGCACAACAAGCTGATCAGCGTGTGGCTTTGATGGCATCGCAACATACTCGGGTAAGAGCATCTTTTGAACTCGGCCAGGTTGAATTGAAAGCCAGTCCAAAAGGCATCGTGGATCGTATGGCATAAGGAATTGTTCGGTGGTGCTAGGTATATTGTTGTACGGGAAGCGACGTACATCGCGTGTTACTTGTTCGATGTATCCTGCCGAAGCTTCCATCTTGCGACGTTGGAATATCGACTTCGCGTCTGTGAATGAGGCGCAGAGGAAGATTTGTGCAGTTTCTGGCTTCTGGACCTGTAAAGTAGCAGGCAGCGTGTCCAATAGTGGAAGGAACTTTGGAGGCTCGATGCCACGCAAATCGAGCTCGATCAGAAGACTGACGCTCTGAGGCAGATCGGCTAAGACATCCGTATGCTGTTGCTGGGGGTAGGACGGGTCGACCCAGCGTAACTTTTCCTCCAAAATCGGATCTCCCCAATATGTGTCCCCCATACTTGCGGTAACTGCCAAGAAATGAATTTGTACTACGACGAACGGTAGATGAGAGAACTGCAACGCGTAGCGCGAACATGTCCAGTTAATATAAGTAACGTCATCATGGGAAGCCTGCGCGATTAACGCTCCCCCAGCGGGGTAATGCTACCGTATCAGTTGGGGATAAGCACAAGGCTGAGAATGTCATGCTATCAACATAAGGGTAGTCTTGGGTGCGTCCATGACGGCAACCATCACAACAAAAAACAATGACGAGGTACAAAATTTGATGGGCAGATGAGGGGGAGAAGAAAAATCCACTTTGAACAATTTGCGTCCGGGAAGCCTCAAAAGACGTGTGCCTCGCTGCCTCTTACCGATCAGGTGAGCCTCGCCAATTCCCGATGAGCAAGAGCGACGAGCAGTCCTCGTATGTCCCAACGGCAGCCTCACCAGCCAGATACCCATCAATGTTTGACTGAGTCACTGTCTATCACGCATTAAACACCTACCATTAATCATACATCCAAGAAGGGAACCCCACAACCGCATCAACGCCGTCGATCCCGACTACGACTCCTCGAGCGACTCCTCCGTCTACGCCTCTCCCTATCATCACGCCCCCTATCCCTACTCCTCTCCCTACTCCTTTCGCGACTCCTCTCTCTAGGCTTACGATCGCGATCTCGCTCCTTGTCCTCAGCATCAGCACCAGAAGCAGAGGCACCACCAGGTTGGTAGCAATCACTCTCCAGTCTCCTACTGCCCCTATCCCTATCCCTATCTCTCCCTCCATCCCAGCGATCATAGTCCCTCGTCCGATACCCACGTCCACCACGATCCCGACTATCATCCCTCTTACGCGGAGGAGGACGACTGTCATCGCGCTTGCGGTCACGCTCACGGTCCCGACTATCGTCGCGTGGCTTCCTTGCACTACCGCCCGCAGCGCCCCCACCGCCAGGGACATAGCGATCGATATTCTCCGGACTCCTGGAGCGCGAGCGATTGCGGCGGCGCGCAGGTACAGGGCTCCTGGAGCGCTCCCGTCTTGCACCCCTCGAACGGGAGCGTTCCCGGTCTCTCCGCCGCTCGTCGCGAGCCGGCGAGGGACTGCGTGTGCCGTAGCGTGATTTACGACGTGAGGTGTGGGTTTCGCGTGAGCGGCTCCGACTGTCGCGACGCGAGAGTTTGTCGTCTCGGTCGTCGCGGCGGGACGGACGGTAAGAGTGTCTGTCGTCGTCGCGGCGGGAACGGCGGTCATCTTCATAGCGGGAAGAACGTCGGTCTCTGTCGAGGCGGCTGCTGCGCGAGTGCGACCGTGTTCTGCTGCGCTTTCTGGTGCTGCGTGCGATGCTGCGGGATCTTGAACGACCTCGCTTCGAGGGCAGCTCGGGCGGCTTGTCCCATCTGGCCTTGGCTGATTCCGCTGCTGATGGCGCGTCTGTCATGGTGACATCTTCGTCTTTGCTCGGTGACCGTTGCGAGGGTGAGGCGGGTTTGCTGTCGAGCCTGGCCAGTCGAGGATCACGAGGAACAATTGACTTGGGAGGTTGCGCCTTCCGCATAGGAGGTTCGAGAGATTCGGACCGCTCAAGGACAGGTCGCTGTCGTGATTTCTTCATTTGCTCGCTCTCCTGTAGTAGAAGTTGCAATGCCAAGTCGTCGTCCACCTTGATGTCTTTGATGTTTTCAGGCTTGATAGATGAACGGCGTTCGGGTGATCTGCTTCTTGTCCTGCTCCTTCGCCTGCTCCTGTCTCGTCCACGACGATCCCTATCGCGCTCGGGAGTCCTGCTACGACTACGGCCACGGCCACGGCCACCACGATGGCGCCCACCTCGATCTCGGTCAAGCTCCTCTTGTATGCGACGCTCTCGCTCGGCATCTTCTTCGCGGATCTTCTTGAGACGGGCCTCTCGGCTCTTCTCGTGTTCCTCTCGCTCCTTTTTGAGGCGCAGGCGCTCTTCTTCTCTCTCTTTGTCAATCCTCTCTCGGTCTTTGCGACGGCGCTCCTCGTCTTCCTTGTCGCGCTCTTCCCGCTCCTTGCGTCTCCGCTCCTTCTCCGCTTGTCGTTCTCTCTCACGGGCTTCGTCTTCTTCCTTCTCGCGGCGCTTGCGCTCTTCCCTCTTTGCCTTCTCCTCGCGCTCTCTCTCGCGCTCTGCCTCCAGCTCCTTCTCTCGTTTGGCCTCTCGCTTCTCTCTGCGAGCTTCTGCCTCTTGAGCCCACTCTTCTTCGCTCTTGCTACCTCGCTGTTCCTCCTCGGCGGCTGCTTCGGCACCAATCTCCTGAATGCGGTACTCGCGCATCTTTGGCACTCCATGCTCGTCTATTAATTTATCCAACAGAGTATTGACTGTGTTCATGATGTTGCCATAGATGTCGCTGCGCTCACCAGCGCCTTCTATAAGCGTGGTTGCCATTCGGGGATCTTTGGACAGTAGAGAGGGATTGCGGTCCGTTTCGCGATCGACGAGCTCCTTGAGCGCGGCTTGCAGTTCATCTTTGGCAGGCTAGAGCGTGATTGTCAGCCTGCGGTGTTAGGATGATAAATATCTTGCCACTCACCCCTGACACGTATTGCTTCATCAGGTCTCTGCGTATATCGTCGTATGCGCCCTTCTTGCGAAACATGTGCACGAGGCTGTCGATAGCTGATCGTTTCGCCTGCGAAAGCGGGAGCTCCGAGGGCCTCAATTTTTTGCGCATAGTCGCAGCGCCATCGCTCTCTGGTGCGCGCTTGCGGCTGACTTCCGCCATGGATGATTAGTCGTGGTTGCGATCAGCCGTTTTGGTGTCGTTTGTGTCGCGGCCAGGCGCAGGATGTCGGGGGTGGGAGAGGCTGACGAGCAGCGAATGACGTAGAGGCGCCAGGCTGCTACCCCAGCCGAAAATGTTTGCAAGGAATGAATGGTAGGACGAGAAGTGAAAAAGTGAGAGACAATATCAGGAGGGTCGCGAAATCGGCATTGTTGCGGAGGTGAGGTCGGCGGACGTTACTTCCGCATCCGCGTGGGTGGTTCGTTCTTGGCATTTGCGAGCTTGACAATGGAGCATCGCAAGCCATAATCCCGGTACAGCGGTGACAACGCGCCTCCACGACATCCGTCCCAATTGCTGCTGCTGCACGCGACGACTTTCTCACACCAATACAACTACCACCATCACCCCAATTCACCATGGTCCACAAGGTCCTCTTCTGGAGCGGGCTCGGTACGTCCCCAACAGCCTGCGCGTGCCCACCAAGGACTCTGCTGACGACCTTCACCAGGTGTTGCCGCCAGGCTATGGCAGCTGGGCATTGAGATGCGCCCCCTCTTCAACAAGGAGTCTCTCTGGGTCTACCCCATCTACGCCGGCGCTGGTGGCAGCTTCGGCTACTGGCTCACTGGTGTTGAGCAACGGCAATTCCGACTCCTGGCCGACCGACGAGACGCCCTACTCGAGAAGAGACAGCGAAGGAAGGAGCGTGAGGAGGCTACCGGTACCTCCTAAGGCGCTGTTGCCTGCAATGGCATGACGCGGGTGTGTGAGGGGTAGATGAAGCTGGGAGCTGGCAGCGGTATACACGTCTAGAGCGTCATCGCACTCATGCCGGGACCCGAGATATCATATGCTGCATTCAGTCTTCATGGTGGGCTAAGTTTGGGGGTGCCATATCCGTGGGGGCTGCATCTGTGCCGAGAGCAGCTTTCTACCAAATCTTGGCTGGTGACTCGATTTGTACATATCCCATTTGAAAATCAACCACAAATGCAAAAACATCATCGCTCAGCCAATGTCAAAACGTGCCTTGAATGCGAAATATTGCCTAGTCGAGTAACGCGCTACACTACCCTAACGGATTAGTGCATGACTCTTGCCTCTGCTATTCTGAGCTTGTGAAAGAACATCCATGTTAACGAACACTCTGTCAACATCAATATGACTTGATAAGACCGCCCCCCGAGACCCATGTGGTCAGAACTTGCTCCACATATCTTGTCATGTCTGCTGAGAACTTCCTTTCGCCTCATGGCGACAACTCAACCCCGGTCTCTCTAACGACGAACGGCACCCTCAGGACCAAAGGCATTGTTGTTTTCTCCGGCGGCAGCGCAGCCAACAATCTAGTCGATGTGTTCAAGAAAGTAAGAGAAGACAAAAGGTGCCCGCTGAGCTACGTCATTCCTATCAGTGATAATGGCGGAAGCTCGTCTGAGCTGATACGCGTTTTCGGAGGGCCAGGTACGCAACATTTGGTGCAAGAGTAGCACAACACTAACAGTGGCAGGTATCGGTGATGTTAGGAGTACGCGCATACCGAATAAAGTTTGAAGATTCATACTAATCCGCCTAGGTCGTCTCGTCCGTCTAATCCCGGACGACCCCGATCATGATGATAGCGAGAAAGCAGCCATCAAGACCTTCTTCAACCATAGATTACCCAAGGAACGTTCTTCGGCAAGAGAAGAGTGGTTGCAGATTGTAGAGGCTGAACATGCACTCTGGACGAATATTTCAACCGCGAAGAAAGAGCTAGTACGGTCGATACTGAACGTTGTCGCATACGAAATCGTCAAGCGTCGTCGACCTTCATCTAATTTTGACTTTTCAGGTGCAAGCATCGGTAATCTGTTTCTCACTGGGTATGTACAGTCGCTCATCTGAAGCTTTGTGTGTTCTTCCATTCATACACTGTCTCGCAATCCCTTATTGTGTTTCTCGCTCTGGCTATCGCAGACTCCCCTCTACCTTCTTATTATCATTGAAACCGTCGATAATTAACGTTTCTAGCGCTCGCCTGTTCACCGGCTCCTTCGAATCTGCCATCTACCTCCTCTCCAGCATATGTTCTGTCCCCAGCCACACGTCCGTTCTCCCCGCAATAAACACCAACTTCACTCACCACATATCCGTGAGCCTCACAAACGGCGACACCATCACCGGCCAAAACTCCATCTCCCACCCCTCTATCTCAACAGCACTAGTGCCCGGCTCAGACGCCCCAGCCATTGACGAAACAGAACAGCACGATCGAATCGAAGACGCCAATCTCCCCGGCTCTCTCCCCACCCTCCGGAAACAATACATCACCTTTTCCAAAGCCGACGAAGAGGAGCTACCAGCAAGAATAGAAAGGCTGTGGTACATCAACCCCTACGGCCAGGAAATCCGGCTCTCGGCCAATCCAACGGTGCTGAGTGCGCTGAATGATGCTCAAGCTGTTATATACAGCATCGGCTCGCTATACACGTCCATTATTCCTTCTTTGGTGCTCAAAGGGATTGGGGAGGCTGTTGGTAACCCAGCTATCCGCTATAAGATCCTGATTCTAAACTCGACAATCGATCGCGAGACGGGACCGTCGTCCGACCCATACTCCGCGCTTGATTTCATAGCCGCCATCGCAAAGGCATGTGAAGAGTCGAAGAATGTGTTTGGTCCCCTGGATAAGAGTCAGTATAAGAAGTACGTGACACACATCATTCATCTACAGGGGCCGGGGACTCCGGCGGTGGACCGAGATGAGCTTAAGAGCATTGGCATCGAGCCGATAAGGGTGTATGGGAAGAAACATGAAGGGGAGAATTTTGTGAGGTATGATGGGACGGCTTTGGTGCAGGCGCTAGAGGTTACGATGGGGAAGAGGGATCCGAGGATGCCTAGTCGACGGAACACTCTGGAGGGGCCGGCGAGATGATACTTGGACGGTGAAGTCAGTCCGATATCTCTTTTCCTACTATAACGCGATGAACAGCTTGTGGGTAGACAGCGGCTTTTGTCCATTGCCTCGAAGTCTATATACGTATACCTTGCTGTAAGCAATACTAATTGTACGCCTTACCTCGCTTAGTTAGCGGATGCATGTTCGTGCATCTAGCCCCTGTTGCAGCCTGCAAATGTGGGCTTTCTCTATACAAACCTCAGGCACTAGCGACCCCTAGATGGCATGACTCTTCTCGCGTATCTCATAAAGATGCGGTGCGTGCGATGTCTCTAGTTGGCCTCGTTACTTCTCGCCGCTTCCTTGCATGCCCACATTCAATGCTACATCACCCACAATGTCTCTTCCGAATGTCACCTCAGGCGAAGAAATCGCCGTGATGAATACCAGCGCATTCAAACGCCTCTACTGGCCCATCCTAGATAAAGAAGGCATATCAAACATTCACGTCGCCAACAAAGAGAACGATACGTCTTCGAGTCCCAGTGCTTCTTTTACAAACCACCCCGTCGCCCTCGAACCAGCAACCGTTACAAACGCTTCTAAAATCTTCGTAACAGCAGAATGTCTCGCTTGTAAAGAGGGCGAATGGAATGACGGTTTCGAAGGACAGCCAGAAGGTGTCGAGAGACTAGAAGACGCGTGGGACTATTTGGTCATCGAAACCGCTGACGGTAGCCCTGTACTCGTCCGCGATGTGGTCGCCCAAGTCCATACATGGGCTGCCAATCCTTTCATTGGGGATAAGATTCGCGAAGGCATGGTTTGGATGTACAACGCCTCGTTTGAGCGCGGTGAAGATGGATGGTGCTCAGTAGGCATTGGCAGCGAGGACGACTTACTTGAGGTGCCAGAAGGTACCAAGATATTCTTTGAGAGCTTTTTCGAACATGGCCCTGATCAGGATACTGGCGTACCCGTTGTCGCTATAGAGTTTTGGGTGGAAGGGTGGGAGGGGAAGAGCGCGGAATACTTTTGGAAATCGCGCGGTGACCCAGTGAAGCATATGTTGTAGGTATCTCGTTTCAGTTAGTTGTGTTGGTGCCTTAACGCCTTTGCTAAACGTGGTTTCAATGTCTCTTCTCAATCCCTGGAGAAGGCCGAAAGGCCTTCATACAAGACACTCAAGAACAACCAATTACACCTTAGCAACAATACAACCGATTTGCATCGAGCACCCGTTCCGATGGAGATGACTTGAATACTCTACTACAGCCGTAGTAATTCTTTCTTTCTAACGGACATCCTAAAAGGCTGTTCGATCCATCTGTAGCATGTTAACTCTATAATAGGGTACTACTGAGATCTCAACCTCTACATACCGTGGGGGCGAATATTCCGTCCCCATAACCACGAGAACTCCAAATCTTTCTAGTATACCGTTCATTGGCTCCTCCATGAACTTTGTAACGTCCACACCCACTTCTCTGATATCGGTTTCCTCGGCTTCCATCAACCGCACGAAACACAAAGCGTCCTTGATGCGCGTGCTGAAATACTGGAGGATGCGTTGAGAAAATAGGATAGCCTGCTCAACATTCGGATTCATACTACGCCACATGGCGTGATGTGCTATATCGATGTAAACACGGACTTTAAAGTCTCTGTTGAGGTCATCAAAGTGACCGGTAGCCTTGAGCTTGTCCATCGCATCTGTGAGCTCCTCAAATTCAAAGTCTGGCTGGCCTGCGTCCAAGACAATAATCAAGCCTGGAATTTTCTTGACTTTGGGATAAAGTCGCATGAATTGTTCAATGTCCTCGTAATACCAGGGCCGATATAGCATCTGCGGCACGTTCTCGTAGTACCAAAGTAGGCATTCTCGAGAGAATTGTTCGCAACACTGGTCTTTGACGAAATCGTCGATTGGTTTGGATCGTTTAGTCTCCTGGTCAAGGTCCAGGAGTGAGTATATTCGGTCGCGAAGTTCGCGTGGCAGACGATCACATATCTTGGTGCTGAGTTGGAGCGTATAACTGAATTTATTAGCATAAGTATTATGTCTGCGACCGACGTCAACACGTCAACGAAGGATGTATATGAACGGGTAGATGCGCACGGTTTGTCACTCTGTTCAGCCATGTGTATGATGGTAGAAGTGATGAGGGGACGGTGCGCTTACAGTTGCAGGACAAGACTTTAGTATTTAGGTAATACTGATGCCTAAATACTAATGTCGCAGGTTACTGCGGTGGTTAGGCGTGCCGAGACGGCTCAATATCCGCTCCACCCTGTCAGACACGATCGCACGGCAACTACCCCAAATCCAGCTGAACGTGTTTTGCCAAGCAGACGCCATTGGGACGGTCCGCAAGGCATGGCTTACGCTTACCTTAGTCGAGACCGTTGTCTCGTATGTATATATCGCCCAGCGCATCGCGCTTCCGAATCTCCAGCAGCAGTCCTTTAGCTTTCCGAATGGAAACAGTTGTCGCATGCGTTGAGTCGGTGCTCACTTATCTTGTCGGGCCGCCGCCACAGCGCCCGGTTACCCAGTGGACCATGCCGCCAAACAACGTCTACGGAGTACCGACACCAAGTGAAGCGAGTACAGCGCCGGATGATACAGAGACCTGGTACTGTGACTTTTGGGAGAAAGCTTACGCCGTTCCGCAAAAGGACAGAAACAACATCATCATCTACGAACCGAGAGAGACAGATATACCCGATCCAAGGGCCAGACCAGAATGGGCGAGCAAACGGTTGCGAAAGGCTTATGAGCTTCTTGGAGAAGGCCATCCAAGGATAGTGCGGTGGGTGCAGCGTAGAGCCAGTGTGGTGTTATCGCTGATGTAACGATAGGTGTACCAGCCCTTTAGATAGCGACGCTGGCAATGGGGTGATTGTTGAGAGACTCAATCCAGGGCCACACTGGGGTGATCTTCCCGTCATGACTACACCTGTACAAGAGACGCCTTCCAGAGAGGATAAGGTTATGCTGGCTTTGTACTATCGTTGGGCCTTGCAAGCACTGTCTGCCCTCAGTTTTTCCCACTCCCGCTCTGTGTATCTGACATTCTTCTCGTCTAGAAATGTATGGCTACGATCCGACTTTTCGCTTGCTATTACAGGTTTCATCAGCGTTGAAGGACCCGAGCTCGATGCCGATGCGCTGAGAGACGCTTGGAAGCAATCGAAGCGAGATGAGAGACAGGAGCGAGATTATCAGGCATTCGTTGCTGGTAGAACACAAGAGCCGGAGCCCTCTGATGAAGAGAGTAATGCAGATAGCGAAGAGATTCCAGAGGGGTTCTCCGAATCTTGGAGTGAAGGAGAATGGGCGGGGGATGGCAACGCTTTGTTCTACGATGATTATTTCAACATCACGTATCCTCGAGAAGGTGGATATCATCGCAAACCTTTGTGAGTAACTGCCACTTTTGGTCCGGTCGTACTTGAGATGTAACGTTTCGCTGACCATCGTATTGTGATAAGGTTTTACTGGGCTAGCTTTGTCTGGGAGCTCATGACTAACGGTCTCACAGCCGAAGCGCCTTGGAAACGTGACATAGACTGGAGTCCGTTCTCACCTGGAGGGCGCCCGACGGAAGAAGCGGCAGATTGGCGCGACCAGCTTCAAGTGTTAGAGCAGGCTAGGCTTGGAAGTGTGTTGCTCAAAGCCTGGAAGGGCGAATACGAAAGTGCGGAGCAAGCTGCCGAAGATATCAGAAAGATCGCCAGAGAAATAGGCATCAATGTCGTCAGCAGTACGGTGGAAGTAGGCGACGATTGGATGAAGCTGTTCAAGGATGAAGTTGATATTGGCGAGCCTTGGGAGAATATTTTCGAGCTGGATAAAGCGCAAAAGAAGTGGGGAACGCGAACGCTCAGATTCAAGCGGAAAACTACACATGTAAACTTGCCTGCGATAGAGCAGACTAATTTAGCAGGGCCATAGCTCACTCAGATGGGTTGATACGCACCAATTGGTACGCCATCTGGGCGGTCAGTATCAGTCTTTGGTGATCACGTTTTTGAGCGAGGATTATCCGTGTCTTTACCCTTGTAATGTCACATTGCTGTGTTGCGCATGGTTTTAATCAAAGAAAATAGCTAATAGTGAGCCGAAAGCCAACCATCTGCCGATGGTGTGCAGATGAGGCTCACGAAGGTCGTTGCGCAACATTCGATCACACGTCTGCCTGTTCAATGCATGTCGCAGTAGTAATCAGCCCGTTCAAAAACTTGTTCCGAATCATCAAGACACCCTCTCAGTCTTTCCTTATCGGATCATCCAATGTTAATCGTAAAAATGGCCACTGCCTGGCATCGTGTGTCCAAAGTGTAGATAAGATCGCCTAGTAATGTAACGCCATCATGACTCCTGCCGCTGCCTGATAGATGCACGAGCTTGATTGCTGGAGGATCGATCTAGCGGTCAAGAGAATGCTAAAAGCCAGTGGAAGGCTGCATCGCGAAGCGTGTGTAGACAAACCATCGTGTTCGGCCGTGTCTCAGGCATGCAAGTACCCGCGGCTCGTGCCAACGAGATTGCAACCCCAAGAAGTGCCGTGTGGTCCAGATCCTGATTTCTACGTGCCGATCACGATGTTTCTGCTCGATTTCGATGCTAAGTATTGTTTATCAGTCCATTCTTCCAGTCTTGAAACGGCGGCATGTTCATCCTGATTGGACTTGCACTACACGGGGCGTTGGCATGCTCGGTAGAGAAATATCCGGCTGGCTGAATGCTTGAAGTGATGCCTTGACGCTGGTAGTTAGAATCCTGAGGCGACTGGCACGAGCCGACGAGCCCGGGCCGAGCTGATCCTGAGATAGTTCTGGCAACAATGCATACGCCAGCATACGCATGTGGCCGGTGAGCGGATATCAGCACGGGAGAAAGAAATGTATAATTGACGCGGCTTCTTGCAGGCATTGTAGTCATTCTCGCCTATGGGAAATGATTCTGGTATTCGGTTGTGGTATGTCAACCCAGACATGCATAAGGCTGGCTGTCGCAAATGTCATTCAGCGGCCATTATGCATGTCATCCAGCCTGCGTCCGGTGTCTGTCGATAGGGCCTCCGGATTTGATATTGTCCGCGAGCTTCCGGCAAGAAGGCTATTGGTTGGATAGGAAGCTGGAGATTGGAGGGCGTGACGAGGTGCATGGAGGGGCGTCAAAGTCTAGTTGGAGGAGCGACAGCAATCCAATGTGCAGTAGTAGATCGACGCTGCGCGAACTTATGCTGAGCCGCGCTGCAGAGCGACCTCGAACTCATGCAGTCTAGAGAGGAGCTCAACCAATGTTAGTTGTAGAGGTGTGATGGCATTGCGATACATCGAGTGGCGAAGCGCGAAAATGTTTGACATGCACTGTGGTGATGCAAGCGGGGGGCTGAGTGAGATGAGTGAACTGATTGCAGACGCACAAGAAAGGTACGGACTACGCCTGTGACAGCGGGTACAAGTAATAGCGGTCGAAGGACTTCTGTGCAACCGGCGGGATCTCATTGCGTCTTGCGGCTGTCGGTTGGATGCATTGGCAGAGCGGGACCAAGGGCAAGCTGATAGACTGGACGTCAGCAGACATTCCTTTAGCGATCTTAAGCGACTGTCCAAGTAGATGGTCCTGATATTTTGTGTGCGCACCTTGGTGTGGTGGCTTGGTGTGGTCAGTTGCCTTCTTTTGGCTGAGTTGAAGCGGAAGGGTGTGGTGAACGGCGCATGGGCCAAAGGTGGGGTAATGACGCCTTGTTAGCGTCGACGCGTCAATGAGCCATGGCTTCTTCGCGCACTGACAACGTCTCCTCCACGACGACTTGATGTCTTCAGCTCGACAACGGGTTGGAAGAAAGAACAGTATTCGCGTCTGCAACTCGCGAATCGATCCCGAACGCTGCAGATGTAATGCAAGTGCGACCAATTACGAACACAACCACCACCATCAGGCTGTATGCGATAACAGATAGACAGCAGCTACGAGTCCTTCAATGCACAAGCGCGTCGTGCATATGCATGTTTAGCATGCTTAGTATTTGGTCCGGTCACTTTGCGGCTTAAAGACATATGTCAAGCAAAGCTATGCTGCATGTTCACGCAAAAGGGCGGGGCTGTTTGCCTGTTTCCCCTTCAGCCTGGTGGCTTAGACCGGTGAAAGCCCTGATATTCATACCATATTGGGGCTTTCGAGCGCCCTATGGGACGACCAATCATCTCTTGTTTCATGTATACCCTGGTATAGGGACTGGATATGGTTACTGCACTCCAAGAAGGACCCCTAACTCCGCTTGCATCAACGCGGTATCACTACCGCTGCGGGTATAGATCGAGAACGAGCATCTTCGAGTGTAATAGCCAGAATGCTCGACCTATATCTTCGGTCAAGGTCCTCCTGTTTCTGCCTTAGATTCTGAAGCTCGCCCTGTCATTCACTTCCCGTGTCTTAATCCTGCTACATTCCCTTTTCGATCACCAACAACGGGATTGTCTCTCATCTGATCACAGTCTGGCAATCACTTCCTCTTTGAGAAGTCACGCGCAATAGTCTCCTTGAACCGTACAATGGCGGCTCAACAGCAAGCGCAATACCAAGCTCAGGTACCTCAACACCAAACCGTTGGCCAACAGCGGCAAGTTCCGACTGGACAACAGCAACAGCAGGCCTTTGGACTGGCTCAGCAAAGGCCAGCGCAATCTCAGCAGTATCCTCTTAATCCATACGCCAACTACGACCCTCAATTAGCATCTTTCATCTTGGAGAAACCGAAACATGCTACTTCCTGGGAGGATGCCGAGCCCGAGAGGCAACACGTTGCACTTCAAGAGCTCCAGAGTGAGCTTCACAAGTTCCGTCGAAACCATGGCAACGTCAAGAAGAACATGAATGATATTCCCTCCCCTAATTGTCGCCGCATAATCAACGAGCTCGTCGAGGACCAGAACGTTGAACTTGCGAAGTACAATCGTTCGATTCAGTACAGGATCGCAAGCGTTGTCAACAAATGGCGATCAGTCAACCGTCGCGAACGTCAGCTCGTGCGTGTAGATATCATACTGGAGACCGAACCTTCCGGGTTTGAAGAGCCTATGCAAGCGAAGATCATGGTTCCAGGTGGCCCTCAAGATCCGAACAAGGTCAAGCAGGTCAATCCTCAGAACCAACATTTCCCGAACCAACCCAACCCTGGCCAGAACTTGGGCCAGCAACAGCAGCAAAGACCTACGCAGCAGCAGCATCATCATCAACAACAGCAACAGCAACAGCAGCCACATCCATCCCAGCAGCATCCAGGTCATGGCAACATCAACCAAGGGCCCATTCCTGGAAACCCACCTCCGCCTCCGCCGCCTCCAGGTGTGCCACACGATATGGGTGGGCCTCCACACCCACCCATGAATGGTGGAGGTCGACCCATTCCAGGGCCCATGCAACACCCACAGCCCCATCATCCCCCCAATGGTCAACATCCTATGCCTGGAACGTTTCCAGAACAATTGCCAATGCCACCGCATCATATGAGGCACAATCAAGGCCGGCCAATAGAGGTGCTGAATCCTAATCACCATCGACATCAGAAGCCAAGACGCAAGAATCATCGCGATACTTCCAGCTCGTCGTCTGATAGTGAATCTTCGTGGGAAGATGAGTCCGACTCCAGCTTCGTCAACATCGAGCACGATGATCATATCGATGCTGGTCGACGCGAACGTGGACGTCAGCGACACTTCAAGAAGCCGAAGAAGAGCCAGAAACATCGATCACTCAGCAAAGCTAGAGGTCTTAGTCGCAGTCGGAGCCGAAGTCGTGCACGTAGAAACAATGTCGACCCTTATTCTCCAAAAGCTACCCGCCGACGACGAGCCTCCGACCTAATTGATGATCCTCGCAATGGTAGGCTCAGTCCAGAGTCTTTCACTACCGAATCTTCTCGGGGCTCTCATAAGAAGATTCCAGGTCACATGCCACCTGTTCACATCCACTTGAACACCAACAACGTTGTGGAAGACCGTACACGCAACGGTAATGCTTCACCAGCTGACCTCTATAATGAGAAAAGGAAGTCAGGGAAGCAATACAGCGCACATGACATGGCTCGTGAGAGCTCCAGTTCATCGTTGGAACGTGGAAGTGGGACGGAGTCTATGAATACTACATCTGCTCATACAGCGGATGACGGTATCTGGGACAGGCCTATCCGTCGCCGCCCGTCCTTCAAGCATGTGCATAGTCGCCGTAAGTCGCCTTATAGAGGCAAACCACAAACTGTGTTCGATCAGCCGCACCCCAGTCACGTCTACGATGATGAAATCGACCACCGTCGGGCACAGAAGATCAGGTATCCCGACGAGCTCGTAGACGACTATCCACATCCCCGCAGCCCTCGCGTACACATGCGCGAGCCCGAATCATACTTCGATGACCATGCAGCGCATACTATCCGTCCAAACATGCACCACCGTCGCGCCACCATGGCCAACCTGCCTAACGCCCATAACCCCTTTGTGCAAACGCACTTCCCACCCAAACCACTCCGCGCCTCGTCGTACCTTTCGGATAAGCATGGATCAGGCTACAGCTTTCCTCAGCAACGGGCACTCACAGATCGAGACGAGCCAGATGAGCGGTTTGGACTAAGTGATATCCACGCGGCTCTTGAGCATATCCAAGAGAAGAAGGACATGAGATATTCGATGAGGCGGCCCAATATAATGGGTAGGAGGGACTCCGCGCTACAGTTTGAGGATGAGTGGAATACTAGAGTACCTTTAGGTGGTCGTCGTGGAGGTTACGAGAGGTACTAGGCGATGTGCATGCTCTCTTGTTTCGCTTCCCTTTCCAATACCCTTACCTTCTGTATCATTAAATCGCTCTTTTGGCGATGCAAGATAGCAGATGTGTCTCTTCGATTCGCCACATTGTTTACGCTTCTTTCGCACGGCACAGGGCCTCCTTGCGGTATGTTTCTCTAGGTTTTGGGCATGTTTCATCATCTTGTATCATACACTCGTCGCCGACTAAGATATATACATTTCGTGTCAAAATGATTCCAACTATTGCCTTTAATGAATCAAACCCACCCAGTCGCCAGAGTTTCTACTCGCTGGAAAAAAAGCCACGGGCAGCCTACTGCAGCTTCAACACCTTCAAGTATGATCTTGGGGTGCTATTAGGCGCAGAGTGTACGAGTCTAGAATGCATTGATTGGATGCCTTGCTGACCCTGGCATCAGCTTCGCGCCTCACCAACGTCTTGTGTGAGCGACTTGAAGTAGCCGGCCTTCCGATCGGCCTTTTTGTAACCGATGAGCATGATGATTGAGCTAGATTGGTTATTGCCTCGTATTATCGCACTGATTGTGGCACCGGAAGAACTCTTCGAAATCAATCGGTAGTCGCAAGGCTGAGACTTTCCAATCGCTCTTATCCTAGACCTACACCGCCTCAGCCTTCCTCGCCCTCTCCTAGGTTCGCAAAACTATGGATATAATCCCAGAGCCGTCGGAGGCTCACCCCGGGGGTCTATATGCTGATATAGTGGAGAGACGAAAGTCCGAGCTGATTGCAGCACCATGGGAAGGTTACATTGACGATTTGTCTGTTACTGGATTAAATCGGAGATTGGTTTGTCTGTAATACTTTCCATTCACGACTACACGAGCTTATCTTATAGATACTCGCAAGATATGTGTGAAGATCTCCATCACGGACAGCGCGCAGGTTCTTGCGACTCAAGAATTTACCACCACTCCTCAGAAGCGCGCGGGGAAAAAGAATGGTCTTTGAGTAGGGAGTCATCTATGTACGTTGTAGGACGTCGAATTGCTCAACGTGTGCTCACACAAGCGTAGGAAGATTGTGCCTACATCGACTTTCATGGTATATGTGTTCGAGACAGATCTGTCCAAATCACCTCCTGAGACACTGAAGTACAAATCTGGTCAAGAACGCATAGCCTTGTTAGATTTCGCACATAGAGGTCGAAGTAGTTATAACACTGTACAGCGCCGGCCCTTTACATGTGGTAGAGGAGACCGAGCAGTCCTGTAGCTTCGCGATATCCTTCACTATGCAAATTAACAACGAATTCAACCAGAAAGTGGCCTATCTCGAGGTAAAAGACTTGCGCAGTGGGCTCGTAGAACGGTCATTGTCTTGAGCGTCATCCTGAGATGGAAGCCATTAGATAGACTGTTCTATTTATCTCCACCGTCATTGCTTTCTCAGAATACAAAGAATGCCGTTCACTATACTGTGACTTTCGGTAGATCGCTAGCTGTATAGGTCGTCTCCGACAAGCGTTTCCTACATTCACCTAGTAGCATTAACAAGCCACAATCCGTTGAGACCGTGGTAGCTTCTCCATATGCGTTTATGGAGGGTAAAAGTGCGGAAACGTTATCTGAGAAAGTGAAGCCTAGATGCACCGATCTGCGCACAATCTCATGTACCAGAACCAGTATTGCGATAACGGTTGCAGGTTCCGCGGTGGATGAGGAAGAAGCACGTCATGCATGCGTGCCTCACATCGCTTGTACCTGCCAAGCCATCAGGGGCACCATGTGGGGTGACTCCACCGCAGACGCGCCTTCAACGTCCACTAAGACGCATTCAAATGCCATGTCCACCACAAAAACAACCTTTCGGCACAAGCATCACCTGCTCGCTTTTGCCTCTAGCCTTCGATTCCCGATGCAAAGACACCTTGCGCCGTCCGATAATGCACAATAGCGGTAAATGGGCTTAGTTAGGCGCCACTAGACCCCCGAGGTGCCCAAAAGTGCGCGCGCTCTGCCAGCCATGCACACGGTAGACACGAGAACACGAGCCCCCATCCGAAACACGTCTAGCCCCACGGAGATGAACGTGCCTTCTGGGCACGCTGACTGGGCGGCCATCATTGGGCGGGCGCCGGCAGAGTATTGGTATGCTTGTTCTTTACGAGATGCTATGCTTAGGGGCTGAGAGGGCCAGAACTGGCTGGGCAGGACAGGGCAAGTGGATGGGAGATAAAGACGCTGTTTTCTGTCGTTCATGATGCGCGCGCGTGTTGGGCTCTCTCGCATTCACTCAGCTCCTAGTCGGTCTTTACTCTGGATTTTTTCTTCGTCTTGTTAATATATCCTACTGTCTTACTGCTTGCTTGCACGTCTCAAAATCCGCGGACCATCAGTATTGAGTTTCACCTCTACCGTTACTAGTGTAAAACACCGGGTTAGGTACCCAGACCAGAAAGTAAAAGATGAAGGTGGTCGTTGCGTTGTTTGGCCTTGTAGCTCTTGCGCTTGCGCAAGAGACCTCGAGCTGTAAGTTTAAGTCAAGCAATAGTGCTGAAGGTTGTTTGGTGAATACAACTCTAATCAAGCGATCCGACATGTAGATACCGGCCCAATGTTCGACCCGGACACCGCGCCATTCTTCGGCCCAAGCACCATTGTCTTTCCATCAGTCACCGAGTCCGCTCCCGTACTCTCAAACCTACCCACTCTCACGGCGTCGAGGAGCTCAGGTATCATCTCCATGTCTAGCGCTATGGCCAACTCGACACTCTCGACTTCAACGCTATCGCGCAACTCTACAACCTCGCATTCCTCAACACACTCCTCTACGTCGGTTAGGACTTCGCGCACAGCGACACCTACGGCTGATGAGACTACAGCGAGTGCATCGGCCCCAGCTGAGACGGGTGCAGGTGTCGTGAATTACCCGGAGACATTCGGAGCTCTTGTGGGAGGCCTTGTAGCTGGATTAGCGATGCTGTAGCAGGTCGTGATAGTTTTGTGGTAAAGAACGGGAAGCTAAAAAGCAACACCTTAGTATAATAGTCGCCAAAAGGTCTAGCGATGTATAGGGCCAACATAATAGGGTATATTGTGATGTGCTCGTAGAGTTGACTTGAGCCTGTCTGTCAAAGTCATCTAACATACTTTTCCCTGGTCAAAACCAAACGCCTAAGAAACGCCGTCACAATGCAACTGAACTGAGCATCCGTTCCTTCTCGCTTGTTCCTTACTCCTCCATAGCTCCAACCTCGGTCACAGACTCGGTCGCCTTGGTGTAGTAGGCCTTGAGGTCAATCTTGAAGTCTGCCATGGCAACACCGAACATTTTCAGTAGCGCTGTTTGATGGCTGTTCATGACCTTGCCCTCTTCCGCGATGGTATACGGTACATCCAACACAATCTTGCCTTTATCGAGCCTCGTTGGCATGCCCCATTTCCTGATGGTGGTCTCCATGCTGTGCGGGAGCGGCACGTCCTCGTCTTCGGGAACCTCTCCACCTCTTGAGTGGACTACACCGGCGGGGACTGTGAAGGTCTGTGTAGCAACGATACCGGCGCGCGCAAAGTCGGTTTGCGAGTAGTTGGCAAAGTACTCGATCATCTCACTGGGGTCGCGGTTGGTGAAGAAGAGTCCAACATTGCCGTTGAGATGCTGGGTAAGCTCCGAGAGGTTGGTGAGGTGCTCTTCAGCTGGGGTGAGTCCAAGCGCTTTCGCCATTACTTTGGTCTTTCCGAAGAAGAATCTGCGCAATCGTTAACCATGCGCGCTTTAGTCGAAAGCCGTCTCATAGACATACCGGCTATCGGCGAACTCTTGACGAAGTTCCTTGAGGTACGAGTTGCGCATGTTCTCTACGGCGAAGACAAAGATGTGCTCAAAATTGTCCGCCGCTTCCTGGACATTGGCAAAGAGCTTCAAAGACAGCTCCTTGCCCTTCTTGTCCGTCTTGGTAAGATGTATGACCTTCGCGCGCTTTGACTTCGGCATTTTGGCGGTGCTGTGCAAGTGTTGTGGTTGGTTGAGGTTGCGCTCAGGAAAAAGTTCGAAGTTGCAGGTTCGCGACTTCCAAAAAAATGAGCGGGGAATTTTGGCGAACCACCGATTGGTGCAGCCGCGGCTGAACTCCGCTGTGGATCCTTCTCACATTCCCCAAAGTATAAGCATTTGGCACTCCGACCTCACCCCAGTTCGCTCGACATGATTTGCCGATGACAGAGACATGTTGGACTTTATGGATAGTGTGCAGCATGCATTCTACGAGGCATCCAGCTGGAACGTGGACAATTCCTATGGCGCACTGAACTCGTCGGCACGAGGTACGTCACTCCTGAGATGGCGTTCCGCACCCAATACTCACTGCACTTGACAGCATTGCTCGACTTTGACATACCCAGAGGTCTGCGCATGCAGATTTCCTCTCTAGCCGCCCCCAACTTTGCAACATCGTACACACTAGGCAGCGTAGGCGTAGTGGATGGCTCAGTGTCCTACCTGTACTCGTCGCTACCACTGCAGAAGGACTTCAGGACGTCCCATATTGACCTGCACAATGTCATACGAGGCTACAAGCATGTACAAGAGCTGCGGAGACCGGACGAGAAGTGGTGGTGGGAGGTTTGGCATGCTGGTCAAAGGGTAGACCGCAAGAGTGAGCTTGACGACACTATGTTTCTGTATCCCTGCTAATTTATGACAGATACTCTCTTGTATGGCCGCATATTCCTACCACAGCAGAGGCTCGAAGCCCTGTACTTGCGCCGCCTCGCCCCTACACGACAGCTCAGGATCGCCGCCGTCAGCGACTCCAATCTCAACAATGGCGGGACGATCCTGACACTCTTGCAAAACGACTTCGGCAAATACAGCACGGAATACATGTACAGCACAGACTCAGCGTTGATGGGCGTCCGGGGTCTCTACAACTTCGGTCCAGGCCCCAAAGATGCGTCCACAGAACCGCTCGCTGCAGAGCAAGTGGGTCCTGTGGATGGTCGCTTCAGTGCAGGCGCAGAGCTGTACTATGGCATACTGAACAAGAGCGGGGGTATCAGCACAGGGGTGAGGTTCGCCACCCTGCCCAACCATGCGGGCTTTCCGTATACCATGACGCTCACGCTCAATCCGTTGATGGGAAATCTTTCTTCCACTTATGCCGTCAAGGCTGGCCCCAACCTGGCCCTTTCCTCTCGCTTCGACTTCAATTTCTATTCGTATGAAAGCGAGCTGCAGCTCGGGTGCGAGCTTTGGCGTATTCGCAACACAACCGACGTAGACTGGGCGATCAAGAAGCTGCGTCCAGATTGGAAACGCTCAACAGTTTCTCCAGATGACGACGTCTCTGGAGTGCTCAAGGCTAGGGTCGATCAGGACTGGCGCATTGGGGTGTTGTGGGAGGGCAGGATTAAGGAGCTGCTATTCACGCTCGGTGCAAGTCTGGACCTGAAGAAGAGAGAGCAGATGGTCCGTTCTGTCGGTGTTGAGCTGCAGTACTCGTCATGAACGAAAACAGGCACAGACTGCGACATCTGAATCTCTAGACAGACAGACCATTCCTCTTTGCGCACGAAGGATCCCAAATTGGCCGAACTGACTCAACTGAATCAGACCTGATTACCACTACCGTCGACAGTGGGGGTTCTAGAAACACTTCTCCCGCACATGGTCAAAGCATGAAGGAATGGTTTCCAGAAGACGATCGCGTCAAACAGCGGGACTCAAACGAAAGACGGAAGGGCCTTCACGATACCCATGCGATGACGACCATGTGTTTTCTGAACACGACATACCACAGAAGCTAGGACTCGAGTAAGTAGCGAAGCGTGCATTATGGCGTAGTTTGGTCCCGAGTGGTGCAACGCTGAAACATAGTATGGGGATATTCGCTGCTCGTCACACTGCATCGGGCTGCTTGGACTTGTTTTCAATGCAGTAGCACGATTCACAATAATCTGTTACACATGGCATTCTTCAAGACAAAAGTTTGAGCATACAAGGACGGGTCTTCAGCTTCCGCAAGTTGAGTGTGGGAAGAGGTGTGCAGATCCGGTCGAGGCCGCGTTCGGAGCGGACCATATCAATATCGTTGGTGGATAATAAGTCAGTTTCCGGGTTGGTGGTTCTTGTCGCTCGCTTGCCGACGCGTCCACCATTCACACCGCCGTGCCTGGCGTAAGCCTTGCAATTAATCGTGCAGGGAAGCGATTGGTACTATAGATTGACAGCTGTAGGGCGACAAGACGGGCGACGAGCTAGCTAAGCTGGCTACTCTCGAGATCAACGAACTATTACGACTTTGCCAAAACTGAATAATTTCCCTTCCGTGGCTTTTTGACCGGGCGACGAGCGTGTCAGGATGGCCGCGATCAGGCGGCACGGGCACCGATGCTCGTCAGGATCTTTCTCATGCTCGGCTCACCCGAGCGATCCGCACGAGGCTCACTCGAGTAAGTGTTCACGATACTGAAATGGGCCGCGCTGTGCCGCACATTGTCAGCACCAAAATTATGGGCGCGTACGGCGAGGCACGCCAGGTACGACGGATGCGTGCCAGCCGCCTGCATTCACGCTTGCAGTCACGTTCACGCTTACCTTGACTTGATGCTCTGCTGTGCTTGTTCCGATGCTGTGGTGAGCAATGGCAGACTAAGGGCTTCTCAAACGCGACAACCGTCGCGCCTCATGCTGCTGTGTGGAGCGCGTTGTTTGGGTACCTGTCGGAACACGCTAAAGCGGACCGTGAGCACTACGTCGTCACGGTCTTTTCGAATAGCGAGCGAAGTTCATGCACGCTTTTTTCTGACAGGTATCGCGATGCGTGTTGTTGTATCGGCGAGCCTCGCGGCAAGGATTGCCCTATGGGCGCAAGTCTCCTGAGTCTTGGAACAGAGCCTGCCCTCAACCCCGGTCGTCACGTCTCTAGTGGCGCGACTCCGACGTACCTCGCAGCTCCTAGCAGACAGCCCCCTGATCGGAGCTATTGCGGGCAGCGCACGTTGCGGGCGGGCAGAAGACACTCGCACCAGAGGCGGCTGTCGTGGCTGTTGTGTAGAGCGGAGGAGCATCCGGTCAAAGTGCTGCGAGCATGGTTTGCTTCAGAACATAAGCGTTTTGGTGCGTCACCACTGGTCTCGCGCCTCCAGGGCTGGCGTTGAGCGTTGGGCTAAAACTGTCTCTGGGCGGAAACTTGGGCCACTAGGCGCTCTGCCCAGCCCACACTAGCCGGCGCGCACCTTCCCCCCGGCTTCAATGCCCCTTCCCTTAATCTCCCCTTTCTAAACCACGGTCGCTCATTTACATCCAAGGCCCAGCTCCTCTATCCGGATTCCCTATCGTCACCTTTGCTGTCGGTGTGGTAGAACTCACTTTCTCTTTCTCTGTCGACTTCTGCGAAGTGCCGCCACTCCTTTCGGCCTTTGCCCACATTCCTTTCTTCACAACCCTCCTTTAGGCTTTGTCCGTCCGCTCCCTAGCACCACCTCCTTCACTCTTTCTCGACTTGGATTCGCTCTCGGACGATCCATCTGCTCCCCGGTCAGCAGCTCCCTTCACACTTCACACGCGCCTGGACGGTGTCTCGAGTTACATACACACGTGGAATCATTTCCCGTGACGTTGAACTCTTACAAGCTTCGCATAGCTTTATCATCTTCACCCACCAGCATTGCTTGGACCATTACTTCACGACACTTTACGAATCTAGATAGATAGAGGTGTCAGCTCGATTGCTCCCTCTGTATCTTCTACCCCACTTCGAATCGAGTCAATTCCCGCGCTCCGATTACACCTACCACCCAGCATGCAGTCGAACGACGACGCAATGGTCTCGCCGACCCCATCCCCACCGGCAGGATCCTCGACACCGACGCAGGGCTCTGCCCCGCGCCGACCTCCACGTAAAAGCACCCTCACCCAGCAGCAGCGCAACCAGAAGAGACAGAGGGCTACCCAAGACCAACTGGTGACCCTTGAAGTGGAGTTCAACAAGAACCCCACACCCACTGCTGCTACTCGCGAAAGAATAGCCTCGGAAATCAACATGACCGAGCGCTCAGTCCAGATCTGGTTCCAGAACAGGTAGAATTACCGAGCAGCATGCTGACGCGCAGTACTGACAATCGCATAGACGTGCCAAGATCAAGAACATTGCCAAGAAGAGCATCGAGAACGGTGACGACTGCAACGACATCCCAGAGTCAATGCGACGATACCTCGCCTTACAGGCCATGGAGTCTGGCAAGTCAATTGGGACTAGCTTCCTAGGCCGAGCAGGCGGTATGCCATACGGCAGTGGCATGCTTCTCAACACAGACGCCAACAACTCCAAGGTTGTCATTCACCACTTTGCCTGCCGCTCCCTCAGCATCGGTAGCTGGAGAAGAGTCGGACAAAGCGCCATGGACCTTGTAGTCTTCTACTCGCCTGAGAAGTGCTGCATCACGTACTACATCAACAACGACTCTGCGGGCTACAAGATTGAATACCCATTCTCATACATCAAGAACATCTCACTAGAGAACGGTGACATGACCGCGAATGCCGAGGGTGCTTCGCAACGTCCAGGAGGGCTGATTGTTGAGCTCAATCGACCACCAAACTTTTTCATGGACTCATCAGGTTCGGGTGGATTCTTCCAGTGCGGCGACTTTACCGAGGACCAACAAGCGTCAAACATCATGTTGCACCACTTGGGTGGCCACCCGAAGGTGCTAAGCGGACAGTTGGCGAAACTTGTCTCACTGGAGTCGTTTCAGAACCGACACAACATGTACGACCCAAACACATTTGCCGTCTCGGCACCGGTCTCGCCCATCAACCACCGGCCCGCTTCCCAACCAAACCATCTTCAACACCCTCACCACATGGGTATGTTTCAGGAGACACATCTTGCGCCTGCTCCCTTTCAACCGCGTGGTCACAAGCGCCAGCGAAGTCGCTCGGTTCCTGTTGCGATGGACTTTTCGATGCTTCGCAACCCGATGCCATCATTCCTCATCCAACAAGAGCCGTCGCCGTACGTGCCTAATCCAGAGATCTTTGCACCACAACCACAAAGTGCAGGTCCCATTGGTCCTCACCTGAGTATCGACACTTCAGCAGGCTACGGCATGGACTACCGACAGTACCCCATGTCGGCCACAACGACCAATTCACCATCCGAGTACGGCACTCCTTCATTTTTCACGTCAGGTCCATCAAATGACAACATTCCTGCATCCAACTACGGCCAGTACAACATCCCACCTTATGTACATACACCAATGGGCCCGCCACCACATTCGGCGTCTCACCACTCACCCATGCCGGCGATGAGCCATCCCGACCCCATCATCGCTAACCAATCACCACCACTGGGCTCTTTCGGTCGCGACAACCACAATGACGTGTACCAAATGTCGCATGACAACGGCATGTCGGACGAGGCGCTGCAGATGACCGACATGTACGCTAAGCAAAATCTTAACATGCCCTTCCGGTCGCCGTTACTAGAGGACAATGGGGATGACCTTGACATGTCGAATCTGGTGTCGTTTGGCACGCTAGACCCATCCAGCCTGTCACCGGAGCATCACCAGATGCAATGAGCAGCTTGCATACTTAGTGTCTATTGTCAATTCTGCATTTGCTTGCTCTTATACCCGGTCGCGGATGCTTTTTTACGAGGAAGCTGAACAGACACCCTGCAACTTGAGACAGTCGCCGGGTTGCTCTCGCTCTCCATTTTTCGCGCTCATACTTAATGTGGTCGTTGTCATCTTCCCTCTCACATATTGGTTTCAAATCGTTGGACAGGTAGCGACTTGAGCTTCAGCACTGGGGTTTCCCTGTCGCTTGTAGGACGCACCCCCTTCTACTACTATTACCTCGCACCCCGGCAACTCATCTCTTCTTCGTAACGCACATCGAACGACCACACACCATACAGGGATTGGTTATTGATATTGGCGTTGCTAAGGGATTGGCTAGGGCTGGGATACATTTATACAAGAGAGAAATGGCGGACTGGTGGAACCTGCGCTTGGTTGGTGTTGGCAACAACAAGACGTTGGCAGGTCGTCTCTTATTTCTTGGTTTCTCGTTTGATCATTGTTCATTTCCTTTTCGTGTTGCGAGCTAGCCATTGTTTCATTTGTTGCGTGCGTCTCGGATGTTCGGAATTTTCTTGTCGGATCCCTTTTGGCAGGACGGAGAGAGAGAAAGAGAGGATTGCCACCTTTTGAGGAGATTCTTGTGCTGCGGGGGTTGTTGTGGATTACATAGCCGCTGTGCGTGCTTGACAGTTGTAGCCTTTCCAAGGGGATCTCCGGTAAAGAAAACTGTATCTTTCAAGATCAGTCAACAAATATACTACATTACTTGAACAAACCTGGGGATAGCATCCATCGTGATGAAGGCAGGCTAGTATTTGACTTTGGCAGCATGTATAGTCCAGAGTGTAAAGTCAAGCTAGAGCAGCTGCGGGGAAATGCCATGTTATACCAAAGTGAAATTACGATGGACAAACTGGTCTCGTATCCCGGGTTACGAGATGAAAGTCACATCGCAATTTGCCCAATTTTGCTACACTAACAGGCAGTCTACACAGCCCATTTGACAGCGCATTAATGAAGGTAGCTTTCGGGCCAACCCGTCGAGTCCTCCACAGGATCGGTCTGTCTGATTGCAAACTTGGGTCGGCCAATCACATGCCATCGCCTACGAAAAGGCTGTAACGTGTTATCTTACTGCTACACAGGCTCTTCCCACGGAGTGAAACTGTCACGGGGTGATTGCGGAATACACTTTGGGCAGCAGCAGCAGCACGAGTCTTGAGGTAGAAGGGAGTATGTGCTTATGTGCTACTAGCGCAGTAGTATGGCAGAGGTGAAGCTAGAAAAGGAAATAGTAATGCGATAAGATCGTCGACTATGCATGATGTGGTGTGGTGTGAGTGACTGCGACCGGTTACAAGCTACAAGGTTCTGCCAAGAACGCATGGGCGGGCGAGTAAGAAAAGCATGAGCTGACAGACTGACAGACTGACAGAGCATGCAGCGACCATGATTATGTCAGGCTCACTATTGAAATTTTGTTATGATTTGCTGTAGTCGATGACGTGCGGCTCTCCGACGCTTGATCGCACCGTTGCGGGAAAATCGAAGGCCAAGCTCTAGACTTGTGGCCTGACTTCTAGCCTTGCAAGGCTTTTTTCTTCGCAGCCCTCGGACGAGCAGCGGGTCGTGTGTTAGACCGGCAAGGCTTGCGATGCTCGGGATGTGGCAGCGATCAGCATCGTGTTCCCCTGACTTGAGGCCCGCTTGGGCGTGGTGCGGAACGGGCAGATGGGGCTGCTCATTTCGTCGGGCCAACCAAAGGCCGCCTGTCGTTTCGCGCAGCAGAGGTGCGAGAGAGCGAGAAGGACAAGGGATCCTCAATTCCCCCTTGCCTTGCCAACGGCGCTGATAAGTCGAGTTGCAAGCTCCAAGGCTTTTCTTCTCCTGCACCTACATCTTGTCGTTCATTACCGCCCGTCAATCCTCGCCTCTACGTCACGACAGACGGTGGCTTGGAAGCTTGGTGCTTGGTGCTTTGTAGCAAACGGCCGCGCCACTCAGGAACACGAAAAGCGTTGCGACGACCCAAGCATTCACGCTATACCGGCTTGACGAGCATCATATCAGCATCATCATCGTCGTCTTGCCCCGGGCCCTTGCTACTGTTTGCACATCACGTACGTCTTCCCGCTGCACCTTCCGCCCAATCCCGTTCCTTGGAGCTTGCTTGACCACCAAGCACGCTATCCGGCACTGCCGCCCCGGCCTTTGTCCACCGAAGACCGAGTGCATGAGCGCATCAGCACTCATAAGACTCAACCACACTTCCTCTCTTCTCCCAGCTCATGCACAGCCGTTGCTCGCCGACACCCTGCCAATCCTCCCTTGGAGTCGCCTGCTGATCCCTTTCTTGTCTAGCGTTTCCCACGGCCGACACTCGTGCATTCTTCACCGCCAGCAGCGACTCGACGTGACTGCGACGACTCGCTCACGACTCCTTCAATCCCCGTAATTTAATACCCATAGCGCCATTGGGGTGTCCCATTGCTGCAATGCCTGTTCGAAGCATCAACCCGTTCGCATCCACCGCCCCTGTTCCCCCCCTCGATCCCTCTAGCGAGAAGCGCGACTCTGCGCGTCGAGCATCCTTCGCAAAGGGCAACAAGTTCACATCGCTCTTCGGCGGCTCGCCCAGATCAAAGACGGACGCTGCTGTCCTGCGTGAAGCCTTTGTCGCACAGCAACAGGCCCTTCTCAACAACCCCTCGCCCTCGCAAATCTCCCTCCCGACCATAAACCTGACCACGGCGACTGGCGAGAAGATGCCCACCGAGCCCAAGACACTCTTCCAGCCGCCTTCGCCAGAAGAGCAGCGCCGCCTTGCCCGCGCACACGCACAGTTCGGTCCCCTCGGCTCTCAGAAGCACCGCTACCTGAGCAAGTTTGAGGGCGAGTTCGGCGACCCCATCGAGGACGAGCCGCCATATTATTTCCTTTTCACTACATACATCAGCTACTTAATCCTAATAGTATTCGGACATGTTCGCGACTTCTTCGGCAAGCGCTTCAGGAAGCAACACTACAGCCATTTGCAGGAGAAGGACGGATATGCGCCCCTCAACAGCGACTTTGACAACTTCTACACACGGCGGTTGAAGATGCGCATCAACGACTGCTTCTCCCGACCCACGACTGGCGTTCCGGGACGCTTCATTACCGTGCTTGATCGCAAGTCAGACGACGGAAACAACACCTTCAAGATGCTCGGCACCACGACTGAAACCCTCAACATGAGCTCCTACAACTACCTCGGATTCGCTCAATCAGAAGGCCCCTGTGCCGACGCCGCCGAAGCCACCATCCGCAAATACGGCATCTCCATGGCCAGCCCCCGTTCCGACAGCGGTACCTCGGACCTCACTGTCGAAGTCGAGGACCTCATCGCCAAGTTCGTCGGCAAGCCCGCCTCCATGGTCTTCTCAATGGGTTTCGTTACCAACGCCACCACTTTCCCCACCATTGTCGGAAAGGGCTGCCTCATGATCTCCGACGAGCTCAACCACTCTTCCATCCGCTTCGGTGCCCGTCTCTCCGGCGCCATGGTCACCATGTTCAAGCACAACGACATGCGCGATCTGGAACGCAAGCTCCGCGAAGCCATCTCCCAAGGCCAACCCCGCACCCACCGTCCCTGGAAAAAGATTCTTGTTGCTGTTGAGGGCCTGTACTCTATGGAAGGCACCATGTGCAATCTCCCTGGCATCATCTCTTTGAAGCACAAGTACAAGTTCAACCTCTTCGTCGACGAAGCGCACTCAGTTGGTGGTGTAGGCCCCCACGGACGTGGTGTATGCGATTACTTCGGCATTGACCCATCGGAAGTCGATATCCTCATGGGTACCCTGACAAAATCTTTCGGCGCAAACGGTGGTTACATCGCCGCTGAGAAGCCCATCATCGATAAACTGCGTACTTCCAACGCCGCTATGCTATTTGCAGAATCGCCTGCTCCTCCCGTGCTCATGCAGATTTCCTCGGCCCTTCGCATCATCGACGGATCCATTGTACCCGGCCAGGGCGAAGAGCGACTCCAGCGCCTGTGCTTCAACTCGAGGTATCTGCGTCTCGGCTTGAAGCGTCTCGGTTTCATCGTCTACGGCCACGATGACAGTCCCATTATCCCCGTTATGCTGTACAACCCAGCCAAGATGCCCGCCTTTTCTCACGAGATGCTCAAGCGCAAGATCTCGGTCGTTGTAGTCGGATACCCGGCTACGCCGCTTGTCAGCTCGAGAGCGAGGTTCTGTGTCTCGGCTGCGCATACAAAGGATGATTTGGATAGGATGCTGACGGCGTGCGATCAGGTGGGTGAGCTGCTGCAACTCAAGTTTTCGAGTGGTGTGGCGGGTGGATTGGAGCCTGAGGAGGTGGGCAATGGTATGGTGGTTGAGAAGAAGAAGGATGAGAAGGAGGAGATTAAGGCGCCGAGGTGGAAGATTGAAGATGTGCTCAAGAGGACTGTCGATGATGTGCAAGGGCAGTTGAGGTAGGGTTGTTTGACAACCTTTCATCCGTTACTGTCCTTGTTCATGTTGTCATGTTCTTTGTAGCATTCTTTCTTCTTTCTGGAGCATTTTGGCGCCGGCATCTTCTTCTTCTCTGTTACGATGTATCATATTCAATACCCTCGCTGTTTGTCCCTTTTTCAAACACCTATAAACTTTTTTAACGCTCTTGACATGTCCTGTTTTGGTTGTAACGTGATTGGCTTCTGTAAGACGTGGTTTGTTGGTGTTGTTGAGGCGGATGTGATACCAAAGTTACTAAGGCGTCGAAACACGCGGTCAAGTGTGTCTTGTCAAGTTGGTTTATACGTGAGATTTAGAGTGTAGTAGGTGGTAATTGTAATACTTTGATGAAGAGATGAGATGTAGTCGGGTAATTACAGATAGATCGGTTATATGGTGTCGTCGAACCTGTTATAGCACTATTGTTCGAGAGTAATTAATCTCAGTTCTCTAGAAACAAGCGGTAGTCTTTCTAATGATCATATGTTCTGGTATTTCCTTTACGTCGTTGACGGCATATTGATAGAATGGATCATCTTGTCCTCAGCTGCACCGAACCTTGATACTTCTTAATGATTCCGTCTATACGCTTCTTCATGACCTTGTCACGATAAGCCTCAGTATGCTCGTCATACTCCTCAGGATCACTTTCACCCGTTATATCATCGAGTAGTAGGGACCGCCAATCTTTCGCCTCGATCGAGTTGATTCTCTCCATGAACTCAGGACTGTTCTTCATATGTACTTCGATATTCAAATCATACGCCGGCTTCTTTTCGTGGTTGATGCTGGAAGAAGAACCTTGGACTGGATAGAATGTGCCGGTGATGCGGTGAACACCAACGTCTGCACTCGCCGTCATGGAGCCTAAGCCAGATGTCATGACTTTGCCAGGTTCGTATATGAGCGTCCCATCTGCTCTTCCACTTGGTCTTTTGCATTGGAGGGTCGGCAGGAGGGATTCACGGCACGCGACACACACTGCAATCGTGAAAAAGAACGTCAACGTGTCGCTCAAAAGACTGGCTCTCCTTTTGTCATGCCGGTTATGAAAGCATCTCCTTACTAAGTGGTACAGTTTATGCCGCTTTTGAGCAACGCGAACGCGAACACGAACACGAGTTAAGAATGCTATGTTAGATTCGCTGCCGCCCGAATCGATTCATCGAACAATCATTTGAGCAAAGACCGGAAATACTAAGTATGGATCAGTGCTGTCTCCGCTTCTCCAGGTTTGTATGACTTACGCGCAGTTGATCAAGACTATGTTCCGATTCTGCATGTGGCTCAGTCGATAGCAACAGCTCCGCAAGCTCCCTTTTTCGCTGCTGTGTCTCTATGACCCTCTACCTGGCATTAGCGAATAGCCTCAGCTACTTCAATACCGCTAACGTACCTCTTCGAAAGTATCTGCCATGACATAACGGATTGTGGTCACCTCTTTCGTCTGACCCATACGATGCACGCGCGCTAATGCCTGCTCTTCAACCGTAGGATTCCACTGAGGCTCCATGATGTAGGCGCGTGTTGCAGCAGTGATGTTTAGTCCGACCGCAGCACATGAAATGGTCATGAGGATGACGGAGATATCTAGATTTCGACGAAAGTTGTTCAATGCCACAGACCGATTGGTGGGCGTCGTGTTACCATCGTAGCGTGTAAAAGTGATTGAAGCCCGCGATAATCCTTTCTCGATGAGGTCCAGCGTTGACGACCAGAATGTGAAGACGATGCTACAAGATAAGTCAGCATGCGATGTGATCGAAGGCCGATCTGGTGCTGCAAGTCGGGTTTAGGATGATTGATAGAAGAACTAACCTTTTAGTTCCTGGCGTTTGTTTGAGCAGATCATTGACGAGTGCGTTGACCTTGGTAGGCAAGACTTCCTCCGAGTCAGAAGGCCACTCGACGGGAGATGATGCTCCGGAATCCATCGCCCCAGGCGCATGTGTGACAAGAGCAACAGGACATTGACGAACACAGCTACAGCGAGTCGACGGATTCCGCGCCATGCAACTCTCACAGGCGATGCTGAAGCAGGAGAATAGCCAAAGTCGGGTTGCGTAAAGGTTTGTACCGAAGCTGTTGTCGTATCTTGTACCATCCTGTATCTCGCCGCAACTTTTGCAACATACACCATTCGTCGCTGTGAGAGCGTTCAAAGCTCTCTGAGCTACATGTGTATTCCAAGTGTTGTTTTCGGCCAATGAAACTGGCTTTGGTGGTTTGCGATAAGTGCCGAGATCGCAGATCAAGCGAAGCTCGTTGATCTGCTGAATGATACTAGTGACATTGAACGCGGTGTTGGGGTTCGCGCCTAGCACCGCATCGATCGATCTCGCAACGTTATTCTCTGCTGTCGCGTAATGCTGTCGCTCTTCTTCGCTGAGCTGCAGCGTATGTCTCAGGTCGGTCCTTTCCGGCAACTGAACAGATCCCTTGCTGCGCCGCAGAAGAATGCACTGAAGAAGCCGCTTCAACCGAGAGATAGCAGTGTTGTTATCACCGGCCTTCCAGGGGTCGACAATGTCTTTGTTGAATGTCTCTCGATCGTCATATGGATGAACGCGTAGAAATTGGCATAATGTCGCAACGTCTCCTAGCCTATTTTGCAGTGGGGTGCCAGTCACAGCCCAACGCGCCTGAGCCTCAAGACTACATATAGCTTTGCATGTGTTACTTTGGTGGTTGCTGATGTAGTGTGCTGAGTTTCTTAGTGGCAATCCATGTAGCCTTCTTGGGCGCTTTTTTACGTACCTTCATCTAGAATGATGCGCCGCCAATTGATGGAAAATAGAGGTGACGATGCTGAAGACGAATGTTCCCTCCACTCCGTTTCCACTGTTTGATAAGTTGTCAAGACCAAACGGTGGGATTGAGCTTCCTCGATAGTCGTGATCCGACTGAGACCATGATGTCGTCTTATTCTCAGCAAAGTCACATCGCGTGAATGTCTAAAAGATCAGCCATTTGGTCGTACTCGCTGCGATCCGACTCACTGTTGTAGTTGTTCTTCCCACGTTTGCAAGACTTCTGCTGTTAGTGTGCTTGACATGAACACATATCTTGCGATGACTTACGAGATGGTGGGACAATAAGTAACGTCGTATCGACGTCGCGATGACTTGTGAAAGTTGGTCTGGTAAAAATCTCCCCCTCGTTCAACGAGTCAATGCCATGTGCGAGTAACGCAATCATGCTGAGAGACTTCCCTAGCCCCATCGTATCCGCCAGTATGCCACCCTTGAAGGAACGCGGCTGGTCTGTTTGCACATCACCAGTGATATTGTTGCGATAGCTGTTTGCTTACTGTCAGCCAAATCATGCTGTACGGGCGACTGCTCTTACAAAGCAGATGTGCTGCGTGTGAGCTTTGTCCACACATCGCAAGCTCCATCTTCGAGAGCCCATCCCATCTCCCGCTTGACCATGAAGAACAAGGCCTGTCGCTGATGCCTGATCTGAGTCAACAAGATGCGTCGTACGATGCGACTTCATAACTTACAGCAACAATTTGGTCTTCAACCAGCGGGGTGTTTCCACTTCACCTAGCGTTCTTGGGGCACTGAGAACATCCAGTGCATCTGTAATATGTAGATTTGTCACTACAACGTTAGTACTGGCTCTCTGTAACTCGAAAGTTGTACAGAAAGCACCTTCGTCCGAGGAAAGACGGTGAGGGTTGCAGTATGGTACGTCTCGATCACAACCCAGCGGATCCTGCAGATAGATCTCAGAGTCCTGGCAGAAGGCACCTATGTCTTCAGAAAGCCATTTAGGGCCATACAGAATGGCTGATATTCGTGTCAAACTCCCTTTCGGACGGGCACGCTTTCCGTGCATCAACTGTAAATCGACCAAAGGATCTTCGCAGACAGCGCGAAGTATCTCCGCACTTCTGTCATCGAATCGCCCAACACGACCCTCTTTACAGATCAATTGATTAGATGGTAAAAAGCCCAAGGATACGCAGCCAGTGAGGGAATCTGAGACGTGAGGTTGTACCTCGGCATGCAAATCCTTGATCTATCCCAAGTCAGCGACAGAGAATACCAAAACGCAAGGCTCAACTTACCATACCAAAGCAAACAACCGTACTCTCTTCGCCACCGGTGACAGTAACATCTGGCGTAGGTGCACCAGTGGTTTCAGGATTCAGTATCGCTGCTAGGGACTGTCCGGGATGTGCATCTGGATTGAGCAAATGCTCATCATTCCTCGAATGACTTGGTGACGATGCCTTCGTAGTGCGCGTTGATGGTTGGGTTAACGCCGAAGCATGCAAAGAAATGCACTGGTATTTTAGATTGGTTGAGTTGTCATAGTATCCGATGGATGTTTCTCTCAAATAGTCGAATCGTTCATAATGGACTGGAACGCTGTCTGCTACTGATGCTGGAGGTCTCCAGGTGCCTGGTAAGCTACACCCATGTGGATCGTGACCATGCTGGTAGCCTTCGATTCTAGAGGTAGAGGATTCGTTACTGAGCCGACGCCGTTTTGGAGCCCGTCGCCCCGAGTCATCGTGCGACATGATGTCTCACCTAGGTTGGGGGGCTGTGCCGTTGTAGGAGGGCTGCCGTTATCAGCCCAGGTACCGTAGTTGTGTATCTCGGCGAGTATGATGCAGTCGATGCACCCATCATGTGACAAGAAAAACGATGAGGCGAGTATACTATGAGGATTTAAACATGCCTGCAGTAAGCGAATGTCGTTGCGACGAGGAAGGCTGAGTGTGGCCATTGTGGCGGCTGTGCTGGCAGCTGCAGCACGCATTAGCTGTGCATGATGCGCAGCGGCTCTGCCTTGCGAGTCGCCAGGAGATTCGCGAGAAATCTGCTGAATTTACGGATCTGTATTCTATCATTGCGTTCTTCTTGTTTGTAGTTGACTACAACCCTCGCTTTATCGTCACTGTGTTTACGCGCCGCGATCGATGGCCACCGGAACGCGTTTGTGCGGGGCGCCAAAACCTAGCCTTACCACCACCTCGAAGCCTGCCACACTCACACCCCAGGCGCGCAGAACCTTCCAAGAGAGCTTCGACAGCTTCGAAAAGACAGTACAGCGATACTCACGCACTGATGATCGTGAGTTCAGCAACACTACACTGCGCGATGTGCGCAATGCTGCGAAAGAAGTTGAACGTCATCTTGCTGCGCGACAGTGCATGCGGAACATGAAGCGCTTGGAGCCGTTTCTGAATGGCCTTGAAGCGTACTCCAAAGTTATCGAGGTGCTCTGCAACGGCACACCTTTCTTAAGCTGGATATGGGTGAGTTGTGACACCAAGCTTTCTAGCATGGATTGTGTTGACGATTGATTTCTTGAAGGCACCTATCAAATTGATGATGCAGGTCAGAGCCCTTCGGCGTCCACGTCCGCGATGTTACTCACAAGGTCTAGCTCGCTACGGACCATATCAGCGCTTTTGAGAAGCTGTTAGCAGCCTACAGTCAGATCGCAGCGATGCTGCCTCGAGTCGATCGCCTAGGAACCGCTTTGCAAGATAAGCCTGACTTTCAGCAAGCACTTGCAGTGGTGTACAGTGATATTCTAACGTTCCATGAGCATGCATATAAGCTGTTCAGACGAAATGGTAATTTTCTTCGTCTACTATGCACACGTCCTACACTTCTGACTAGCCTCAGGCTGGATCTGTTTCTTCAAGTCATCTTGGGGCCAATTTGGGAGCAGATTTAATTGTATCCTGGATAGTCTTGCAAAACACGCCACATTGATCGACCAAGAAGCAAATGCATACCTCGTCTCAGAGACTATGCTGTGGCGCAGAGAAGCACTACAAGTTGTAGCAAAAACGGAGAAAGACCGGTCGACAGCGCAGCTTACAGCAGCGCTTTCTTGGCTGGGTCTTGAGACCGTTCCTCATTGTGGCCAGGCCTCCCAAGACAACCTGCTTGACAGACTCATCAAGGACTGCTGCGACGGTACAACTGACTGGATTTTGAAACATCAGCGTATGAGACAGTGGCTTCAAAATGGGAGGGGTGGTCCGATCTTGTGGTTGAAAGGCAAGCCTGGGTCTGGTCAGTCGCATCAAGAAACCTAGGTGTGTTTATCAAGGCGGGATTAACAAATCTAGGCAAAAGTACACTGTGCGCAAAGCTAGTGCACTTCCTTCGTGCACCTCGACAGTCGACAGTTCTGTTCTGCTTCTACAGCTACATCGTCAGCAGCACATACCCTGACCCCGTGGTGTTTATTCTCGCTACCTTGGTTTCCCAAGTCCTTCGGCAACGCACCGATCTTGCCACTTATGTCTACGAGGAGTTCGTCGCCGAGAGCCGTCCACTCTCTATTCGGAATCTCCAAGAACTTCTTTCGAATCTTCTCCCGCAGCTAGTGATGCCACGAATCCTAATCGATGGCATCGACGAGTGCATTAGGTACGACATGCATGGAAAGCCATCCGATCTCACTCCTGTCAAAGACGTCTTGGCTTCGATACTACAACTCGAAAGCCCAACGCAAGCTTGTGCGCCGACGAAGATCCTTGTTGTTAGTCGAGACATTCTAGAAGTGGTAGGAAAATTGTCGAAAAGACCGACGGTAGCACTAGACCAAGAAAGCGATGCGTTGACCGCTGATATAACTCGTTTCGCTACCAAGAGGCTGGAAACTATCCGGGAGAGATTCGAGAGCCTTCATGGTGTCGACGATATCCTCCAAGAGGTCAAGAAGAATGTAGTGTCAAGATCTCAGGGTATGTCTATATCTCGCTTCCCTGAACATGATGAGGTGCAAACGAATATGTTGCACTGATGATGTAGGAGATAGGCAAAGGAGCTAGACGAGACGTCCTTAGATCTTGGACAAGGTACTGACTTTGTCTAGGAATGTTCCTCTGGGTGCGGCTAGTATTGTTGCAGTTGGAGGACGACGCAGATAATCTCGATGACTTGGAGAATGCGGTTGCTAACATGCCTCATAGCTTGCATGACTTGTGAGTGGCTATCTGTACATCAATGGAGGCTCCTTACTGATCGTGTGCAGCTACGCCCGCATCGTACACAGAATCATGCTCTACTCACCCCAATCGCGAGAGCGAACCATCAACATACTGAAGTGGATGCTTTGTTCGAGGCGGCCGCTAAGAGTCGCAGAACTCCAGGATGCGGTCGTGTTTGCCTCGGGGGCCGTCTCGTTATCAGAGAGATCAAAACTCCCTGCAAGCATCGTTGACCGCTGCAGACCTCTGGTACAGACAGATGATAACGAGCAGATCTCTTTTGTTCACTTTACAGTTCAGGAGTGAGACTCTTCATTCGTTGTGACGAGAAATAGCTGACCGTATCAAGATACCTCACAAAGAGCGGTTTCATTTCGCTCCGGGATGCGGAGCGTTGTACTACCATTACTTGCCTAAATTACTTGACCTTCAGCCTCGAACTATCCAATCCCAACATCTCGGCCAGGCGAAAAGCAGTCGGAGTTGGTAAATGCTTGTACACTCTCCAGCCATACGTTCATGAGCATTGGCTTGACCATCTGCTCGCCTTTGCAGCAGAGGTTACGCAATCAAGAGGCCGACAGTTGGAAGCTTGCTTGGAGGTTCTTCTTTCAATCTATTCTCACCAGTATGTGCGGTATCTGGACCCGACGAACAGAGTGCAGCCAGACATTCTCGCCGCGCGAAATCTCGAGCCTCGCCTGAGATTCCTTGAGCATTACGAACATCATTACAAATTTCTCTGTGTCTATGTCAGTTACCGGCATGCTAAGCAAGTACATTTCGAGATGCCTGACGACTACAGTAAGCCGTTCCTAGAGCGGCACCGCCAAATGGCTGACATGTGCTCTTCAGATGAACCGTTGGATCCTACGCCCCTCAGTGTCGTCCAGTTCGAATACGCTAAGCAAGTAGATTTTTTACTCTCAGCAGATACGGTTCCAGGGCTCACACCAGAGGAACTCACTATGTTCAAATTGACCAATTGTCCATACGCCTTCGTGTGTCGCTTTCCTGGTTGTTCGGGCATGTTGGCAGGTTTCTCAACTCAAGATCTTCGTGCACAGCACGAAACGACGCACAAACCAACCTTCTTCTGCATGCATTCTGGGTGCACATACAAGCTTCCTTTCGCTTCTAGACAGAGCCTGGGGAGACATATCCGCACCTTCCACAACTCAGTGCCAGAAAGCGTACCCAAAAGCATCAGGCGTCGGCGAGCGACGCGTTCGAAGGATCGAGATGACCATGCTGGAATACCAAAGGCTGCGGGAGACCTCGAAGTCCACTCTCAAATTCCAAGTATGGTGGCAGAGCCTTGGACCTCAACTACAGCATCTTTACCTGACATACGGGAACTCGACAGACGGGAACCTGTCACCCTATTTGAAAGTGTAGAGAGATATCCTTTGAGCTCATTGCAAACCGCTACAGCGCCTGAATTTCACCCAGATATCGATGAAGAAGTGGACCCGCCCGACTCGGGTCCTACCAAGCCTTTCCTCCCCAAGCTTCCTGCTGGATGGATAGCGCAGTGGGATAACTCGTATGTTAAAGCCTCCTATATAATGCTTTGGCTGCCTCGCCTTTGCACGCCTTGCCTTGTAACACGAAACTAACATACACTCTAGGTCACAAAAGTATTATTGTATGTAGCCTAGTCGGCATAGTCACGCGATATCTACAACAACATTGCACATTCTAACCCTCCTCGACAGATGTCCAAATCACCACCGGCATCTCACAATGGGAACTACCCTCCTCGTACAAACACTATCGCCGAGCAGACGGTCAAATGAAAGAATACCCTTCCGGAAACGAGTACTCCTCAGACCCCCCCGCAGAGACTCAACGATTTCTTAACGCATCCAATCAGACGAGAACGCAGTCTGGGACCGTAGAGACGACAAGAAATGAAGGATTTGGAGGAGGTATGAAATTGTATCCATATCCTCCCTCTGCGGAGCATAATAGTGCTGCTGGCAACAATAAAGCTGCCGTGAATTCCTGGTTGGTCAATGAGAGTATCACACGTTCGCTATCAACATCTCCAGACGCTCGGCCAAAATTTCTAGAGGTTCCGGGATTACCTCCTTCGCGTGGGGATTTGGGGTCACCTCCTTCGTGGGGGATCCAATACAATACTCCCCTCTTCGGCCGGGACCGCCCGTACGACCCAGACCACCCGTACGACCCAGGCGAACCAGACGAAGACTATCCCTCCGGAGTACCGCGGGCAAAAGAGCCATTACCTCGTATGCTGCAGCTTACAGATGGAGATCAACACCGTCCAAGAGATGCCCCGAAACGTTTCCTTTCGGAAGATCTTCATTCAATGGTTGCACCTTCGGACCCAGCATCTCGCGGTGACGTATTTCTACGTGCCTCGGGGGGAAGCTTTTTTAGATAGAATGCCTACAGGCGTTCGCATGTATGATCAGACAACAAGCCTCACAAAGCCATATCACGGTTGATGTCTAATAGCGATAGCTATTGAAACTTAAATATTTTAGTCCTTGGTTCTGATAGTGACAGAGTTCACGGATGCCAGTTGTGACGCAAGTATGGAACAAACGGGCAAAGAAAAAGTACAAGATAGATCTCTACTATCATGTGTCCTTACTAAACACCAGCAATAGTCATCGATGTCCTCCTTTAACAAGCGAACTTGCTCCAAATCGCTGCTTTCCTCCCATCTTCGGTCGCCAGATTCTCACACTTGACAGCAGCACCTTTGCAGAAGAGGTCTGCAGTAAAAGGATAGGCAGGGTACCAGCATGTGCACAGCTTACTCAGTTTATCCGTATCGGTGATGGCAATAGGCGCCGACTGGACTTCATATGTCCTCGTTTGCTCCTCTTCAACAGAAGTTGCGATGCGCCAGTAGCTCGTCGCATTGTAATCAGCGCACGTAAGATCACCGAGGGACGTGTAATCCGTCAGCCACGGGAGGTGATCTGGTCGGTCATCAGGAGTGGTGTAGACGCCGTAGAGGCGGTCATTGAGTTTGAGGACGCCACCGCGTCTTTTCTGGACATCTGTATCGCACTGGCGTGGTAGTTAGTGCCTTGAATTGTAATCATTACTAGTCCTCGCGATAGTGTCTTACGCCTTTTATGATGTCCTTGTACGTCAGTTTGCAGTGCTCGACCTTGGCTTCGTCTGTACCTCCTTCGAAGAATTGCTTGGCACTTCGAGGTTGGATGAAAGTAGCCGGGTCAGCGACGGCGAAGAAGCCAAGATGCGCTTGAGCACTGACTTGCGTGAGGGGATACTCTCTGCTCGCGTTCCTGAAATGTGACGTGTCTCGAACGGTGGGTGGAATCGGAGTTGCGTAGTCCCAGTCCTTGATGATGTCTTCGCAGAACGTTGTGGCGAGATCGACTGCTTCGTTTCCGTTGAAGTCTTTGGCATAGGGGTGTAGGTTTGAATTTTGGCCGAAGCATGTACGGTTGTACGTTGTATCGATGTTCAATAGTTGGTCGTTGGTTGCTTCGCTGAAAGCATGAGCCCACACTTCCTCCTTGGTACTTGCAGAGTTTTCCGGCACGTTACGAACGTAGGGCACCCTGGTTATATCAGCTTTCCGATCCGGGTCGAGCGAAGTATCCGCATCAAAAACATTTCGAGTAGGTTGTAGTCGTGACGCTTGGTAGTTCGGTTGGAAGAGCAGTGGTATTTGGAATGCCGTGTTCACTTGTATTGGCGCGTCATCTCCTTCGTTGTTGGCAAACGCTAGGTCAGGAAAGTATGTGCCGTCAGTTATCCTAGGGAAGAAAGGGAAATTGTTGTTGATGTATGGCGCCACGTATTTGGACAGCGCAAAGAGAGCATATCCGTCAGCTAGAGAGATCAGTCGTGAAACACGGATGCGTAATCTTCGAATGACTTGCCATTTACTGAAGCCCAGTCATTTGCGTTATCATCGACTCGAGCTAGAACCTTGGCGCAAGCTATTCCGTAGCATGCAGACCATTTGTCGGTAACTCCGCTTGGCAAATTCTGCCGTACAAAGATCCAAAGGTCCGAGATAGGTCGATGGAGGTCATCCGACTGGGGCAGATAATGGAATAGCGTACGAAGTAAGGTAGTGGCTAATCACCGTTAGCGGGAGCGCTGTAGAACAACCCTTCTCCCGAAGGGCTTACCCTGGTTGTCATGGAAGTATCCGAGGGTGTATCGAGCTTTAAAATCCGTGGGATGATTGATACCCATCTGTACCCTATGATCCAATGGAGGAAGCGCAAAGAAGTCGCGACAAAACATAAGGTGTGGCGAGTAAAGTTGCGACTCATTACTACGCCTTTGTGCATCGCCTTTCTCCTCGGCAATACCCCCATACATGGCGAAGTCATCGCAACGAGTCGAATTGCCAAAGTTGCAAGTGGCCGAGATTGACCACTGACCATCGTTGACTTGTTCGAAAGCATTTTTGATAGCTGTCGTATTATCAACAGCTCTTTGTCCGAAAATGTGCCAAAATGCAGGATCGTCAATATAGTCTATCGTGCTCTGGGTGGTGAGTTTGGTCATCTGCATAGCATCTCCAAAGGCCTGGTAAATAAGGTCTTTATGCTCAGGATTGCATGAGTCATCTGGGTAGATGATTGGCGACTCTGAGGACTGGGCAATTGTCTGCGCGGAGGTCTGGGGAACTGCTGAAGAGGCAACCTGTGAGGAATTTTGAGCGTCGCCCTCGGCAATCAGAGAGATTATCACTACGATGATGAGGATGAGGCCACTCCGTGGAACCGCAGACATGCTGAGACTATGAACGTCTCTCAAGGTATTGAACATGTTAGAAAGCAAGCAGTAGAGAAGAAAGCGGCTGTAGACTGATATGGCACCGTGAATGGAAAGCGAATATAACAAGGGTATGAGGGGCAGCTTTTGCTGTTCGATTTTGGAGTAACAGTGTCTATCGAAGAGATGTTGTAGGAGGAAGAAAAGAATTCGTAATGCGAGGTCTTGTACTCAACGATGACTCTAGCATAGGACGTGGCAAGATACTTTCCGTCATATTGGAGTCATTTTGACTGGACAGAGGTTTCAAGGTGACTGTTCGTCGCTTCAACGTTGATTCACAACACCCATCCGTCCCAAGTCGCGTAGATCTGCTTGAGACGGGCATGTTCATCCGGACCGGTAAAGATTGAATCGATTGCGCGCTCGCAAAGTGATCTGACGTCGTTACGGCTCAAGTCAAAGTGCTGCGCTGCAAGATAGTACTCTTGCGAGAGCGGACTGCAAAAAACACCAACATCGTCAGTCTGCACTGCGTCAGTCGTCACCAGGACGTTACACTTTCCGGAGTAGCACATACACTCAGTGCGACCGGAACACTGGATTGCCGCCACATTCCAAAGTGGTGGTCGGAGTAAGTACCCGTGATCATCTTAGCATGCACATTACAGCTGAGGCACAGCTCAACGCCGATATCGTGCTGTTGGATAGTCTTTCGAAACTCTTCTTTGACATGTATGACGTGACCTATTCTGTCGGGCTGCCATGATAGAAGTGTCTGCAGCTCCAAGTCTGAAGACGAAGGCTCGCTCTCGGCAAAGTGCAGCGTGATCTTCAGTCCTGCAGCCTTTGCTCGCGCGAAGCTGTCGCCGAAAATGCGCACGTCACCTTTCGCCGGGTCGCCGCAGAGGTCAACACCGACGACTCCGGCAGACCGATACTTGATGGCGAGATCAATCACCTCTTCTGCCTCAGCGACGGTGTTGCGGCGGTCGATGGACAGTATGAGGAAAGCCCGCATCGTGTTGTTAGCATCGTCGTTGTGGGCCTTTAGTATATCCAAGATGGTCCTGACGTAATCTTCCCTGGTTACATTCTCCGCAGGAATTGCTCTTGGGGTTGTTCGAAGCTCAACATAGACGACACCGTCATTTTGGAAGTCTTGCAGCACAGCTTTGGTTGAATACCTGAGTCGATCAACCACAGCTCGCCATAGACGTTTGGTCTACACGTACTGGACACTGGGCAAATCGCTGCAAAGGCGGTATATGTACGAGGAAAACAGCGGGAAGAACCTAACGTAGCTGTCAGACGTTTGCTAATGTCTTCCACGTTGGTGGGCCGGTGGTTCGAGACGACAAGCGGGATGCGACCAGTCACCATTTGTCAGGAGAATATTGGCTACGACCTCGCTTCCAGGGTAAAGTGCTGGATCGTCTTCCCCAACGGCACGCCGGTGTTACAGGGACAATTCCGGCAAACAGGCAAGGCAGATCGAATCAAGCTAGGCCTACGTTTTGATATCATAGTCGACCTTTCCCGTGGGAATAGCTACCAGAGGATCTTGCAGGTCGAAGGCAGGATGGCGCGCTTTCTTTGTCTGCCATATGTCGTGTAGGCACTGGCGACTGATGCTGCCGGTCAAGTGGGCATGAAGCTGAGTCGCGGGATTAGCAATGCAGCGAACGGAAGTCTGAGCGTCGCTTGGCGCTTTGACTCGGAACCAAGGAGGCTGGAGCAGTACCTCAATCTTAGGCAGTCCCTTGGTGAAGAGGGCGTCGATGGGCAGGCGTGCAGTTGCGCTGGGCTGTGCAGCCATGATGGAGGTGCACAGCGGTATTGGTGGCGTGGGCGACGGTTCTCGAAGCGATAATGGAACGATGGATAGACTTTTGGGCGGGCCAGGACATGAGGCATTCGCGGTATAGCGGCGGACGCGGGTCATTGGGGCTCCTCGCCGCTGATTCGTCCGTGGCTCGGCAGCCCCAAAGGAGGAGGTGCGCTGCAGGAGATTGCAGAACGCGCCTTCTTCGTCAGGAGGAGCAACGACAGCATTCGCCGGCGTCGCGTTCCATGGTGCAGACATTGACGTGGCTACGAAGCATCCCAGGCGTTTAGCATTCTATTCACATTGTAATATTCCAAAAGTATACGTCACGCGCTTTTCGTGTGTGTGCGTGTTGCATTCTCTGCCGGAGCAAGGCCCTTGATCTCCAGCGCTCGGCTAGACCAAGCTAAGCTCACCCCGGGCCGCTCCTGTACCTCACTCATCTCCAGAGCACTCGCAAGCAACCCTTCCATCCTCAAGCCCCCACGACCGTTTGCCTGCCGCTGTTCTCGTTGCGCAAGCAATTGCATCTGCTCTGCGCGCCTTCCTCGCCATTGCTGCTTGTCGGTCGCTTCTCCCGCCGTTTCCTCGTCCACCCGGCTGTCGCGCTCCCTAGAAGGCCCCTGGATTCGCCTGCCTCGCCGTCTCGCGCCTCTCGCGACCTGCACCTCACCACCCGGCACCACCTGGATACATGGCCGATATGAACCAAGAAACCATCCAGCAGAAGATCCAGCTCGCCCGACGCGACGCTGAGGCGCTCAAGGATAGGATAAAGCGCAAGAAGGATGAGCTGGCTGACACCACCCGTATGTTCTTTTTCTGCCGAGCTGGCACACCGCAACCACACCCCGAAGACGGCTAACACGATGCGCAGTTCGCGATGTCGCCAGAGACCGCGTCGAGGCTCTGCCGCGCCTCACCATGAAGACGAAGCGCACCCTCAAGGGCCATCTTGCCAAGATCTACGCCATGCACTGGTCGACCGACCGCAGACATCTCGTTTCCGCTTCGCAGGACGGAAAGCTCATCATCTGGGACGCTTACACGACGAACAAGGTCCACGCCATTCCCCTGCGCTCATCCTGGGTCATGACGTGCGCCTACTCGCCGTCCGGCAACTACGTGGCCTGCGGTGGTCTCGACAACATTTGCTCCATCTACAACCTGTCGGCTCGGGAAGGCCCAACACGTGTGGCGCGCGAGCTGTCTGGTCACTCGGGCTACCTCAGTTGCTGCAGATTCATCTCCGACAAGCGCATCCTCACATCGTCGGGTGACATGACCTGTGTGCTATGGGATCTCGAGACCGGCTCCAAGGTACACGAATTCGCCGACCATCTCGGCGACGTAATGAGCTTGAGCATCAACCCGCTCGACCACAACCAATTCGTCTCTGGTGCTTGCGACGCTTTCGCCAAGCTGTGGGACATCAGACAGCAGAAGTGCGTGCAGACCTTTGCCGCGCACGACTCCGACATCAATGCTATCCAATTCTTCCCCAACGGTAACGCCTTCGGTACCGGTTCCGACGATGCCTCTTGCCGTCTGTTCGACATCCGCGCCGACCGCGAGCTTGCGTCATACCAGGTACGCACAGTGACATCCTGGACACGTCAGATATCTGGATTACTAATGTGTGCGACGATAGATTCCCGAGCCAGTGTGTGGTATTACATCTGTGGCCTTTTCCGTTTCCGGACGACTGCTATTCGCAGGTTACGACGACTTTGAGTGCAAGGTAAGCATAGAGCGCCATGTCTACTTGTTCCTCAAGCTAACAGTATCCAGGTCTGGGACGTACTTCGCGGCGAACGCGTAGGCACATTGCAAGGACACGACAACCGCGTCAGCTGTCTCGGCGTCAGCAACGACGCGCTTAGTCTGTGCACTGGTTCATGGGACTCGATGGTACGTGGTGATTTCCTCTCTCTTCTTCTGATCTATACCGTGGATTTTTCCGCTAGAATTCTGGTTTTCATATTGGTGTTTGAAAACAATATGGATACACTCTACCGCGGCCTTTGTTTCTATCCTCCCACACTGCATTACACAGACGGCTGACTTTTCAATAGCTGCGCATCTGGGCATAAGTGCCGTCAGCCTTACTCTTACAACTACGACGCCATGTAACGACGCCAATCCGAACGTGTGCGCCCTATCACTCCCTGTAATATTGGCAAACTACACCTACACCTACGACAGCGATCTCCCAAACCTCCTGGCAATACCATACCCCTTGCTGCATCTCATCAGTCAGGAGAGAAATCGGAGCGCTGCCTCACACTTTTTAAAGAATATAATACTCACACCTCACACACATGTTCTGTTGGATGTTGGAAAGGGACGGCATCGATGTGGCTACGGGTTGCGGTTGCCTACTGATGTCTCAGGCGCCCCGGTCAAATGGTCTTTATTTTGTTGCGGCTTTTTCCTTTCCATACCACTTGATCTATATTCCTCTTCTTGTGTCTTTCTAACCACGAAAGCCTCTTGTTTTCTCTCTTTTTATATATCATGTCCGGGCTGGTGACGGGGGAATGTAACTGCAGTAGCAAGCACGATATCTCACTTCCAAACCCGTGTGTCCCATTTCACATGTGTGTACTTGTGTATTTGTGTGTTTTTCCCTTTGCGTTGTTATACTTGCTTGAAAAAGCAGACCGGTTTTCTTCTCTCTCTTGAACCTGCGGGATGGACATGGATGGGGGTGATGTTATGCAATATTGAGGCGAGGAAGCTTTACATGTGCATGTTGGATGGAAGACGGGTAATGGCTTTTGGCGCTTTGGGGGTTGGGAGATTCTATGTGTATGATTTCGATGGGACTTGTGCGAGGTTGAGATGGGGGGGTTTTTGAAGGGTAGTCGGCGAGTTTGTCTCTATATCAATATAACCTTTCCTTTTGTAAAGTTTACGAAGCGGACAAGGTTGTTGTGGTGTGATGTTGTGACATGGTGGTTCTACGAATGATATGGTTTGACGAGTGCGTCAACGGTCCTTGCCTGTGTGTGCGCTGGACGATCTCAGCAGGTGCTGTCACGACTGTGTCGGACGTTTACCAGACACGTCTTTTTTTTTTTAAGTTTTGTGGATGAGAACGGCTTTTGCATGACATGATTGTGACGACTTGTTATTGTCCTTTGTTTTCCTCTTTTCCACTAGGATTAGTCCCAAGGAACCTTGCAACGTCTCGAGCGTTTGAGCGCTGGCCAGGTCGGTTCCAGCAGAGGAGGACGCTGTGTCCAGATCAGCTGAGGGAAGAAGGAAATACGCCTCAACGTTCCGGACTTGTAGACCTGGTTGTGACTGTCACTGTTGGGTGTGTCGCATGTTGATATGTTTTGCGATGTGTTGAGTGAATGGGGGAGGTGGGGAGGTGGTGAAGTCTCATGTCTGCTATGGGTGTAGATGGAGTTGGTGTGGAGGTATGTAGTGGTGATGCCTATTCACCTTGTGCACAGCTTTCACTCCGAAACTGGAACCAATTGTGGGACGAAGACTACCTAGATACACTTTGGACATCTCGGGCGCTCCGATCAGGTCATTCTGGCAAAGAAAGAATTACGCTCAACGTTCTAAAGTTCTAGGTCTTGTCGCGATCGTTCCAATCTCATGTGGCGCTTTGTGCAGTAACAATTGGTGCAGTCAATTGTGGCTCGGGTTAAGCGGGCGGTAGGAATGCCATCTCCACGTATATCTATCTATTCACTCCTTTCGAGCCTAACGAACCCAGTAAGCCAATGTAGAATGAGAACACGGGACTTCCCCCCAATGCTGCGCTTCTAGACCTCGTCGCAACCATCATGCCGCGCTCTCAGCGGTAACACTTTGTTTTGGCGAATCCAGCCCAGGCCCGCAGTATTCTGTGCGAGGCATTAACAGCACCGAGATGATTATCTCTTCTGGGATATACGCCGTTCGCGAATCTAGTGGCGTGGGCATACCGTTATGCTATACTTGCCGGGATGCGCAAGACCAGGGATGACCTGGAGACATCAATGGGTCAACTCGGATGTCACTCCGAGAGCGTCGTGACAGGGCAGAGCAGAGCGGTGAAGGCACTGGCGCTTGGAGCTTATTGTGATAACAGTGACGTGACTGTCTGTTAACGTTCATCGCGAGGCGGGTGAGGATCTTCGTTTGAGCCGAAGTGGTGGCCGAGCACGCTTCTGCTTCATTTCAGGAGGTGCAGGAGCCATGTCCCACGGCTCGTATTTTGCAGCACGTGGCCATGCAAACGTCTATTCTCCAAAGAGGAGATTCAATGCGATTTGGTTGGCATTAACATGCCTCAGCTATTGCCATTCTATTTTGGAACGGAGATTCGATGAACTGGAGCATCGTCTCTCTGTGGCACTGTAGCATTAACGTGCCTCAGCTATGAGCGCCCCCAATCTTAGGCTGCAGTGCATGGCTGCTGGACCCTGAATTCGCGAAGCAAGCAATGGAAGCGCCTCAGCCGATGCAGGAGTCAATCGGAGAATAAAAAAACACACATCATGATTAATGCTTCTAGAAGCGATCATGGAAGGAATCCTTCGCATGCAATGCGACCGGGGGACTCTGATCAGGGATATGGCCGGGACGAGAATATCAAACAAGACCGAAAGCAAAGACGTCCGTCGGCCCCTTTAAACTCAGGTGTTGCATGACAGCTGCTGCCTCGAGAAGATTGAAACAGCCAAAGCCAGTTGCATCGACCGATATGCGCAGTTACCGTGATGTGTAGCCTTAAAACATGCAAGACGAGGACAGGGCAATTTGGTGCTGCGACATGTCAACGTATCGAACGAGGCGTGTAGCAAGATAGTTCGGCATGGTGTTTCAGCAGTGGACAGGCCCAGGACGCCATGGGGCGCCACCCGCAGCGCCTCGATTGGGCGGTGTAGGACGGGCGAGCGTGTTTCGAAGTCGAGCATGCTGTTTCATGAGGCCGACATGCCTTTGCCCCATCGCCAATCGAACACGGATGCTAACCTATACCGGCCTCGAGCGCATCACGAGTAGTACCGGTCAGCATCAGCCCTAAGCCCTAAAACAGGCACAACCAAGCGCATCCCTACCCACCGCACCGCATCGACCACGTTATCCACGTAACGCACGTTGTCGTCGTCGAGGCCTCCTCTCACCAATCTCCAGGCGGCCTCACCACGCACAGCCAATTGCGAGCCTGAAACCCACGAAAATAGCCCTGCAAGCCCGCGCGCCAAGCCCTGCCCGCTAGTTGGATACCCATCATCCCAGACAGACCGACACGACACCGACCCCAAACCCGAACCACCGTGAACCTTGCAACGCAACGACTCCCTTTCCTTTTTTTGCACCCTACCCAACGCGTCACCGGACACAGACACCTTTACAGCCGACACTCCCCTTCTCCACAAGACCCTATATCAGCCGGGCATCCCACCGTCGGGTCCCGCTTCTTTTTTCCCTTTCGTCATGACGACTACCGCCGCACAAGACGAATTCAACGACCTTATCCGCAGAAACGAAGACCTCGGCGACCGCAACCCACACCCAGAGGACATTGACAACGACTCTGACATCAGCGACCCTGAATCCCCGGGCCGCGCAAACGACTACCTCGAAAAGGTCGATACAGACGACGAACTCGACATCCCAGCCGACATGAGGGCAAACTACTACATGCCGAACCTGCGCTCGGAAGCAAACACCGGTCCCAAAGGTGTCATTGCTGATGCGCAGGCGTTTGAGCAGGCCAAGAAACAGGCGAGGCGGTTCACGTGGAAGAGCAAGAGTGCGGCGCAGCCTGCGCAGTATAATGTTAGTGCGTATCGGGATGAGAAGAGCGCTTCGTCGGGGAGCGAGGATGATATGGATGAGGGCTTCATGAGGCAGTGGCGTGAGGCAAGACTACGTGAGCTACAGAATGTTGGCGAGAGGATACGGTCGAGGACGAACAGTCCGAGTAGGAGGATATATGGCGGTATGCCGCTTGTTGATGGAGAGGGGTATTTGGATGCTGTTGATAAGACGGCGGCTGGGACTGTGGTTGTTGTCTTTATTTACGATGCCAACGTAAGCAACGATGGTTTCCCAGCATACTTCACTTCAACTAACCCATCTACAGTCCGACATGAGTCGTCAATTCGAAGAGTGCATGCTCCACGTCGCCAAACGCAACGACACAGTCCGCTTCGTCAAGATGTATAACGACGACGCAGAGATCGAGGACGCGGGTGTGCCAGCTGTACTAGCATACAAAGGTGGCGAGAAGTTTGCGGATATCATTCCGCTTGTTGATGCGCTGCCGGATGATAGCGAGTTGAGTGCGGTTGCGCTCGAGACGTTATTTAGACAGTGAGTTCCCTTCCTCCACCTGCAGCCAAACATGCGTAGATTTACTAACATCTTCTAGACGTCGTATCCTCTGAATATTTTCAGACCATGAGATATCCCCGCTTACCCACTTCGCGGTCTCTTCCCACTGTTCACCTCGGTGAAACATCGGCGTTACTATGTCATCGGATCACATCAAACCTCCGACCCTGGTAGTTTCAGCACGGTACAACAATGCTCGCCCTGGCCCCTGCCTTCATCTCACTCCGGCATGACGGCAGGATGTTCGCATAGCTTGTTGCAGCGATGAACCTCATCTCTTTTATGTCCTGATATATATTTAGCGACGCGGTACTGTTTATATGCATTGCCGTGACTGGCGTTTCCGGTTAGATTGGTTGGCCCCGGGGCTTCTTGGTTATGAGAAGACTGTGAATGCGATGAAGGGTGTTGATAGATACCCAATATGATATTAGTTTTTCGAGATTCATTCTCGACGTTTCATGTTGTTCTTTTCGATCCTTATTGATGTTCAGTATATACTGCCTTGTCTGCGTCTCCGACTTCATCTTCTGCACGCCTCTTTTTTCATTCTTTATACCAAAATGTCTCTGCTACGATTGCCAACTCATCAAACCCTTGTGGTTGAATGGTCATCTTTGAAAAATCTTCACCTCATATTCGTCCACGCAAGATGCAGATGCAGATGCAGAAGTGGGCGTGTTGCTGTGCCACACAAGCGGCTCGCTCACTGGGCGTCTAGTAAGCGCCCACCCCCTTCAGTATGCTCCTGGGACGATCATGCCTCATCGAAGATACAAGAAATTGCGTATAAGTAACCATAAGGATAAGAAAGGGCTTGTTGTGTCTCATCTCGTTTTTCTACCTTTAAGTGTATAACCATCCATGCCTTCGTTTATGTCGTTCCGCCGTGATCCAGCGTCCTCACACATTTCTTCTTCCACCCCATCACCAACACGCAAGACATCAGTTCCTCTTCACGTATTATGTGAAAGATGTCGCAAGTTGTCAAGAGAATGCAGTGCTTTGGATTGGTTGCAGAGACCCCATGGACAACCTCCTTCGTCGTGGCCTGCCTTGAGCTTATCTACCGTCACTCAACTTTCACAATCAGCGCTGTCTTGCCATTTTTGTAAGATGGTCTTTGCAAAGTTGCAGCTTGGAGCTGAACTCGGGATACGTCCTACCGGCAACGTAGGAGTGTATTTCCGCCCGGAAACGCAAAATGGAGCAGATCTTTTAGTCAGGATGGTTCTTGAGAAGGGGAAAACGAAGATGGCAGAGGAAGGGAAATCTTTTGCCACGTTCAGACTCCGGACTTACAATAGTGAGTTTAAGAGTTGCGTTTAATGTGCTTTCATAGGCTGATGATCGAGAGTAGACGCCAGCATAGGAGCATTCGACAGCCACGTTATCGCAAAGGAAGCACCGCTTCTTGCAAGCGATAACATGTCAAAAGCCAAACAATGGCTTCAAACCTGTATTGGAGGCCACAAAAACTGTAAAGAATTTCACAGGAGAACAATCAACACTCCCCAGCAACGACCAACGCGAGTCCTTGAAATTACAAAGTCCACCATCCACCTCCGTTGTAACATGCAAAACGAACGCTTCGACTACCTTGTCTTGAGCTACATGTGGGGAAACAACCACAGGCAACAGCTTCGCCTACTGCGATCCAACCTCAAAGACTTTCAAAAGGAGATTCCACGTGCGGAGTTTGAAGCCTCGGATGTGTATAAAGAAGCGATGCGCGTTACTCTTGCCCTTGGATACAAGTACCTTTGGATAGACAGTCTGAACATCATCCAAGACTCACCCGAAGACTGGGCCCACGAAGCGCGTCGCATGGCCATTGTGTACGGAAATGCAACGGCCAATCTCGCATTTCTCTTCCCGCCGCATTCGCCCACTAAACCCAACCAACGTGACGATCCGCGGGTTTGGAACCCATGTGTCTTCCGCGCTCCATCTTCGCAAACACCCGGTATATACTTAGAACACACAAAATCTTCTTTCCGCCGAGATTACGCACCAGAGGAGAAAGCCCAAGACTGGCTCGTGCAACGCAGTTGGCCTCTTTTCAACCGCGCATGGACATTTCAGGAATATCTCCTAGCACCACGGACTTTGCTTCTTGGCCACAAGAATCTCATGTGGCAATGTTCGGAAGGTTTCTACGATGAGATACTCGGTCCAATTACCGAAATGCATGCCACCACACTTCACGATCCCAAGCGCAGGGACAGAGGAAAATCGCGATACTTTCCCGAAACTATACATGAGCTGAGTGCCTTGACGAAGAAGAGAGGCAGTCTGAGTGAACCTGCGGTTTTGTCCTTTATGATGGATTGGCAAAATCTAGTCGACGAATATCGGTCACGCAAACTATCTTTTGGAAAAGACAGAATCGTTGCTTTTGCTGGTGTAGCGCGTGCATTTTCCAACTTGGGACAATTGACTTATCTAGCGGGATTATGGTGGGAAGTCATACCCATTGCACTCCTCTGGTATGTGGACAAGAAAATGGTACCGCTTGTTCGTCGTGAGAATGGACTGCAGAATGGTGGGTTACCTAGTTCGGTGTGGACAACTGAAATTGAAGAAAGTGTTGTCCAACCAGAACTACCGAGCTGGTCGTGGTTCTCGGTTCCCATATGGAGGTACTATCAACTGTACTTTCTATTTGGAGATGACGAGTTGGCGGTGCGGTGTAAAAGTTACAGCGAGCCGAAGCTTGTGTGCTGGGACGATGTCTTTTGGGCAGAAGTCAAGGGGTTTAGGTTTGCGGGACTGGCGAAGGATCGTGTACCGGAGGGAAGTTTGTTTGACTTTTCCGGCCTGCATGTCACGATTGCGGCGTTGGTTTTGCCTGTCAAGGCGGATTGGCCAGCTGATCTGGCGACACAGATGCGATGGCTGCAGCAACATACTGCTAGTTCTTCCGGAAGCAGTTTTCGTTGGGAACCAGTCTTGGAGTATTACCCTGATGATCCGGCTGGTCGTCCTTCGCCGCCTCGAAACGCAATCTATGCGTTGATGGCGGAGTTCCAGGTTGTGAGGACAGCGGGTAAAAATAACGTTCAGCGGCGTTTGGCTGGGCTGATGTTGGTGCCTGGAAGTAAAGAAGGAACGTGGAGGAGGGTTGGAGTGTGGAAGCTTAGAATTAATGTGGTCGATGTGCAAGTTAGCGGGGAGAATATCGCGGAGGTCGCGAAGAGGTGGAGGAAGTTGAGTGTGATGTGGAACAAGTGGCAGCATGTGTTGATTACTCTGGCATAGCCTTTGCCGAGAGATGTATGTAATGAATAGATGAGCAAGGGAATAATGAACATCCACAGGCAAGATACGTAATCTGATGTTTGAGGACGACAAAGGGCGCGTGGGCGACAACACTTGTACCTAAAGTTTGACTAGAAACCTACATTACCCTAGCTTCGCTACCGTTGCCTTGCGTGTGCTACTTGGATACCTCTAAGCCCTTGCATGACCTGGTTATGTACCCAATACCACCAAGTTCTTTTCCATTCAGGAATACGTACTCGTTTGGGCATCATCTGAAATACGGAAACGATGGGTGGCTCGGTCCTCGCTACCAAAGGAGGTGCCACTGCGGTCGAGTATATAACTATATCCAAGCTTTCCCATCTTTTCTCAACACACCCACAAAACGATTCTCGCACGAACTTCGGTTAGCTTCAGCGCACCCAGATACTGACGAGGACAACATCTCAAATTCTTGTGCCATGCAGCTTCCAATAGTGACGCCTAGATTCGACAATGCGAATGGTGATGGCCTGCATCTGATGCTCGACTTACCGACTGAGCTGCGATGCTATATCTTGGAACTGCTCATTATCGACGAGCAGTTCGAAGCTTACTATACACTTCTTGAACATCCAGAAATCGGAGAGGTAGTGCGCTGCAACTTCAACGCGCAGTTCAGGGCAGTCAAGCAACACAGCAATCTCGCTGCTCAGCTTCAGCAAATCCTGACGACTACTGTCTTAATATCAGCGCACACGAACAAGTTACGCTCACATGAGCTAGCGGAATTCCTCACAAGCAACCTCGTCGATGAGAAACCATACGTGTCCGTGGATAGCTCCAGCCAGTCTGTCGCCGTTCTCCGCAACTATCAAAAATACTTGGTCGATGCAGAAACCTTGACGGATCAATTCGCCAAGATAACGATAGGTAATGCTGCAGTTCGGTATGTCTCCGGAGACCTTCGTCGATACGGTGCCGACACCCTGTCTAAAGTCGAGCATCATCGTATACTCCGTGCCTTCCTTCGGCTACAGCTATATATTGAGATTCGGAAACTGTATGGAGTGAAGAAAAGCCTCAAACGAAAGCTTCGAGGCCTGTTCTCCTTATGGACGACCTGGGAATTCGACGAGGTCAGAAGCCTTGTCGAATGGATCAAGATCGAACGTTCAAGTCTACCGAAGCATTACGCCAGAAGTATTCGCAAGCTGTTTGCCTTAGTCGATGCCCACTTCTACAACGACATGGCTCCGTATGTCAAAGCTCGGCCAGACCCTATGCGCGACCGGCATCGGCGTTCTAAACTCGCCAAGAAGTCGAAGAGATGAAACGACACACCTGCGACACTTGGTGAGGGTAGAGCCGACGCGCGTAATGAAGACTGGAGACCTTTGGGATATACATCCGGATGTTATGCTGAGTACACTCAACGCGTATACCGAGAACACTTCCTCGCTGGAGGTTACCTATTCTGGTCTCGCTTCACTACCTCAGGATATGGGTGGTGGCATGAACGCAATATAACCTCCAATTTGCAGTCGCGATTTGGACAGGTATATGTTACGGAAAGGTTTTGGCGATCAAGATATGGCTAAGGTGTTCATGTCGGACTTTCGCAATCCGAAGATCTGGTGTTAGGGCTTCATCATGGGCGGAACACGATGTAAATACTCTGGTGTTCGATAGGTTTCCTAATTCCGTGAATGAGATTGTAAAGTGGCACTTGGGTTAGGTGCAGCTTGGCAATCCTCGCAATCTCTTAGCTCGCTTACATAACCATGTATGGTGTGGCTGTCAACCTCCCCGCGCGTTCGCTCCTTCGCATCAACGCATCAACATTCCATCTCAAACCGTCTCCTAGCGGAGCGGGGGCCGTGATTTGCGGACGAACATGATCGGTCGTCAGGCAAAGACCCTGAGAGTCATGGCGTCTTTCTGCTTCAAGTTAGGTTGGGCCCTATCCGCTCTGCCATGCCACCGTGAAACAGCTCAATCGCCGTATCGCTCAACGGCCCGACTGTGAACAACGCAGAAACATTAACGCACAATTTGCACGCTCATTCAGCGTGCGGACCGAACGCAACATGTATATGATTACCCAGCTATAACGGGCTTAATATGTTTCGAACGCTTCCATGAAGATCCGGAGGGGTGGGTTTATATGGCCACTATGGGTATGGAAAAAGCGATGCCACAGTCAATCGTTTCTACATTCGTTTTCTTCAGCTTTCGTGCCTTTGCGCACGTATCCATTCTTTCTTGGAGCACCGCTCATCCACATTCATTCCTATTTGATCAGTATTCATCTCGAAGATGAAGCATTTTCAACAATTACTCGCCGCCGGAGCGGGCTTCTTTTCGGTAGCGCACGCCGTCAACACTCTCGTCGATGTTGGCTACGCGAAGTATCAGGGAGCCGTCGTCGACTCAGAGCTCGGTGTTTCTGCTTGGAAAGGTATCCAGTATGCTGCACCACCTACTGGCGAGCGCCGATTTGCGGCACCGCAAGACCCTATTGTCTCCGGTCTCATCAACGCCACTAGACACGGCGCAACATGCCCACCTAGCCGTCCCGACGACTGGACTGTTTCCGGACCCAACGACCGCTTCACCATTGCTGAAGACTGTCTTTACCTGAGCGTGTATGCGCCTTCCAAGGCCCGCGTCGACTCGAAGCTGCCGGTTGTGGTGTTCTTCCAGGGCGGTGGCTTCTCGTCGCAATCTAGCGCGAACTGGGATCCCACTGAGATCGTGGCAGATGGCCAGGTCGTCTTTGTGCAATTCAGCTACCGCGTCGGCTTGTACGGCTTCCTCAGCAGCGAAGCGGTCAGAGCGGGAGGTGGCGATGTCAATGCTGGACTACGCGACCAGATCAAGCTCCTCGAGTGGGTCAAGGAGCATATCGACCAGTTCGGTGGTGACCCAGATCATGTTGTTCTTGACGGAGTCAGTGCTGGTGGATCGTCTGTTGCGCTCATGATGGCGGCCAACACGGGCAAGAAGCTGTTTGCTGGCGGTATCATGGAGTCGGGTGGCTGGGTCACGATGCGCACTCCGGAATTGGGCGAGGAACAATACCAGTGCTTGCTCGAAGACAAGGGTTGCGCCAATGCGACGGACGGCCTGTCCTGTCTACGTGCGTTGAACGAGTCGGCTATTCGTTCTTCCAACTGCTGGTTCAACCCCAACATCGATGGCGACCTCTACACCGATTCGCTTGTGAACCTCTTCGACCAGGGCAAGTACGCAAAGGTACCGACGATCATGGGCACCTGCGCTCAAGAAGGCACCAAGTACAACGCGCCAGAAGATCTCAACACTACAGCTGATGCAGTCAAATGGGTGGCCAACCAAGACCCAAGTTTGAGCAACTCTTCCATCTCGATCATCGATGATCTCTACATGAAGCCCGCGAAGCCTTCATTTCCCGGCAAGGGACTCTACTGGCGCCACGCTGCTGACGCCATCGGTGATATCGGAACTCACTGCCCAACCCGCAACATCCAGAACGCGATCGCACGCGACGACGTACCCACATACAACTACAAGTATGCCGTGCAGGATCCAACCGACGAGGCAGCCGGCTATGGTGCCTGGCACACCGTCAACGCATACGCTTTCTGGGGCGTGAACCGCACCGACGGCGGCGAACCACCCAGCTACTTCACCACCAACGCGCCCATCATTAAGCAAGTGCGCAGCTACTGGACCAGTTTCATCCGCAACCTTGACCCCAACACCGACCGCGCCAACCGTGCTGTTGAGTGGAAGCCGTACACTGGTGCCGATTCGCGCGAGAGGCTCTTCATACAGACGAACAACACGAAGATGGAGCGTATGAGCCCTGCGCAAGCGTTGAGGTGCGATGTTGTCAGACCGATGAGCGATAATCTTGGCAAGCCGGTTGGAAAGGGTGTCGTTACGGAGTTCGATGCGGAGTTGGCGAGGAAGGTTAATGTGACTAGTGACAGTACCGCATGGAAGAAGGGGAAGAAGCAGGCAAGGAACTTTGCGCTGAACTACTGAGCGGCAAACATTATATCGGTATCTCTGCTCCCTAGATTAGCTTCGTGACATTCTGTCTTGTCGCTATACATATTCTTCAACTCTTGTTTCATTCTACTTTACTTTAGATTCGGCAATGGCCATATAGCCAACATCTTACAAGTGTTCGTACGTACATGATCTCTCATATCTCGCTCGACGGGTGCAAAGCAAAGTTACTTATGAGTGAAGTATGATCCATGTATTCCACTTTGTTCAATTTTCTTCCATAGGTCCTTGAGTAATATCACTAGTGTCATTGATTATCCTAGACCTTGTTGCGAACTATGGGTTGAAAGGAGAACACAATAATCGGCCGTAGTAGACATCTGTATCTTTACTCACCCCAATTCCTTAGCACTCAGAGAGTATACGCTGGATTGTTCATCAAGATAGAATGAGATATAGGAAACACCAAGAGTACACAGCATGTTCGATCTCCAAACTTCCAATGGAGAAGGTATCTTTTGTAACCGACTACTAAGTCTTCATATTCTCATACTCATATGAACAAGGAAGGTTTCGTGGAGCTCTTGGATGAGTTTCCAATGGGAATGCATGCACTCATGCTCAAACCAAAGTAAGGGTCTCAACCTTTGATCCTTGGAGGCGCAGAAACATGGAACCCTTGTCTTCTGAGAGAGTTTCTTCTGCAATCATCATGGATACCAAAGGAAGACCTAAGCCAGTACGCCTCGCTGTCGCTTCCCAGTAACCCAGTCGCTTCCATGTGTTCTCTTCTACTGCGGGCCCCAATACCAGTCCTTTGAAACGATAAATTTCGGGCGTTGTATTGAATGTCTCCTCGACAAGAGCTACGCGGAATATGGTCGGGACTCGATGCAAGTTTCTGTGATCATCGAAATGGAAATTTACGAACACAGGCTCGGACAGACGCTTCTCGCCAGATTGAAATAGTGACTCCAATTGTGAATCTAGCTGTGACTTTAGTCGCGCTTCTACGATGCTACAGAGGAGCATGTCTTCTTCCAACTCTTCATCTCTCGGTAACAGAAGGTCGAGCGTTATGAATTCGAGCGTGATTCGCAGGCCCAAGAAGTCATAATAAGCTGTTGGAGGGAGAGTATCCACAGGCGCGTTGGGCCATGTGAAATGTAAGAGCTTGGCGACTGAGAGGGGACGGCGTCTCATATAGCTTGCCCAATGAAAACTGTGGCCAAAAGGGATGATTCGGTCCAAGTGGCTCGAGTAGAGAGAACCGGCGAAGAATGACCACGTCGGCGCGGACTCCAGCACTGGCTCCTGAGGTATCGGTGATGTGGCTTCTGAATCATTGGCCGGGTCATGTATAGACCACAGCAGTGAGTGTGGTAGATGTTCCTTCCACATTCCGGCTAGATAGGTCAGCCCGTGTTCGGCTTGAAACGCTTGTGCTATCCCAACAAAAGCCATGATCCTATCGCTTGACTGCGTGAGATTTCTCCGTCTATACTCGTTGATCAAGATTATCCAATTAGAGAGAGTTTCATAGTGAATTCCGTCACTTTTGATTTGGCCTGGTTTTGGTGATGTTCCATCCAGTTCGTCAACGTGCCGAGGCGATAAGAGTGATTTATTGGAGGCGAACACTTGGGATATTCTGCGAATCCGTTGACATGTTCTGGAAATGCCACCTACATCACCAGCCAATTCGTCACAAAAGTGCTCTGCACACTCCCACTTTATAGTGCGATCCCCCCAGAAGACGGTGCGGGGACTCAAAACCTGTTCTTGTAACGTCCATGCTCTCGAGGATAGCGGCCAGCCCTGATGTATCGAATTTGTACTTTGCTGTACATTAAAAGATTCAATTACTATACCTCGCATAACTCGTGGACCTCGTGGAAGTCCCCTCACTTGAAAGGGTTCGCCGATGATGCAAGGAGTTGACGCTCGTGGATCTTCTCGACGCCAAGAAGAATCATAGCTGCCATCCGGCGGCATTACGATTGCGATTGTACAAACAGCGTTGTTATATACCGCAGACATCATGCTCGCTTCCGCTGTCCAATCAGATCCGGAGTCTTGTATGATACAGAGTGAATCGATCCACAAGAACTTGAAGCCGAGATAGCGGGTGATTCGAATGGCTTCCGTGAAAATGTTTGGAAGCATATCCAGAGGTATAGCCTTTTGGAAATCCTGGAGTTTTGAAGACATCAGTTTAAGCTGCTTTGAGGCATCTTTACCCCACATATGACTAAGGGCCAGATACGTAAAATCATGTATGGCCTGCACATCGCACCGCAATCTAATACCATTGTCGCTGAGCTCAAGGACTCTTGTCGGTCGATGTCCTTTTGTTTCAAGCCTTGAACACCAACTGTTACAGCTACGATGCTTTGAAGTGCAGGCATCTAGCCATCTTCGTATCTGAATCAAGTTGTCCGTCGGCTGGCGTGGAACATGTTGTGCGACGAACGGAGCATCGAATATGTTGTTTGAACTCTCTAAGAATAGGTCAGATAAATCATTCAGAGATAACAGAACTCATCTCACGAGTGAAAGATCCAAAATGGAATCTGATAGGCCCTCGGTAGCCGATTTTCGTCCACATATGAGTTTCTAAGTTGGGTCCACCGGAGCCACTGAGCCGAAATCCAACGGAAACATGTTCTGGTAGGCTATTGTCGTTTCCTAGTCTTGAACATACCATCTCGCAAAAATGACAAGACTTCCGGTACTTTGAAAAGTCTGCCAGCGTGTATGATCCAACTTTCCGGGGCTTGAAATGATGACTTTGAGCTTCTTTAAGCCACGTATACACGTCTGTAAAAGTATCAAACATTCGCTGGCACCGAGCGCAGAGCCGATGCAGCAGCACCGATCCTTCCGGACAAAGTTCTTCCTCTAATCTCATCAGCAGTTGCTCCTCAGCAGGATCTCCATCGTCGCTCAGGCTCCGAGGATCCGCCGACGTCCCATACATAATATCCATTTGCGCCGAGCAGGAAGAAGAACGAGGACATGAAGCGGGGGAAAAGTGAGGGTAACAAACATGCAGCGCGTGCGGCTGAAGATGACATGTTAGTCAACAGCTTATTAAGCTGCAGGACGGGAAACAAGTGACGATGCGGCCGAGCTTGGCGACATGTGCACCGCCATAGGCTGGACAAAATGCTGAAGGTAATAGTACAGATTCGCAATGATACTGTCGACATCGCAAAGTCCCAGTTGCTTGCAATCTTTGGCGATCGAAACAAACAGAGAAGGAAATATATATCCATGAAATCATAATCTCGTCCAAGGACATGCGCTGAAACGCAAAAGAAGAGACAAGTCTTCCGTCAACTACGTCGTCTTCACATCCCCAAACCCACGACTCAACATCCTATTGACATCACCACCATCCTGCGGCCCAGCACCACCATCCTCCACCCGATTCCTAATCAAATCCTTAATCTCTCCCTCCCTCCTCCTCTCCTCATTCTCCCTCTCGACCTCACTCAGCCCAACCTCACTTCCCACCTTCCCACCCTTCCCCTTCTCCCTATCCCACCCCTGCTGCAGCTCCCCGGCCGCCGCCTCTTCAAACCTGCGCTTAACACCAGCATCCTTCTCCAGAGCCTGGAAAACATCTTCATCGCTCGTCCACCACGCCGCCATACCACTCTTGACCGCCAACTCAAACACCATGACAGAGAGGAGGATGAGCACGAGAGCAAGCCACCAAGACCAACTCGCGCCAAAACCACGCAAGAAGGTGTCGCGGACATAGTAGATTTTGTTTTCGGGATTGTACAACGAGGAGAGGATAATGTTCCAGAGGAACCAGCCGCCAATCGACAAGATGAGAGCGACAGCGTTTGTCGCTGTTTTGGACTGCGTTTCTATGAATCTGTGTGTGGGGGATATGTTAGCAAACCGAGTCCTCCATGGGGGAACGGAGGGGGGATACATACTGCATCTTCAACGCGATCAACCACACCGCCGCCGTATACGTAATACTCCCAAGAGCAAAGATGGAGTTATCCTCCGTCCACGCCGCATCCCCATACAACCCCAACATGACGTAATAAACCACCATGGCCTCCGCACTCGCCATGAACATCCAAGCGAGATAAACGCGAAAGTTGAAACCACCGTTGCGCTGCCCGATCGTATACAACTCGGGCACCGCCAACAGCGTACTCGCGCTCAAATCCTTTTCAAACACGCCCATGAAGATGACGGGTAAACTAGTAAACAGCGTATTGAACATACTCAACGACCACGACTCATACAGACTAGTACCCGTATAACCCACCTTCATTTGAAACAAGGCTTGCGTGAGGTAGAAGAGCAATTCCTTCCAGAACGTGCCGACGGTATACTTGCACGTGCGAATATAATTCCACCTGCCATGCACTAGCAGGAGCTTGACGAGGAACCTAAACTGCGCGATGCTGTAGTCTGACGTGCGGGCTGCTTGGAGACCTTCTTTGCCCGTGATGCCGATGCCGACGTGGGCTTCTTGTATCATGGCGATGTCGTTTGCGCCGTCGCCGATGGCGAGGGTGATTGACTTCTTGACGCGTTTGCGGATCGACTTTACGAGTTGGGCTTTTTGGCTGGGGGACGCGCGACAGCATATGACCGAGTCGGCGAGGATGGCGAGTTCGTGGAACAGTGTGTCGAGCAGGTCGTTGTCTGTGATTTTAGACAGCGTTTGGCCGTCTACGACTACGACGGAGTGGGCGACGGTGCCGGCTGTCATGGCCGTTCTGGCGGAGCTGATGGCTTGTTCGACGAGTCCGGTTTCGTGGTCGAGAACGGTGACGGCGCTGAATTCTTTGATGAGCCGGCACGAGTAGCCAATGTTGATGGCGGTTTCTCGCTTGTCGCCTGTCAGCATCCACATTTTGATCTTGGCCCTGCGCAGCTTGTCAATCGCCTCAGGTACGCCCTGCTGCAGTTTATCCTCAATAGCGGTAGCGGCGCATAGATCGAGGTCTTGTTCAATCACATCACCTGCTTCTTCGATGAGCCGCGTCCGGTCCACGAGACTGGTTGTTGCGTCGAGGTACCCTTTTTTCCAGGACTGGTACTCGGATTCGTGGAGGAAGCGGTAGCCGTAGAGCAGGGTTCGCAGACCTTCTGTGGCAAACTCGTTGATGTGCTGGAGACAGCGTTCGATGACCGCGGTGTCGTCGCCCGCGATGCCTTCGTCGACCATGGCTTCCATGTCTTCCCAGCCAATCTGCATCGAGCTGCGTGCTGATGAAAAGGCCATGCTGAAGCGGTCCAGGCCTGATTGGCGGGGTGTGTGTGTCGGTGTCTGGTACGGCGTATCTTCATCGAGAGACGACATGTCCATGCGGTCATTCTCACGCTCGCGTAGCCACTGATCCACTTCATCTCTCGCTGACGCAGAGCCTCCTCTGCCCACACTAGGAGCGAAAGACGGGCGGCCCAGATTCAAACTAGCCCTCGCAGCCTGACCGAGCGTCATACTCCTTCGGCCACCAACGCTGCTCAGACGACCAGCCACACTACTCCGCCGCTCAGCATGTTCGCTCATACGCGCAATCGCATGCTGAGCCTCCATGCTCTTCCGGATATTAGCCCGCCGCTCAATCTCAACCATCTTCTTGTTCGCGAGCGTAGCTAGCTTCAACCGCTGCATGACGATGGAGTCTGCGCCCTTACAGATGATGCATATGCGGCCATCTGGGAAGCGGAGAATGATCGACATGCGTTTTCGTTTGCTCGAGAACTCGATAACGTCTAGTATCTCGTAGACCTCTGAGACTGGCTCGCCATCGGGTCCCGCCGGCATGATCTTGAGGGTGATGGTGTGAACGTCGCGGTTGATAAGTAGGAATCCCATGTCTTGTGCTGCTTGTACGAGTGCGAGTTCATCTGGAGACGAAGCCATGAAGTGTGTCTTACCATCCTCCTGAACCTCAGGCAGACAAGTGTGGCACAAGGCCAGGGAGAGAAGGAACATCCTCGCTTTCTTCGAGAACGGCGTATGAGGTTTCCTCTGGATATACCTCAGCATATCCTGCGTACGCAGCTCGCGGGATGTCTTTCCTGGTTTCGCGCTCGATCGCCAATTCGACGGGCCGCCTTCCCCAGGGCTCTCCAACTGCTCGACTGTTTCAACGACGGGCTCTTCGCCCGCTGCATCTTTGGCAGATCTCATACTCTTCCTGTTTTTCACGGGCTGCTTCCCCTTCTTCCTCGTCTTGTGGATCAACTTCTTCTTCCCCTCTTCCTTCAAGTCTGCATCATGCAACCAGCTCACGCCCGCTACACTCAACTTACGGAACTTCATCGAGTTATCCGTCAGCGTGCCCGTCTTGTCCGAGAAGACATAGCTAATCTGGCCCAACTCCTCGTTAATGGTCGACGTGCGCGGTTCACACGGCGTATCGGAGATGGGGTCGTACATATCAATATCCGTATGTAGAAAGAACATTTGCGCCAACTTGACGATTTCCAGACTCACGTAGAGAGACAAAGGAATCATAGTGTTGAACATGATGATGAAGGAGGTGAAGCTGGGAAAAAATGCGACAGAGGAGCCACGTAGATACCACATGTCGTCTTCGTTCCTCTGCCAGATCTTGTAGGCCACGGCATTGAAGATTGACAAAGCGATGACGAAGACGACGATGAGAATGACGATGCGGTTGACCAGGCCTTGGAGTGCTGGTGCTTTGATCCTAGGGTTCTTGTTCGAGTTCATGCGGATGCGACATTCTTCTCCAGAGTAAATGACCATGCCAATCGCATCTGGTGTGTTTCGCAGGATGCTACCTCGGAAGATGATCTCGCTGAGCGTAAGTGGCGCTTGCTTCCCGTCGACCACGACGCGTCCTTCGAAGCTGTACAAGTCGCGGTTGGGATCCTCGACAACGAACTCGGCATCGGTTCTCAGGACGTCTTCCTGGTCTATAATCGTCTTGGAAATCGAAGCCGTCGTCTGCTTGCTTTTCAGATTCGTCTCGCCATCCAGCGCCATCGTCTCAACAAACGCGACATTGTTTTCCCCGTTGGTATGGAGAAGCGCCAGATCAGCAGGCGCAGCGTCGTTTCTCTCAAGCTTGATGACATCTCCAACGTTGATATCCTGCCACTTGATCGTCTCCCAGCGCAACCCCTCGGACTCTGGTGAAACAACACTGCCACCATCCACGGAGTGGTCTTTCGCCCCACCAACAGCAGCAGCGACATTGGAAGCACGACTCGCTCTCAGGACCTTTGCTTCTCTCTTATTCTCCTCCTGGTCCGCTCTCCACCGTCTCAAATCGTCATACCCTTCCTTGGCAATACTCAACGTAACAAAAAACAGCAACGGAACAATCGTCGTAAACTGGCCCGTAGTACTCAGCCCGGGTATCATCTGCAGAATCGAAATCACCAAGAAATAAAAGTTTGCCAGTTTGGAAAACTGCGCGACCAACTGCCGCGGGATAAAGTTCCATGCCGAGTAGCGGGTGGATCGGATCCAGTTGCTAGTGTAGGGCTGGGAAGTGCGTTCGTCGATGAGAGGGTCGGTCGAAGGACGAGTAGGGTCGAGGGCGATGTGGCGGCCGTCTTTGCTAGGCGGCACGTCCTTTATCCTAAAGATGAACTTGCGAGCTTGTTCTGCCACATCCTTCATCTCCCTGACCAAGTTCGCTCTCCGACTCGCCGTCTTGCGGTTCTTCCACGAGGCATAGGCCGGAAGCGCGATTGGCCCTTCTCCCAGCTTCTTATTCGAGATATCCGAGGCTGAACTCGCATAATCCAAATGCTCGGGCGTGACGGCGATGACGGCATCTCCGCTCTTAGGCGACGAAGCATAGCCGCTGGTAACTTCTGCATGATGTCCCATTCTAGCCTGCGATTGCGATCTTCCAATCCCTTCTTCCAGCTCGATATGTGTATCTTCCTCCTTTGTCGTATCGTGAACGTTCTTCCGGAACAGCGCGCTGCGGAGCGAGTATCCGCGGTTCCTCGACGTCGGCGACAGCGGTGATCGATTGACGGCATTGCGTGGGGAGCGTGAGGATGAAGCTTCAGCTTCAGCCTGCGCCAGAGCCAGATCTTGAGGAGAAACCTCGCGCGTATTCACCGTCAGATCCGGTATCCCAGGCTTCTGCTTCTCGCCGGCGCCCCTCCCAGCTCGTGTGTTCTCATCCTTGCTACGTGCATTGCGTTCGATGTCAGTCGAGAATCGTACTCGCGGTGACTCGTCGGTCGTAAGGCGCGCGATGCTCGGTCGCTCCGCATTCTCTACAGCTGAAGTCCTGGAGCGTGGCTCGTCTCTGGTACTCTCGATCGTATACGGTGCGTTTGTGTTTGCGCCTTGGGCTGCGCTTCGTGTCGTCGGTGCGAGATCGTCTTCGTCGTGCGATGCGGAATGACGCCTTCTTATTCCTCCCCCGACGTTCCCTCCTCCGCTCGCATCCCCACCTCCACTTCCGCTACCTCCAATCCCAGCATTCGATGCATCGGGCGCATGCGACATGATATCCAGTCATTCCCCTATACGTCGTGTACGATTGTTGTCCTTGGGCAGCGGCAGATCGTGAGCTTCTAGCCTTGGGGGAAATACCCAGCCTTGCCGCAGCACACGGGTCTAGCGGCTTGTCCAACACGGGTATTACGACGTCAATGCCTCTTGGTGCGTCTTGGAAGCGACGAAATTACGCGGCGTCAGCGATACTGCGCATCGCAGCAGATACGTTGCTTTGCGCCAACACAAGACTGCGGTGATGTAAACAGCTGGCAATCCCAGTCCTGGTGGTTCAATCCGTCAGTCAGTCCATGCGCCGGCAACGCGGGCTGGGATCAAGATCCAGCTGTTTCTGCCACCCATGCAACCAATCCAGGCTATTCTGGGATTGACGTAGTGTATCGGGACAACTCCGCTCTCACTCCACGCCGGGTGGCCGCTATGCCCACGCGAAGTGCGTTGCCCCTCCATGTGGGTTGAGGGCTTGCATATGCGCGAATGCTCGGGCGCTTCCCCAGAAATATGTCTGCTTTTCTCGTAGCTTAGACTAGCCGGATCAGCAAAATGGAAGACCATTCCCTGTACAACGCCATCCATGGGGCGCGCTCAGTCATAGGGCAGAATCGGGCACCTTCCTGGCAAGCGCTCTATCTGCCCTTCTGCAGTAACACAATAGTAGTTCCAAGATCTTGTCCTAAGATATCAGGTCACTCCGGAGAACCTGTCATATCTCTGGATATCATCGTTATTATTTTCGAAGGGTCTTCCTCGTCTTTGGCAGGAGTATAGCGTAGTAGGCAATTTTGCATCCTATCTGGATTTCCCTACCTAGGTATGACCCGAGCGCGCGTAATCGTCCAACCCGCAAGTGACCGGAACACCAGTCGTCCACTTGCTCGAATATACTCTTATTTGCACACAGCAGGATGTTTGCTACAATCCACAGCGGTCCTACCATTCATACAGCCTTTGTACTCTCCGTCCAGCCCAGCTCAACTTTCCCCCCATCCACCCCCGCCCACCCATGCACATGCGCGAATAGCTCAGCCGCTTCTTCCCCAAAAGTCATGTCTGCTTTTCCCATAGTTCTGATCAGCAACACGGCAGAAGCGAAGATCCCCCGCATACTTCCCCAGATGCAAGTGCAGGTGGGTAATAAAAAAAAAACCGCCTCTTTGGTGGCTGACGCGCCAACGCAAGTCACATCACAGACGAGTGGGTCTGGGACAAAAAAACGGCCAGTCCTGGCTACTGCAGCGAACGACATTGTCACATTTAGAGTTGGGAAGAGAGTGCGCAGCTGTGCCAACGCTCCCACCAATCGGCCTCTAGTCATGTGACGGCGATATAACATAATGAGGATTGTGAGATTGGAACTCTATGGAAGATTGATGAGTTGCTGATTCAGTTGACATGAGAAGACTTGCTTCAAGGGCACGCCTCAAGAACAGGGAGTGGAGAAAAAGGCTATACGGATGCAGTTCTTTTTGGCCGTCTCAATTGCACACCATGTATACACACACTCACACACACACTCACACACACGCACACAAAAACGCAACTAAAGTGAATATACTTTGCTCCCAGAACCGTGGCCCTTTTTGAACCAACCTATGCTAATAATGCTGCCGACTCCCAAATGATATGGTATCGTTTCGTTGCCTCTCTCTCTCTCTCTGCCTTTCCACACCATCTCCCCCCTCCTGTCTCCAAAAGTGATCCAACGCCCTTAGATTTCCTCCTCGCTCCCTCGCATTCTGTGGTATCCGGTATTCGTATCGCTCATTAAGTTCTGAAAGATTATGATTGACAAAAAAAAAAGGGAGGGAAAAACGAAAAGACAGGACATAGAAGAAAATCCAGCGCCGTGCAGTATGCAAGCCAGAAAAGATTTCCGACAACAAAAGGATGATATGATTGATCAAGGAAAATTGGAAAGAAAAGGGTGGGTGGGAATTATAGAATAATACTCTCTCTCTCTCTTTCGTCCATAAACCCCCTTTTCAACTCGCGGCAACACACCAGTGCCGATGGAAAACCCAAGCACTCTTCTGGCATTCTTTACTGCAGTACTTTGTCCTCCTGCAGCGGCGGCACTTGGCAAACTGACGGGTATATTCTTCCCATCGGCCGCACTGGTAGTATGCGCATTGCCTGATACCACCCCTCGAGTCGTCTTTCCGACATAGGTTGCGCATAACAACGCTAGCCCAGTACTGCATGTCGGATGTGTGGTGTCGGACGGTAAATTGCTCAACGAGGGGGAAGATGTTGAAGTCATCTGGGAGTTCGTATTCTTCGAGTTCTTCTTCCTCCTCTCCTTCTGCGGATGTTTTGGGTGTTTTGACTTCGCCGTCGAGGAGCTCATCGGCAATCTTTAGTTTGGGTACGAGATGGGATTTCTGGAAGTAGGTCCGGAGGTTGCAGTATTTTGACACGTAGGCGAGAAGCTGGAGGGACATGAGGACGTCTTCGTCACGAGGCATAGCTGCGAGCACACTAGCTGATGCATTACGTTCTTGCTGGTATCGTGGTAGCCAAGGAGGCGGCGGGTTGGTGTTTACGACGTTGATAGTCGGTTGCATAGGAGAAAAGCCAGTGATTGGGTTGTTGGGCGGTGTGTTGGTGGGGTTGATTAGACTTCCATCGAGAGCAGGACGGTGGGTAATGTTGAACGTCTCGTTGTTCTCATCTGTGCCTTCTGAAGGGGCAGCGATAGGAACCGGTGTGTTGCCAGCATCCAGCATCTCTGCATTATCGACAATGTCAGCCATGTTGATTTCATTATTCTGTATGCCGACGATTGGCTCGTTTACAGACGGACCAGCCGCTGTGGCAGCCTCTGCGGACATGTCATCTTGTTGTGCCTCCAAGTCCGACTCTCCCGATACAGACAATTGGTGTCGAATGGATGGGCGGCGACGTGTTCGGGCCAGCCCCGCTCTTGGGCTTGTCTGGCGTGCTTGTGGGGCGCTCGGGGTTGTCGGTGACTCTGGTTGGGAAGTGATCTCCCCTTGCAGGGCGGGGAGCATGGAAGGCAGTCGATCAGCATCTCGCACCGGCCGTAGCGCAAAAGCATCGGGAGCCGGTTCCATGGAAGGTAATGCGGTGACCAATGGCTGACCCAGATTACGCGTGTTGTTGCCGGGAGCGCCAAAGAGCTGTGGCCGCCCTTCGTGGCTGCGATGGTGATGGTGGTGGGCAGGTCGACCACGTGTAAATGTCGTCCGCTCGGGAGGGGAGCTCAGTGAGAATGCAGGAATGGGGTTCGCGTCGCCCAGAGATTCGGCTGGCTGTGGTATCTCAATCGGAGGCGGTATGATGCGTCGTGTTCGATCAGCTCGGTGTCCGGAGCTTGAGGCAACCTCGCCAGTCCGCGACGAGTGGTGTCGGCTCGATGCACCGAGACGTGCAGACTTGTGGATTTCAGCTTCGGCTCGTGCCCTCATCTTGTCGACGACCTTGATGTAGTTGTCGAGAATGGATGCGATGACAGGCACCATGTCGGCTTCGACAACACGCGTCCTGACGTTCTCAGAGCCACGCACGCCGATGTTGAAGATGCACTGGAAGGCCAGGTTCCACTTCCACATGTCCATCATGTCCTTGCTCCGGCCCTCTTTGAGGATGCATATCAGGCGTTCGATGCCGCCATCGACGGTGAGAATATCGCGTATGCGTGCCGAGGACGTGGTGAGGTAGGCGAGGTGGTTCAGCGAGTTGATGAGCGGGAGGGTCGATGTGCAGTCGAGGGCGCGGCGGTCGTAGAGGGCGGTGGTGATGCCAACCGAGGCCTTGTTGGCGTTGGGGATGCTGAAGTTGACTTCGCGCATGTTGGGTGCTGTGCGGTGCCGTGGATGAGCGGATGGGAAGGAGCTGGGCGGGCAGCAGCCAGTTGTTTGTTGTTGGCTCCGGCTCTGACTGAGGCTTTGGAGGGGCCCGTGTGGTGGTAGTGGTGGTGGTTGAAGAGCCGCTCGAGGGTGGGAGAAAGCCGACGGGGTCGTATCACACGACTAACGACGACCGGACTCGGGCGAGACGGGGCTGATGGCTGAGCAGCCAGTCAGGCAGGCAGTGATGGGCAGCGCAGAGGGATGGCGATGGTTGTCGACGGCGTCGACGGGAGATGAGGCTTGTTTGCTGTTGTTAGGGGGACCAGGATTGCTTCACGGGCGCGGGCTGGCTGGGAGGCAAGAGCGCTCTCTCGCGTCGCAGTGGGAGGCCACGCAACACTGGCTGTGGTGGGCGACGTCGTCTATGGGCTGTCGTGCTAAGGCTGGACTATGCTATGTTGGATGAGGCTGTCGGCGATGAATGGGGTGTAAAGAGGCGGTTCAGGTGAGAGGTCATGGGCAGTGGAGCAGCTAGTCCCACAGTTAAGGATTGGCACGCCCGCCCAGAAGGGTAGCCTCGAACCGCTAATTTCATGCGCTACGGGCAAAGAGAGCACCGAAATGACTGCTCACCTGCTACTGACACCAGAGACAGCTTACCTGTCACAGTTACCAGAGACAGCTTACCACGCCGTATTCCCATTGATTGGAAATACAGTCGTCTTCAAGTGACAGCCCGACAGTCATCTCTCCGACGCCCAAGCACTTGCGCAAAAACTCACGCCACAGGTGGCGCGCTTACCTCTGCCAATGCCATGTAGCCATGAAACCTCTGCACCCACAGCTTTGCCAGCAGACTGTCGCTATTAAAGGCTCATCTGCAGCCGCCTGCATGATTCGGCGCCATTCTCGAGGCTGCGTGGGGCGCCGGCCGACTGCACGATGCTGCTGACAAAGGCGCACCTCTTCTTCGGCGCCTGTGTCACCACCAAAACAGTAACTCGGCACGTCTGACCAAACACCTTTCTGAATGAGAGGCATGTCTCTTTTTGGCTGAGTTGCACGCCTTCCGACATAGATACACGTGAATACAAATCGCTTGGACTGCTCTGCGGGGTGCAGGGCCTTCACGCAGCTGTCCCGTAACGATGGAGTTCATTGGGCACTTGAAACTTCTCCGCAGCCCAGTGGTTGTGATTCCACAACACGTCTGCAAAGGAGAAACCTCAGCTCTCAACCAATTCGCGCGTCACTGCCAATGGCTGTCGCATTTTGTTCTTCACTCTCGTTAACCTGAATTATTCACCAGGACTTATATAGCCCAACCCCAGCAGCAGGCAGACGTCGCCATGTCGTCTCCACACGAAACCAGAGTCCAAGACTTTGCATCCGCTCCACCCGCTCCCGACCAGCCAGAGCGGTCTGCCTCAGATTCGGCCGCGCCTCCACATTTGACCATCGATACACAGCTCGATGAGCAGAGACGTCGCGGCCGCTCTGCGACTGCCACAACCGCGACTGCGGCACATCCCAACCCAGAGGAACTCCTTTCCCCTGATCGCTTCTCGGTAGACTCGACCCTGCGCCGACGCATAACGCGCTCGCACACGGTAAAGCACTACAGTCCCCACCAGTCCCCTACGCGCCCATACCAGCATCAGGAGCCAGGCGCTGAGCCGGGTGTCGACACAAAGAACGAAACCGAAGCAGCCAACTACCACCACCTCTACGCGCGATGCCAAATTACCGTTGTAGACTTCTCCGACGAGCGCGTCGAGTGCCATGAACTGGACAATGATACACTCGAGGACTTTCTCAACTATCCAAAAGAAGACTGGGTGGCATGTCGGTGGATCAACGTCAACGGCTTGTCCTGGGACGTGATTCGCACCCTGGGAAACCATAAGCAACTGCACAGGCTGGCGATTGAGGATTTGATGAGCACCCAGAGCAGGACCAAGGTGGACTGGTACTCTGACCAGGCCTTTTTGCTCCTGACTCTGTCTAAGCTTGTTCGGACCCCGATGGACGAGGACTCCGAGAGCGACTCTGATTCCGACTCTGACGACAGCGAACGACGACGGCACAAGGCCCGATCACGGTCCCGCTCGCGCCATTCGCAGAAGAAGAAGAAGAAGTCCAAAAAGCCATCGCTGTTCAAGACGGCAAAGAATTTGCTCTTTCCAAAGAGCGAAGCCAACAAGCAGACGCGCCAGGATGAGATGATGAGCACACTAGACGGCCTGGAGAAGCAACTTGACGGCACGCCTTACGAAAAGGTCAAAATGTCCACTCCCCCAGCGACCACCGCCGTACGCACCCTCCAACGATACCGCGGTGGTTACAACCTCGATCGGATTGTCTATCTCGAACAGCACTCGGCCCTCACCGAAAAGCACCTCACGGTCAGCGTGGAGCAAGTCAGCATCTTCTTGCTAGCCGACAATACAGTAATCTCCTTCTTCGAGCACTCGGCCGACGACGTCGAAGACATGATTCTAAAACGTCTCCGAACAGAAGACACCATCCTCCGCCGCAGCCAGGACAGCAGCATGATTGTGCAAGCCATCATCGACGCCATTGTCGATCTCGCCATCCCCGTGGTCGCCGCCTACGAAGACGCAATGGGCGAGCTGGAACTCGACGTCTTGGAGGACCCTGAACTGCACCACTCCCAGCTCCTCTACCTGCTCACTTCTGAATTGTCGATCCTGAGGAATACCATTCAGCCCATTGTCTCCCTGATCAACTCTCTCCGCGACCACAAGGCTGATCCCATGGCCCAGGCTGTGCAGGCTATGACTATGAATTCGAATCCGTCGTCGAATAATCTTGCTACCCGCAAAACAATGTCTAGCATCAATATTAGTCCTTTGGCACACACATATCTGGGCGACGTGGAGGACCACTGCATCATGATTACAGCCAGTCTTGATCAAATGGTGATTACTTCTATCAAGCCTTGAATCACATCACATGCTGACCTGATCCATAGCGTCGCGCAGCCGACAACCTCATCGACCTAATCTTCAACGTCATGGGCGCCTACCAAAACGAAAGCATGAAGATACTCACCGCCGTAACCATCTTCTTCCTTCCCCTGACTTTCCTCGTCGGATACTTCGGTCAGAATTTCGAACGCTTCAATGGCGTGCAACACCACTCGGACGCCTTCTTCTGGATCATCGCTGTGCCCGTCATGGTCGTCACGCTGCTTGTGCTCATGGCTGATCGCATTGTGAGGAAGGTGAGGGGCTGGATGGGGAAGCTGAAACGCCGCGAGGCCAAGAGACGCGCGGTCAGGAAGGGCAAGGTGGGTGGGAATGGGATTTTGGGTGATGGGATTGGGTTGAGCAATGGGTTGGTGAGTGGGAATGGACTACTGCGTAAGGATGGAAGTAGGGGGGTGAGTAGTAGTCAAGGGCAGGGGATGATGAAGCATAAGAGGAGGCAGACTATGTATAGTAAGGGGAATATTGGGAGTTTTTAGAAGGGTGTATGGTGCATAGATCTTGGTCTTGTTACGGGGGAAGTTCTGTCTTCGGTTGAAAGAATCAGAAAGGTGTGGTGATTACCTGGACTGCCGTGGCATGGGCATAGACTAGAATTGTGTAATATAGAGATGTTGCAAGATGAATAGGTGTACCGTTTACAAGGGACAACCTTACCAGATACAGAATTAACATGCTCTACCTTGCGTCTTACACTAGCTCCTAACGAGAGAACTTATAAAGACCAATAGCATTGCAAACTTAGGGTACACAGTACTTGCCGCTGCTAGTATTTTTGGTGATGGGGTGGAGTACCAGCATCTCGAGCGGCTATCCTCATCTTAAAAGGGATGTTCGCTGCTAGATTGTGGTTTTTCGAATCCAAGGACCAAGGCACCCTCAAAGGCTCTTGCTTGTAGGTTGTAACAGAGCTGCCGTATCTTGGGCTCTGCACACACTCTGTACTCAAGGAAGGCAGTTTCCCCGCGCCTTCTTGACGTATTCAGGGATGCAAATATGAAGAGGAGAGTTTCAAGAAGAGAGGAGAGAGCGCCTTGCTGAGTCTTGTAAAATCTCATGTGCAAGATACAGAAAGTCAGATAAGGATAAGGCGGACCAGAAGAGATATTACTAGAGTGAGGGAGGAAACTGCAAAGACATTGTTTTATCAGCAGACGAAAACAGTGAAGGAATAGAAGAAAGATGTATTCCCCTTCTGAGAATGGAAAAACAGCCTAGCGGGAGAAACTGACATTCGAAGAAGGGCAAAGCCACTGCCCAGAGGAGGTTGGACAACATGCGAAAGGATGGAAGTGAAGAAGAATTCTTCCGCAAGGGCGTAGGCTGTGCGCATTCGACTAAGACCGCAGGAAATCTCAAAAGGCACGAGAAGGGATGCAAGAAGGTTGTACGCTCGTAACAAGAAAATTTATAATCTTTAGTAGCATTGTACACTTCTATGTTCTCGACCAATATCCACATAGCTCCTCCTACTACCCTTTATCATAGTAGGAAGAAGCACTCTGCTCGAAGGCATTTCCAGTATGTCTTTCTGATGTAGTGGCAATGAGAATCGCCTCCATAATCTCCATATCATGCTCAGATAAGGTTTCCGTTCCCATCACGGTAAGGGCAGCCAGAGTCGGCGTCACACCTATTCTTTCCCTTGGGGCAAGGCTGTCCCCTACCAGTCTTGATGTCGCAGCAATCTGCGTTCTGTCGTACCCAAAGTCAGCAAAGCCATCCAGTCCTCAATGAGGAGAAGAAGAAGAAGAAGAAGAAGAAGAAGAAGAAGAAGAAGAAGAAGAAGAAGAAAGAACTTGAGTCGGACTTACACATCTGGAACTGGGTATACCCATGTTGCGACAGAAGTTTGCGGATTGCGCGTTGCCGGCAAAGAGACAAGAATTGGACCCAGTTTGTCTACTGCAAGCGTCACTGCCTTGTTGGCCGCCCCAGCAGCAGCCTTTGTCGCCGACGGTACCGAAGCCGCCAACAATGTTGCACTAGATGGGGTGTTGTGTTAAAGAATGGATCTTCTTCCTACATGTACAGGATGTGAGAAGCGGGAGGTACGTACTTCGGCCTGGACGCCTACAGCCAGAGCGAGAGCGATGATGGAAATGGTGTATCTCATCTTGTTGGCACGGAGGGACAAGTCTAGCCTTGGTCTTAAAGTGGGTGCGTGGAATAGATGTTTGATCAAAGTGAACGGATGTAGAGATTGAATGAAGCTGAGGTTTTCTGGAGAAGTAAAGAGCTGGGGAGCTGGTCTTTAATAGTAGGAATCTAGTGTTGGTTTGGACGTTTACTTTGTCGATGGACGGGCTGCAGCACGGGTGTCGTGGTTCCATCACAAACACCGTCAGCAGGAGTAGCAGCAACAAAGGCCCGACTACCTTTGCACATTATTGTTTGAAAGTCGCTCAAGTTACCAGTCGGCCTTACTGTGCAACAGCTTCGATATCACGAAATAGACTGTAGAGGCGAATGTTTGGTACGCTAGTACAAGGTTTGTTTCGTACTTTGCATCATCTTGGCGACTCTTCGGGTCTTGCCGTGGTCACTCCAAGTGACCACGTGGTTGTTCAAGTGTCTATTCGCCTTGCTATTGTCTGGCTTGGTATCTGCTATGTTGGAGAATCATGCATCTAGTCAGAGTGAACTATGATTTGCGTCCGGTGAAGATAAACGTTAATTTGCATCTTGACCGCTATTCCAGATATGATGCTACGGAGTATTCTTCCACGTTCGATGTCAGCCCTGAGAAGTGACCGACTAACTTGGCTGACCAGGATGAGCCATCAGCGATGTGTAATTCACCATTACTGCAGGGCAAGTCTTGGCGGTGTTGGAGTGCGGAGACGAGCCAATCTTTGCGAACCGCTGAACAACGCCGACGCCTCCGGTGAGCCTCACACGCTAGGACTTGAACCGTGCCTGAACCGTGCTTGAACCTTGCTTGACCGTTTTCTCTCGGCCATAGTTTTGTGTTGAAAGTAGAATTGATGCCCACTGATTGTATTCGGTGATGGCGCTAATAGCAGTCTGTACGCGTCTCAAAGTTACCAAGGAAAGGCGAAACCAAGGCCGAAAAAGTTCCTACGCCATCGATTTTCAAACGTGCGAAACGCAGGCGGTGAAGTTAGTCACCCAGTCCAGCACAACCGCCTTTCTGTTCTACCTGGCCAGGTGCCCTCCCATGGTCAGTCAGCAATACTTATAAAGGCACATGCTCATCACTCCATCTCGAACAATCATCTCTCAGTTTCGCTCTTGATCTATACACACCTATCCATCTCTTTGCAAGACCTTTTCCGTTCCCGGACCTTCACCATGCAACTTTCTATCCTCCTCAGCGTGCTTGCAGGCACCGTGGCCGTCAGTGCTTATGCTGATGTCTTTGCTGCGGTAAGAGAGACTTTGTGTGCAAGGCTGGACCAGCAGTAGCTGATATGCTCTTTTTAGTGTACACCCGAGAAGGACTGCTGCTTTTCCACCAAGGGGGCTTGTCAACGACAGTCAAGCTTTGCCGTAGAACGGTACTATGAATGCGGAACGATCAAGCTCTGCCCGGATTATGGAGTTTCTCTGCAAGCTTGCGTAAGTACATCTCTCTTTGTTCCGTTTGTTCTATTGATGATATCTTACGACAATATGTTTTATGGCCTGCTAACTTCTTCTTTAGAAGGCAGATTGCTGCAGCATTTCTACCAAGTGGGGTCGTGGATGCCCCGGAAAATAGATGTTACAAGTCGTCGTGATGGTCACTGTAAAACTCCACCGCTACATCTTCCCAATGTATCTCATCGTTTTGTTGATTCTCCTGTCATCTAGGTGGTGTCTGATCTTATGGTCACCACTCTATCCACCTAAGCAATTGAAATATTGTAACAGGCCTTTTGGTGCATGATCATAATGTCTCGCAACGGAACGCTCAGAATTAGCGAAAAGAATTTACCTCTTATGACTTTCCTGATGTTGCTTACCAAGGGGGTGATCCTTTAGTATGACTGAATATGCTTCTTTGCTGCTAGCCACGTAGTGATACGTGGGACCTATCGGGCTCGTCAGCGGCGTTTGCATGAGCATAATGAGTTCGTGTGCGATGAAACGTGACGTAGATTGTAGAAAACACACTCTTTACTGATTTTGTGCTGTTTCGCATTTGGTTCAGTAGACTCACTATAAGAAAGTCAGTCATGACTCCGATCTCTGTCTTTCGTCAGGGAAGACCTACTGCAATCATTCGAGGCCCCCTTATACTTAATATAAATACGGATATGTATGATGCGCAATTTGAGAAGATGAGTAGCTTGTGATTGATACATCATCGCAGTACTGCAGGTTGCAGTGTGTTGGTCGTCGCAGTGGTTAAGTGTGGAGACAGCGATGGCGTCATCATGCGGCATCTTTGAACCTACCTCCTGAGCCATGCATCGCTGAGTTCCACCACGCAACAACCACATCTCCTGGGCTTCTCACCGTAACATATATTCAGCACAGTAATCCCAAATCGCGATGCGATGCAATTATATCTGGACGTCGCCCGGCAAGATGCACGAGGAACTCCATCACGTTCACGAGGTGGCTTACAGATGGGGGCCGCTTCTGCCGTGGCGGTCCCGGTGTGCCACCATACGCATGGCCCACCTATCATCAACCCTGACATCTGCGAATGAGGCTGCGCCTGCGTGCTGCGCCGCCACGCCAAGCGCGTCAGGCTAAACATCCTCAGCAGCGCTCAACCTACATGTCTTCTTGACAACGCCTGGTCCTCGTCCACAACGCGTCCAAACCTTGACCCGTCTTCATCGAGTAACCTGTTGTTCACTGATACATCTCCTGCACCAAGATCGCTACGAAGGCCATGGGGGAAGTAGTGAGATTCAAGCACGAACCCCTCCCAGATTCAACGACGCACATACGATTACTTGAGATCGAAAGCATCGGTGCGGAAGATCGAGTGGTGTGTCATCTCACCGCTTGGCCTGTGGAAGAGGCGCCGAATTACTATGCTTTGTCGTACGTTCTTCATGTGTAAAAATGATGTGTGCATTGTACTGATTGACCGTTTTCGGTGTTAGATATACCTGGGGCGCGAGATACCAACCTCATCATATTTTGATCAATGGATGCGTTTTCGCAGCTGGCGGAAATTGCATTTATGCGCTTAGACAAGCGCACTCGTCGAAGGCGAGCAGGTACTTCTGGATGGATGCTCTTTGCATCGACCAAAGCACCACAGAAGAAAAGAGCCATCAAGTAGGAATGATGGGTCAGATATATGCAAGATCCAAACATGTGTTGGCATGCGTCGGGCCTCATACGGACGATAGCATATCCTTTTTCCGGACTATACATGACAACCGCGGTTTATTGGCCAGCATACATGGACTAACGCTTGAGTCTACGATGGAGAATGCAGGAAACTGGGTAATGCCCAACCCTATCCCAAAGAGCTCTTGGGTTGCGCTCCGTTGTTTGCTTGCGATTAGACCTCACGATAGACAAGCCCTAGCAAAGGCGTTCGTCGCCTTCATGAAGCGTCCATATTTCTCCAGGGTTTGGGTCATGCAAGAGCTTCATCTAGCCCCTGAGATCTCGCTTTGTTGTGGCATGGACATACATTCATTTGACTATCTTCTGGCTGTGAGTATGCTGGTAGATTTCTGGGCCAATGCCTCTGACTACAGAGATTCCTTGACTGGCATCGTCACATTTGTGGCAAACATAGCGTCTTGGCAATCATGGTACTCACGCCGAGAGGAGTCCTGCTTATCGTTGCAAGACGACCTCCATGATGTTTTGCCTCAACGGGGCTGTCTGACTCTTGCCTCCGGCTTCCGAGGCCGCCGCCGACTGGCAGAGGTGTTAGAGGCCATGCAGAGCTTCCAATGTACCGACGCTCGAGACAGGCTATTCGGTGTTCTGGCTCTGGTAGATTGGGGCGGTGGTGAGCCTGCCATACCAAACTATGAAATGAACAACTACCAAGTCGCCGTCGAGGTACTGCGCCTGTATCTTAACAATCCCGAAACTCAACCACTCTTGAAGATGGCTGTTAAGTGGCCGCGTCCGCTATGGGAACTATTTAACGTCAGTGTCGAAAGAGAGGCAGTAAGAGAGGCGATAAGGGAGAGATATGGTAGCCACAAGATACCAGGGACGATACACACAACATACGATTTGACCGACCATTTACGCATTGGTACAGTCGAGGCTTACTCCAGCCGTCGTGAGATAAGCCTACTGAACATGCCAACGCGACCCCCACATATTGGAGGCCATCTACGAGATACATGGTACGGAGTGAAGCTGCTTGACATCGCTGATCGGGAGATGACTAACTCAAGGAACCGACCGTCATACTATCTTTGCTGTAAAAAGAGTCATCTCAAAGGTTCTCTCGACTCTATGCATCTACTTGTGGAGATCACAGATCAAGACGGCTGTTTGTTTGCGTATGCGCCGGAAGATACGAGACCGAATGACTGGCTCATGATCAGCCAAGCAGGCTCCTTAAGCGATGTAGACCCTGAGATGGCGATCGTAAGAAGTACGAATAACGTCCACGGCATCTACCATTTGATTGGCCATGTGTTCAAGGACCGCAAATACGCAAAGTTGATCTTTTCGATGCTCCATTGGGACTACTTTGAGTCAAACTGGAGTGCGGAAGATCTATTCCTTTTCGATTGGACGTACATGAGTCGTCCAGCAGGCGCACTTCCAAGATTAAAGTCCGATTGGCATTCGAAGATAGTGTCTACCCGTGGAGACTCTTCGTTCTTCTACGGCCCTATCATGCACATTCAGGATGATTTTGCGATGTTGAAGCCCTGACTTGACCGCACCACCTCGAATGAGAAGTATCGCGAATACAAAGAACTTGACCGGATCAGGCATCACGATCCCCATAGGCATCTCCTTGCAGACGAAGTGGGGGCACCTCATACTCTGGCAATCACTCACTGGAGAACAAGACGTTTTACGGAAGACTTCGATTGAGTAAAACACGTTCCTCGATTCAATCCCCGCCAGGTCCTCGTGGCGGCATATCGCTCCCGTAAGGAATGTGTTTACTTCACTGAGCTAAAACAAATCCACTAGATTTGAGATACTCGTTCTTGTGATCGCAGTCTAGACGAGGAAGAAGTTATGTTTCAGGGGAGCTTAGACTGGTAAATGGGTATAGGTTGGGTCAGGGTTAGATCTGATTTGTCAGACCCCAACCCAACCTATACCCCATACCCAGATTTTAACGCTAGAAATGGGTTGAGGTTAGGTCTGATTTGTTAGACCCCAACCCAACCTATACCCACAGCTGGGTATACTATACCCATTTAACAGTCTATGGGAGCTAGCTCGTGCAACTACCAAATGATGCCTGGCAGCCCTTGGAGGCGGCATAGTAATCTGCAGTGCCGCCACAGTTACCGTACTTGATGCAGCACGGGCCAGTATTGCAGATGTAGCCAGCGTTGTTACCTTTTCCAACGTCCCCGCAAGTACCATCAGGAGAGACACTACCCCTTACAGAAGCGGCATCGCATTTCCCAAAAGCACTTTAGCAAACAGTTGCAGCACAGTAGTCTGCAGTCGTACCGTGGTTTCCATACTTGCTAAAGCATGAACCGGTCTTGCAGATGTAGCCTTTGTTCTTCCCCATCTAGCACGCTACCAAAAGCAGCTATCTCATCCCTCTCAACGCCTCAGCATCGCTCTCCCCCCACGGATAGACCTCTTCAGCCCTCCTAATCAACTCCCTACACTTCTCACTCCTCGGTGTAATACTCACACGATACGGCTTCGGATGACTAACAACACCCGCTTCGAATTCCACTTTAGGCTCGACAATCTCCCCATTCACGACTGACTTTTCAACGTTGAAGACAGCAAGCGACTGGGCAATGGTCGTAAAGAGGGCATTATCAGCGACATATCGACCGGGGCAGACACGACGCCCGTAGCCAAAAGTCCATGTGCGTGGGTCGGGCTGCGTGGAGCCGTCGAGGTAGCGTTCTGGACGGAAGGTCATCGGGTCTGGATAGATGGCAGGGTCGTGCGTAAACCACCTACATACTGTTAGCGTTGATCATATGCAGTCTCTGGATGAGTACGATGTGTACCAGTTGTTAGGCAAGATCATTGCACCCTTTGGTATCCTGTAGCCTTTGATGCTGTCTTCCTGGGTACAGCAGTGTGGTATTGCCATCGGGGCGACCGGATGCCATCGATGTGTTTCCTTCATCACGGCCTCGATATACGGTAAGCTTGCTTTGTCGCTGGTGATCGGAAGTCTCTCTCCGCCAAGTACGCGGTCCAACTCCTCTTGAGCCTTCTTCTGGACTTGTGGAAATACAGCCATGGCGAGGAAGAATGTCATTAGCGATGAGACGGTTGTATCGGCACCGCCGAGGTACATGGATGCGGCAGACCATTTATGGATGTACTCCATGGAAGGGTCCGATCCGAGTGATTCGATGGCTTGAGAGAGAAAAGACGTCTTTGCTTCCTTGTCTTGCATCTGAGACTTGACGAACGCGTATGGCTCTTCGGCTGTGCGGGTCAATTGTTCCGCCATCTGGCGAGCTGTGCGCTTGAAGCTGGTACCTGGACACCAGTCTGGGAGGAATCGCACTTTTCCCGTATCAGTATCCTCCCGGTATTCGTTCGATTAAAGTGAGAAACTTACAAAACGGCAAGACATCCACAGACCATTTCCCTGGTACACTCGAATCTGCAAACTCGGCCATGGTTTGGCCCGCCATATCCACTAGCGGATCTCTTCCCTTGGCGTTTGGCGTGTATCCATACGTAATTCTCAAGATCACAGCACCTGCTTCCTTTTTGATGTGCTCAAAAAGCTCACTTGGTGAGTCCAGTACGTTCAACAAAAAGTGTGCAGCCTCTTCGTTCTGGATGCGATCAAAGACTTTGAGTGAGGTGCTGGAACTAGCTACACTAGCGATGTTGCGACGATGATGCTTGAAGGTCTGATTGGGTTGGTGCATCGCCAACGTTCTTGTCCAGCCGATCCTGCATCTGCGTTAGACATCTCGGTATCGCACCCAGGCATGTGGAAGGCGTACATGTCTCCACTAAACACCATGTGTGGTCGGCCCGAAAATGTAGCTGCACGATTGCTTAGTAGCTCCACCGCTACATCTGCATCGTTGACAATGATGAATGTCTGGCCAAGTACCGTGATCGAGCTTATCGGGCCATAGCGGTCCTTGTGCTCCAGCCAATGATGGCACTCGAGAATTCCAGGCTTCGGTAAGTCATTGATATTGCCAAGTAAGGGGAGACCCTTAGGTCCAGGAGGGAGCGGAAGGTCGTGACGATTCTTGCTCGAGAAGAAGCGGCTCAATGCGTACCACAGAAGTGTGCCGAACGCCAGAACTAGAGAAGTAGTTATTAAGAACGCCATGGCAATATGAGTTCACATAGAACCCAAGGTGCGGGACGATGAGCGGGGAGGTGGAAGCTTCAGGTTACGGAGAGCGTTGGGACAGAACACTTCGAACAAGATTGGGCTCATGCTGATGTAGCAAGCCGAACCTGAGTTTTCTCCCACGATAGTAGCATACATGCCTCATGTAGATTAGTGCCTGCGAAGCCGCCACGGAGATATCTCTCGTTCCTGGTAAGTAGTGATGCGAGTACAGGCATGCTGCAGCCATAGTTGCTGACTGGCAGTGTAAGCCAATCCCATATCATACTCGGCATAGGAGTGGAGCAGTCGCCGCCTAAAAGAGAAAGAATGGTATCATGTCAATGCGTAACGTAAAACAACGATGCGTCAAACCTTGAGGGTTCAGACGCTATAGGACGAACCATGTCTCTCTTCAATGCATCATTCTCATTTTGTCTTAGCTGTTGTTGTCTGCGTTTGTGGACGAGGAGAGAGGATAGTCTGCGGCTGCCGCACGGCGTCGGGCGCGCTACGAGACGGGACAAAGTGGGGATACTTCGCCCTGCATCACTAGCAGGGAGGGACACGTTTGTTAGCCTTGCGCAGGACGGGGCAGACGGAACGCCTAAAGTGGTCACAACCAACAAAGATGAGCCAGAAGCACATCATCTCCACAAGAGGATCATTGGACGCGAATGAACGGCTGCATTGGTATATCCAGAGCAAAATGGCTGAGGAATAATTGGCAGGAATGACCAAACAAGGAGTCATGTTCGAAGGAGACAATTCGCATGTGATGAGTAGTTGGGCAGGCACTGAGATGTTGGCATAGGCTTGTATTGAGACGAATCCTTGAGGAGCTATGGAGCCTCAGAGGGATGATACATATCTACATCACGTGATCGTGGCTGGTGCGGTCTGACGTTGTCCCGAAGGGTTTCTGGTGGCGCACCAATCTGTGGCTGGAAAATGTGGTCATGGAACATCGTGACAGCCATTGATAGCTGCACAGTAGCTGCGCAACCTCATATTGGAGGGTTGCGATCATAGGAAATATCACGAGAAAGGTCACGCGAACGACGATATGTCTCCTCTGTTCCTCACCCCTGAGCCGAGTGATCGACCCAACGACGCGAGAAACAGAGGCCTCAAACACCTTGAAGGGGGTAGGATGAGGTTGTTTAATCTTGCTTCAGTGTCCACACTCGCTCAACGTAGGAAATCGTGTTGGCGGGCTCTAGCAATTTGAAGAAGCGGAATGGAAGAAGGCCGAAGCCATGCCATGCCAGTCGCACTCGAATCCACACAACCCTTCGAAAGAAGCGTCGCAGGATAAGAGATTAGACTGCGAAAGTCCCTCATGTCCCCTCTGCAGCGGAGATGTATACATCTCGCAGCTCAGTATGGCAGGATGCCGACAGGTCGACAGGAAGCCTTTGGTCACCCCTCAAACAACATCACGAAGACGTTGTAATCACGCATCGAATGGTGACGGATGCTGTGCCCATCCATAGTCACCATGCGCGCAGATCTTGACAGTGGTGTCGACAGTCAGGGCCAGAGCCTGATACCAGGATGACACCCATCAGTCGGAGTCCAACTTCGATCTGCTATCCCGCCGCAGCGGAACCCACTGTTAGAGCAAGTAACAGCAGTGTGATGGCCACGCGCAATCTCAACAACGCAGGGTTGGAGTCAGACGCTGGATCACTGTACCACAGTACATGCGACCGAATGGCAGAGAGATCAACGATTCTTTAACCGAAGATCATCAACGATTATTTAATCGCTGACCGTCAACGATTGTTTAACCGAAGACTAGTCATTTTCCCGATGGTGAATGTATCACTATCGAGTGCTTCGTAGCAAAACGTGCCAAGGGCCATGCGGCCTACCGGAAACCGTCCAAAGACGGTGCCATATCTGTTGGCTTCTTCCTCCAAGATCGGGGTCCAAGACTGCCGGTATCTCTCTTTGGTCAAGAGGCCTAGCCTAATGAAGCCCTCTCTCAGTGTCGGGGATAAATCCCTGCTTGCGAAGTTCGCGAGTCGGTACGAATCGTATCGGACCACTGTCTGACTACACATGTGGATTTGTGAATATGGCCCCAGCGTGTAGAGTCACGCGTGGATTTTGTGGAGTAGAGTCGTTGCGTGGAAGGCACCGGCGCATCGCGACGCGCGCAGAGCCGACTTCGACCGGTCGATGGGGGTGCTTAACACGTTCCTTGGTGGTAGGAACTCGCGTGGCGGTCAGACAGACGCGTCTTATGGACCTCCGTGGCGCGGCTTGAACTCCATTGTCTCAGGTATAAGATAGGATAGAGCGTGATGTGGTGTGGTATGATATGGTATGGTATGGTTGGTATCGATGAAGGTTCAAAATGTTCAAAATGATAGGTAAAGCATGTTTGAAGGTGTCGACGACAATTCGCGTTCGACGCGTCGACATAAGACAGTCATGAAATGAGCAGGCCGAGAAGGCCTGTACAGCTACAAAGGAGCTGAACAACAAAGGTGTAGGGAAGAAGGCACGGAGAGGAGGGAGGTGTGAAAAAGTGAAGAATTGGACTGCTCGGAAATGGGTCTGTGTTTCGCTTGGCATTGGCCCATGCATGCGCGTCATCGAAGCTAGTAGAGTGACGAACGACACAGCACGCGCCAGCAAGAGGGAACGCTTCAACCTCACCAGGGACGCGATATGGTCAGTTCTCCGAGACAAGTACACCCTGGGAGACGAACTAACAAACGACAGTCGTCGAAACGTCGTGGGCCTCCTACGAAGGCGCCGCCCGCCAAACGCCCTTCAAAGCTCGCGAAAGAGAATGGTATAACGGCAGAGCAAGAGGCTGAGATACGCGAGGCATTTGGCCTCTTCGCTGTGTCGCATCCCGAACATGAAGGCTCTAAGGAGGGTGTGTTGAAGAAGAGCGACGTGCGCAGATGTCTCATGTAAGCCGCGCAAACTCACTTTCAATGTGCATCTACTAAAGATGGCATAGTTCGCTGAACCTCACACCCGACAAGTCTGAGATGTCGTCCATCTTGTCTACCATCGATCCCCTCAATACAGGCTACGTCGAGTTTGTACCTTTCCTTTCGTACGCTGCCATCGCAATACACTCCAAGGAGCAAGGGTCCGACGAAGACGAAGACGGCGACGACTACCAAGGCGAGAGCAATGCAGAAGAAGTCAGTGCGGCTTATCAGCTCTTCACGCATGGCGCCCCGGGACCGATAACACTTGGGCATCTGAGAAGGGTTGCAAAGGAGCTGCGAGAAGATGTGCCAGACGACGTCTTGAAGGATATGATTCTCGAGGCAAATGGCGGGGTCAAAGGTCAGGGCAAAGATGTTGGAGGAGTCAGCCTCGAAGATTTTGAGAGTGTCATGAAGAGAGCTGGGTTGTCTTTCGGATGAAAGCGCCAGAGTTAGCATGACCGACTCACGGAACAACGCACGGCACGATCTGTGCGAAGCCCTCAAACACCGCTGCCATCGCACGCGTCGATGGTGACCTTACAAGACGTAATGCGAAAGTCTCTCAGCTCCTCAGCCGCCCGACTTCCCAGTACTCCATCCGTGCGCCCTGATCAAACGGCGTCGAGCCAGGGAACGAGCGGCGGAGCTAGCGCACGATGGGCATCACACTCAAAAGGCGGCTGTCTGCCTGGTACACGAGAAGATATAGTGTAGAAAGTAAAGCCATGCAATGAGAGTCGTAGAATATCTGTAACACATTGCATCAACAGCCACGTCATTCCAAATGCGTTGCGACGCCAAATATAGCCGATAAGGCTGGCCCCATTGGATGGTGGCGCTGCAGGGCTGAAGTTCAGATGTTAGTGCCAAGATTCAGGGACCTCACCCAACAAGCACACGAATACGAACGCAACCGTCTTGGGTAACGCCAATCGCAATCGAAAAGACGTCCCTGCTGCTGTGAACGGTCACCACTGTTGTACGTAACCATCCACCGTGTCCACAACCGCCGCAACAGCCCAGGCTAACTTGTCGATGCAGCTCAGCTCAATGACCACGCCCTAAACCGTGGACCCTTTTCTCCCCTTGTGTCGCCTAGTTCCATGTCCAGCGGCGTCGAAGTCCCCGGAAGCCAACAACGTCCCGGCATCTGGTCCTACTTTAGTTTCTCTGGCCCACGCCGCCGCGTCTCCGTCTCCCTGCCACGCAGCTTCGACCCCAACCGCGCCGACGCCAGCGACCCAAACGCCAAAGCCGACAGACACTCGCGACATCGGTCCACGTATTCGGACGCATTCATGAACGACCACAAGGGCAGCGCCGTCATGAACCAAGGGCAGCGGTTGCGCTACCTGAAGACAGGTGGCGTCATCGCATTCATACTGCTTGTCCTGTATTTCGTCGCACCGCGAGATGGCATATCCAGACCGGCTGGTAGGTCGAGGACACGTTCTTGGGAAGCCATGTGCTAACACACCTACCAGCATCGCATCCATCAGGCGGCAACACAGCAGCCGGCGATGCACAGACACAATGCACAAAGTCCTACTCCAAGGACAAGCCGCTCATCCAATATGCTCTCATGGTCGACGCCGGCAGCACGGGCTCGCGCATCCACGTCTACAAATTCAACAACTGCGGCCCGAGCCCCGAACTCGAGAGCGAGAACTTCGAGATGACACCCAAGCGAGAGGGAGGCTCTGGTCTCTCGGCATACGGCGACAACCCAGAGGCTGCCGCCAAGAGTCTGGATGTGCTCATGGACGTTGCGCTCAAGAACGTGCCCAAGGAATACCAGTCATGCACACCCATCGCTGTAAAGGCCACAGCTGGCCTCCGCAAGCTTGGCGAGGAGAAGAGCAACGCCATCCTCGCTGCCGTGCGCAAGCATCTTGACAACGACTACCCCTTCCCACTCGTCTCCGAAGAGAGGAAAGGTGTAGAGGTCATGCCTGGCGAGATGGAGGGTGTGTACGCATGGATCACCGTCAACTACCTCCTAGGCAAGATCGGCGGCCCCGACAAGAACCCCACCGCTGCTGTCCTCGACCTTGGTGGTGGCTCCACGCAAATCATCTTCGAGCCTACCTTCCCCGATACCCCTCGCGGCGGACTCCCCACCAAGCTAGCAGAAGGAGACCACAAGTACACGCTCAACTTCGGTAACCGCGACTTCGATCTCTACCAGCACTCGTACCTTGGCTACGGCCTCATGGAAGCCCGTAACAACCTGCACAGCACCGTTCTCGCCGGCCTCCACGAGACAAACAAGGACAACAGGGAATACCTCAAGAAGCCCATTGTGAACCCTTGCATCGCACCCGGCATGACCCGCGAAGTCGAAGTACAGATGCCCAAGGGCCACGCACTAGGCGACTCCATCACAGTCAACATGACCGGCCCCTCTACCGCCTCTCCCACCCAATGTCGCGGTCTAGCCGAGAAGACACTCCACAAAGACGACGAGTGCGCCATCGCCCCTTGCGCTTTCCGCGGTGTCCATCAACCTCCTTTCGAGCAGACGTTTGCTACCGAAGCCGTATACCTTCTCTCCTACTTCTACGACCGCACACAGGACCTCGGCATGCCCGAGTCGTTTACACTACGCGAGCTGCAGGACTTGGCCGACAAGGTGTGCATGGGCGAGAAGGGCTGGGATTCCTTCAGCGCTGTGCCCAAGGCGCTTGACGAGTTGAAGGGCCGGCCCGAGTGGTGCTTGGATCTCAACTTCCAGTACGAGCTGCTGAGGAGTGGGTACGGTATGCCGATTGATCGCGAGGTCAAGATTGCGAAGAAGATCAAGGGTAATGAGCTGGGCTGGTGTTTGGGTGCTAGGTGAGTCTTTGCAGTATATCGTATTTGTACATGACCATGGTTGCTAATCCGTATCAGTCTTCCGCTGCTTGAGGCGAACTCGGGCTGGCAATGCAAGATTAAGCAGGTGCAATAGACGGATTACGAGGATTGTCTATTCAGGGGTATTCCCGGTACAGTGATTGACGATCCGTTCCCTTGTTACCCCGGAAGTGTGCACAGTGGTATGCATTGATTGGCGTTTTGTTGGTTCGGGTTGTGGTGCCAATGGATGAAAGCCTTGATGGATTCACTCACTTATGGCTACTCGCAAAGGTGTTGATGTAGAATGATGTATTCATAACCGCACAATAAACATAGACTTGCAACTCTTGTCTCACGAGGCAAGCTTTGTTGTTAAGAAATCCTGCTGCACGCTCTTCGCGAGGTTAAGGCGCCCTGCTTTGAAGTTTCTCACGTGACGTCGGAGGTCTTAGCCTCGGCCAGCGTGCCCACACCCAATTACAGACGTTTCTGGTTTGACCAACCATATATCAAGCTTCCGTCCTGTGCATCACGACCTTAGAGGCGCTGCAAGCAGGGCAATAAGCTATCGGGTGTGAAGAAAGCAGTCAGGGAGGGCGTATACATCATTGCGGCCATGTAATTATGTGCGCTCACTTACGCTGGTAGATGGGCGGGATAAAGTGGTGCGGAGCGGAACAACGTAACTACGAATCGGACCGCAAAAGCCTCAACAAACAGCAGCCGGTTCCAGCCATAGTTTACTCCATTACACCTGCTCTACCTGATATCGATCGTCATGTCAAGCTCACACTCTGATGACGAGGATCGTCATCCGAGGCAGGTACATCTTCCTAAACTATCATGACTCTAGTATTGTTATTCTAAAACGTGTCCACAGAGGGCATCAAGAGCATGTACCATGTGTCACTCACGAAAAGTCAAGTGCGATGCTCTTAGTGTATACCCCTGTACAAGATGCAAAGATGCCAATCTCCAATGCGTACTACGATCGTCACGGCGTCGACAGAAAACCATGTAAGATAACTCAGATTTGAGGTACTAATCGAGTGATAACATAACCGACACTCCGGTATGAAGCCATAGGAACAGAAGCAACGTACCAGCAGCTGAGCACGTGCATATGGAGTTTGAGACGTCTACAAATCCGTTGGGATCGCGCGACACCACATCCGCGCAGAGCCGCTTGACTACAAGATCGTCAACCCTATCCTTGCCCCCACATGAGACATCCGTGAATTACCCGGTAGCCTTTGCTACAATCGACTATACATCTAGCGAAGATGCCGATCGAGTCATCAGTCACGTTGAGACTCAATCGTTGAGCCCTTCTCCCCGGATGCAGAGTCGTCACGCCATGATTCTGCATATCGATGAGAAAGCCGCATTTCCGCATGTTCTCCACAGCATGTCGAACTCAAACTCTGGCGATGAAAATGTAGTTCCGAATCATCATCTCTCCCTCCGGCCAGATCATGCGCTGAATAACAGCACGAACGCTCCCGAAAGGTACTCCAAAGCGATATCCCAGCTTGATCCGTTAACGCGTGTCTTTCTATCAGATCAAGGCGTCCTGAAGATACCACGAAGACACATCACACACGCTCTGTTGGCTGTATTCTTCAGGCAAGTCCACCCACACGTTCCTGTAGTCGACAAAGCTGCGTTTGTTCGCGATTGGTCAGCACGCACGTGCTCTCCTCTGCTTTTGAACAGTATGCTTGCGCTAGCGTCGCACTTCGCCGACGAGGATCTTGTCCTCGCCGTTGGCATAGGGTCAGGTCGTAGTAAGGGAGAGATGGCAGACTATTTTTTACAAAAGGCGCGGCTCCTGGCTGACTTTGGACTGGAGCATGACCACGAGACCCAGCTGGTGAGCTTCTTGTTGCTGGCACAGATGTGGCAGACGTGGACGATGGAGCGGAATCCAAGGTACTGGATAGGAAGGGCTATGAATGTAGGTGTGGGGATGGGGCTCTTCAGAAGGTTGGTTCCAACTCTCACCTTGCTTTTGCATGCTCTGTTTCTGACGGCGTTTCTTTCGACAGGGTACACACGATGCGGATGTCTGAAGAAGACGTGTTGAGGCGAAGCCGTCTTGCATTGCTGCTTTTGGTTAGTACATGCCAAAGGCAATTCGCACTTGGCGCCTTTCGAACCGTTCTAGAAGATCTTTGCTGATACTGGAGGCAAGGCATATGACGCGATGACCGCCACAGGAGTTGGCAGTCCGATGACTCTTGCAGAGGAGGACATCGAACTACAGCTACATGCTGAACGTCGCTATTTTGAAAGCTGTCACTCTCCGGCAGATGAGCCATCCGCAGCTCGCTACCAATCTGCTGAACTTAATTTCATGACGGCTTCTCTATCTCTCATGTTGTTTCGTATGTGGTCATTCGCAAGCAACGATCTTGGCAGAGGTATCCGCTAAAGCAAAGTAGTTCGGAAAATTCTCAGAGCCGTCTACGCAACTCGGCCTGTGACATCCCAAAGCGCAGCTTTGAATGTCATCGAAGACAAGCTGAGGCACTACAACACGATCGCCACACCGCCTGACGATAGTTCACGACCTCTAATCTTCAGTCTTTTGCTTCGGCTGCGCCTTCTCTTCAATCAGTTGGTTTTCTACCGTGGAATCGTGTTTGGCCGCATTCAACATGAAAAGCGGATATACTACGAAGAAGCTCTCCTTTCAACAGTGGTTGAGATGTGTGAAGTCGTACGTCATCTTGACTCGCATAGGTGTCTACCTGACTGTCCGAGTTGGACGTAAGTGACAGAGGTTCTTGATCGTGAACACACCGATTGCTTATATCTAACCGGTGTATAGAACCACTGCTCTCTTTCATGCGTCAGCTGTGCTATTGAACTTTTATGCTGGTAAAAGCTCTATTGAGGCATCTGATACAGCAATCGACTTACCTACACTTATCATTCAATTGATTGGGAACCTAGAGAAGATGGAGGAGACATGGAGTTTTGCTGCTTGGATAGGCAGGGCAGTGAGGACTGCTTTGGACTCGGTCAAAAGGAAGGTGGATCTTCGACAACAAAAGCAAGACCCACCAACGCGAGGCGGTGATTCCTTCGATGCAGAGCGTAGTCCGTTGACAAGTCTAACAGCAGATATGCCCCTCGACGATGGTTTTATGGATATTTTCGATTGGCATGCAATCTTTGCCAATAGAATACCGTTCCAATGAAAGCGATCCGGGACTTCAATCTAGAATATATTATTCCGATACAAAATCTATTTTTGATATGTACTACATGTTGTGTAGCAATGCCAGGTCATATACCAATGCGCAAGATACAGCCACAAAGACGATACACTCCAGCTCCTCGAGATCTATATACAAATTCTTGTGCGTATGTCTACTATACTCACAGACATGTTCATTCAACATTAGACAGCAATTATAAGGTGCCGGGTGTTATGTGCAGACTTGTTGAAGGCTTCCTTGGCTATACATTATGCGTTCTAAAACGCAGTGCAATGTTTCGCAATTAAACTCGTAGATCGCCGAAAGAGTTAATGATATAACGGATAGCAACAGTTCTGGATGTTTCCTGCTCCGGCTTCGTTTCATCAATGCCAAATAGCATGTTCACCGCATTTCCGGGCTTGTAGGTAGGCCAGGTCACATTGAAGTTTTCGACTGTGTCATGTCATTCCTATTTTACGTATCTTTGAGGAAGTAAGAACATACCATCGTAGCCGGTCGGCGAATGCTCGTTCGCAAAGCTAATCCACATGCGGCTTATGAGATTGCTCACTTGCAAGTACTTCTAACAGGTTTTAATAGAGGTAGAGGCAAGTCTGTTAACGTCGTGTCCTGCGCTATCGAAATTCCGGAATACAAAAGGTATCTCTTGGAAATGGGGAACGCCTGGGATGTCAGGATCGATACCGTGTGGAACTACGCTGAAACAATAGCTGTATGCGGGTACCCCGTATTGTCCTCAAACTTCCGTAGTGTAACGTCTTGTTGCATCGAACATGATATCACCTTGGTACATAGCCAAGTTTCCGAATAAAGATCCATACTGAGGACCCAGTGACTGGCGTATCGTGCTGAGACTCTTTTTCAGTTCTTCCTCTGACATTCTGTTGACGCATTCATCTACGATGCCATCGATAGTGGTGCTTGAGATGCCTTCCCATGATCCGGCAACATAATCTTGAAAATCAGCAGACGTGTTTGCAGCAAAGCGACTCGCAACGACAATAGAACTTGTTTCATTGTAACAAGTTCCAATAAAAAGTGAACGTTTTGAAAACCTTCCTTCGCGCAGAGCAACAGAAGTGTAACCGGTAACTAGATCTGCGTTCAAGATGGGCACGTATGAATCAGACGCGCGAGCAAAAGCTTGGTTCAACTTGCTGGCATTTTGAGATCGTAGACATTCTAGGTCATATTTCGTAGCCAAGCATCCAACATCTGTCAGGATCCTCTCGTACATGACGTCTTGCTTGTCTGATGCGGTGAGGAGCACCGGGTACTGGCCCACCACTTTCAGCAATAGCAGCATAGAACAATTCTTCGTATCGTTATTCATTAGTAAGATAATGCACGCCGATCGAGAAAGCATCGGCTGACTCTCCTTGGACTGTCACACGCGAGGCATCTCCACCAAATGCGGCGATGTTCTCTCGAATCCAGCGCAACGCCATCCTTTGGTCATGAAGGCCAAGGTTGCGACTGTGGACTTGTTAACAGAAGCGCCAGGGAGAAACGCGGATCCCACGAGCCTGTAGTTGAAGCTCGCTGCAATGAGGGGCTTGCTGTGAGGCTTAACTACAGGCGATATTGCTTGCTTCACGTTACCAAGGATAGTAAGAGATAGCTCGTAGGTTTTAACTACAGACGTAGGTTGTAAGAAGAATGAATCTTGTATTCTTTTATAGAGCGAGGCGCACCTTATAAGCAGGTCTAGCGCGTGCTACTCTACTAGAAGCAGTATGCGTCTCGCATCCCCTCTTCAAGGCTAAAGTACTTCTAGAGTCGTCGTTACACTTGCCTATTTTGACAGACTCTTGCACGATAAATAGGGTATTGTATCTTTGATCCGCACTTTCGCTCCCTTAAAAGCCACCGCTATGTATCCATGCAAAAACGGGTAGCTTAGTAATGCTTAGCACTCTAACAGGCCGTAACACGTTTGAAGTAAGACACTCTTCGCTCTCAGTGTAAGCAAAACTATTCCAATCGAACCTAGGAGATAATTGAGGAATGAAATAACGCCACGGTCCGTGTTGTGAGGGTAGGTTTTGCCCGATGCATTAGTAGGTGTATTATTAATCGGTCTTCTGCCTCCGCGCGTGCCTAATAACCTATCGAGCGTTAACTTTCAGTGCGCACGTGACCTATCTACACGTGACCTGCACCTTCGTAACCTGTGCATATTAACCGCCTCTCTGCTGCACCGCAGTATGACCTTGCTGACCGCTCATGCTACTTCTCGTTTAGTAATTGAGGGCAATTGAGTCTCTAGGTCCTAGCGGGACGTTGAGCATAAAAGAACCCTAAGAAAAGGTTTCAACTATAACGCGTGTCTCTAATTCCGATAAGGGTGACATTCTGAACCGTAACTGCAGGGTGGTCGAAATACCTTTTAATTAGAAAGTGAACTGCTAAATTCGAAAGCTAAAAGAAGCTTTATGCTTCCGAGTACGCTTTACATAATCTGTAATAAAATAATATAGCTAAAAAGTTCCTGAGTTTACATGATGTGCAAGTAAGCAGTATTTATTAATTCCCACACAGAGCTATTATCTGTCGATTTTCGGTCAGAGCGGTTAGTTGGTAGTTGCCGGTTGTCGGTTTTCGCTTCAGGGTGCCGGCTGCCGGCTATCGGCTGTCGGTTATTAGTGGTATGTCATTGGTGGTCGGTGATCGGCTGTCGGTAATCGGTGATCGGCCGCCGATTATTAATTGTAGTTAGCTGTTATCTAAGGGCCATAGGTAAGCAGAACTATGTTTGAAATTAGATCTGCTTCATTCCCTTCACTAGTGTCGACTAAGTAGAAGAATGACCTTTTTGTTGTTAACAATATGCTTTTCGAGCTAGAAGGTTTAGTAGCTGTACTCTATTACTATTGATATTTCTCGTGCTCTTTATTTTGTTCGTGGGCCGGCTTCTTCTTGGGTATGTTCTTCATTGTACTATGTTCACATGCAGATTGGAATGGCGAAGAATCAAGCATCTGATACTTGGGTTTCACAATCGAAGATGATTTTGGAATTCTTGTTTCAGTATCTTGCAACACGCTGAAGGGCAGTTAAAACGTCTTTGATCGTCTACTACAGTGCTCGTCTCCTTGTACGACAATACTTCTTAGTTTGCTTCTCCTGAATTACATCACATCATGCGCGCGTGCAACACATTGCATGCCGATTACTGTTAGCAAATGGCTTTCGTGTCGTTCATTGAGGTATGTATCTGGTGAATCTATGCCAAACCATCGCCTTTCTGACTATGCCTTCTCTCAATCGCCCGTAATACAGAGTGAAGACTTATAGGGTGACCCTTAACCTTGCGTACCAGCAATAGTGCTTATCTGCGTGGCAGCCCTGGGTTGTCTGTCTCTCAAGTTCCCAGATTCCAAAGAAAATGTACTTCGAGCACGTATCAGCGAGCGGAAAATGTACAACAAGAAGAGAACGGGCACGCATGCTGATGAAACAAAAGCAGGCACTGTAGAACCCTAGTGTATGCCTAGACTTCTGTACATCTGAGTAGTGAACAAAGGAAATACAGCTCCAAAGATGGACCGCAAAATCGCGTTAGCAGCGAGTACTGTGGCAACATAAACGGTGTAGGAATCAATGAGGTAGTTATTGACTGAGAAAATCACGAGTACAACCCCAGGTCTAAGCGGTACACCAGCTGCGATACTGGTAAGCCAGGATATGCTGGCGCTATTAGTCTATACGATCCAGAATAGACCAATAGGTATCGCAATCGGTCCAATGATACTAGGGGGCAGGCGGGCTTCTGGTTCGGCATGTTGTGAGGCACTTTGCTCCAGAATGCTGTCATAACCTGGATTCTCGAAGATCGAGTAGATGACAGCACTCATCTTCCTGACTGCCAGGCTGATAAATAGGAGTCCACCGATGCTGTTCGACCACCCACGAGCTTCCTGATGAACGATGGGCAAGGCTGAAAAGAGCATGTAAAGTATTTTGTCCAGGATCTGGGATAGTTTCAGTGGCTGTTCATCGATTCAAAAGCGATATCGACTTACTACAATATAGACGGAAAGCAGAAGCACGATCAGCTTCCGAAACAGTAAAATTCACGGCCTGGACGGGGTCTTTTGACATGCTTCTCTAGCGCTAGTTTTTCCGAGCTGAACATCCGCATTCGCTTTTGCAGCGTTCCGTTGTCAATTTCGAAAGATGAGCCATTCGACGGAGGGGGACTAGGGCAAAGGTCTCAGGAATCAAGATCACCCCCATAAACCAGACGGCACCGACGAATATCGCCATTCCGCCCTGAACCCAGCGCTAGCCCAAATTCTGATCAACGAAGCCATTGACTGTTAAATTTTAGGATTTGCAGTGCTTGTTGGAACGCTATCATACAAACGTTGGGGTTGAATACGTACCAATTGGACCCATGACTGGGCCGAGGAACGGAGCAGCCGCGAAGATAGTCAGAGCCAATCCTCGCTCTCCAGCTTCGAACATGTCTGCAATAACACCACCAACATTAGACTGATGCGAAGAGTCAAATGCGCCAGCAAGAAAGTGGAAGATAATCAGGCTTTGTACGTTGGGCGCAACCACAGCAGCGACACTAAATACAGTAAGCACGGCGTAGGTAAAAGAAAACACATACTGCCGGCCGTGAACCTCTAACCAAACATCGGTACAAAGGTTGACAGCTACAAAAGAGTACCTACCGCTCAAAGGACCCCAAAGTTGAGGTCCAATGGCAAACCCCAGAACAAACAAAGAAAGTCACAGAATGGAACCATGCTGCGATTCGTCAAAGCCAGAGATGATGCTTCTGCTACCTCCACTATATGCAAAAGATGCAAAGGGAACAGAGAGCGCTGAGATGGAGCTGATGAAGGTGAAGCCCCACTCGCGAATGGATGTGAATTCCAAAGGATTGACAGGATCGCGTAACATCCAATCGACAATGAACGGGTCATTCTCGATCCCAGAAGCTTTGAACTCTACACTTGTAAGGGTATCGTAAGCCAGGTCCTTATTCAACAGCTGATCAACTCGTCGGAATAAAGCTCTTGTGTTGCAACCTGCCATTAGACTTTGCGATGGTAGCTGATCGAACGTTAGTCCAATTGTTTATAATAGGTCAAAAGCTGTGCACTATTAAGCAAAGCGTCTCCTTACGCTGAATGTACCTCTGCGTGTATCGAATGTGTATAGTGATGGGACGCGATCTAGGCTAGGCAACGTGCGAGGTTTGCAGAGTGTACCTTTGAGAGCGATGCATATAATAGAGGTCAACGAGGTCACTTGCCTATAGAAGACAGTCAAAAAGTGTCTCAAGTAACCCTTGCCGCAGAGAGCTTTGTTTGGTAGAGTGCAGAGACGCTAGGGGCACTGACTGCAATGTGCCGTGAAGGCGTAGAGGATTAGAACGATAAATGACATTTGTCATCGATTTCGCCTTTTAGATGAACTTAAGTCCGATTCCACCACTCTTCAAGGCACTCTGTAGCCCTCGTATAACTCGTAGGCATCACGCGCGAACTTCATTCTATTCTTGATACGTGTGCCAGCTTACTATGTCAATTCTCCACACATTGCGTCTGTTGTTGCTGAGTAAATTCCTGGACCTTCAATTGAGCCGCTCCCTTGAAACGCGGAAGATAGACCTTCATGAATGTTGGTCCTTTCCTCCTTGGCATCCCATAGCCGCTTCGCTAGTGCCGCTGAAGACGGCGCTTTGCTTGTCCATGCATGATGATGCGTAATAATGTACACGATTATTCGATGCCCGATTCGATCTCTATATGAATAAAATGATTTTCTTTGAGCGATTCAGATCTCACCTCTATTCCCCGTCGTTCAAAGTTATTCTCAAAAACTCCGAATAATGGCTATCAATCAACCAATTCTTCCTGTTCCTCAGTCAGACGCTACTGTAGCGATTCGAGTCATCGATACCGGTTCAAGAGCTAGTACTTCTGCTTCCGAATTTTTCAAACCCACCATATCTGGCCATGATATTCTCGCCAATTCACCTGCCTATCCTTTTCTCATCGGACACGGTTCAGGCCGCAAAGCCATCTTTGACTTTGGTATTCGCAAGGACTGGCGCAACTTTCTGTCAGCGCTGATCAAGATGTTCGAGCCTGCAGGTGTATAGACCCACGGACATAAGGATGTTGTTGATGTTCTCGAGAAGGGTGATGTAAGGGAAGAGGAGAATAATGCTGTGATATGGAAGTAAAATTCTCCCATTTCCACAATACACCTCTTATCTAGTCGTCTTCAATTGTAGTCATCGGCATTTTGATCGCGTCGGTGATACTTCGCGTTTCGCTGCTGATACAGAGCTTATTGTTGGGCCTGGCTTTTCCAATGCCCCCATCCCTGGCTACCCGGCAGGCGAAAACAGCCCAATTCTGGAGGCAGATTATAAGTTAGCCTCCCGACGACAACAAGAATACATGACTGATCGTTTTAACCAGGCACCGCCCACTCCGTGAGATCGATTTCGCCACCGATAGGGTTTTGGAACTTAGGGGCTTTGATGTCTTAGACTATTTCAAAGATGGCAGTCTCTATCTGCTCAATGCGCCAGGGGTATAATATTATGTCCCTCAAACATGAGGTTTTTGTGTCGTCCTGCGTTCCGTTAGCAATGAGACTAACGTTCTGTCGACGGCGCACTGTAGGACACATCTGCGCACTAGCTCGCGCCACGCCAACGACCTTCATCTCTATGGAAGGTGACGCCTGCCACCATTACGGCGAATTTCGCCCAATCGAATCCTTACCTATTCCGACAACATTATCTCCATCTCCCATCACAAACCTTCTGTTTGCTCCAAATAGCTTCTGTCTAGGCTCTATGCTCCAAGCCATCCATCCTGAGAAGTCAGCCACGGAGCCAGTTTATAGGGTCAAGGAAGTCTAGCATCTTCCACAGGACGTTGTGGAAACGCAGAAGACACTTAAAAAGATGACCGACTTTGACGCTGATGAGAACGTGCTTGTGATTATAGCTCATGACCGTACCTTCTTGGATATCCTACACTTTTACCCAGCTAATGCAAACTCTTGGAAGAAAAAAGGATGTAGAGAAGCGGGTATGTGGAGTTTTTTTTTTTTTGGCTGATGTCAAATTCGCCGCGGACTATAGCGCATTTGAAATATGTTGGAAACTACGCAGAAAGATTACTGCCGATTTATCTATTGAATCGCTCTTCTGTCTAATAATTGATAATTGTGTTTGAATGATCCATTCCTGTATATGTATCTCGATGTGTACGAAACAAAAATAGGATATGCCAGCCGTATAGAGCATCTTAGAGATTCACAGGAGTACACTAGCTTATAGAATATTAGCCTAGGAATTCCTCTCTCGTTGAAATGTGAAAACCCGCTGGCCGACAGCGGGTTACTGACAACCGAGCAGCCGACGGCCGACTACCGACAACCAAACAGCCAAGAACCCCCCATCTAGTCCTGCAAATAGAGATTTCTTGATCTGAGGTTTGATATGAGCAATTGTGGGTCAGAATAGCCTTGATCTAACAAAAATAACAAGGTCGCGGTGGCTGGGATGACGGCGTGAAATGTGGTTTGGTCGAAGCAGAAACGACTGTGACTGTCTGCAGCTGTGACTGGGGTAATCACGGAGGTCGGCAAGCGGAGCGCAGCGAGCGGAGCGCGTCTTGGGCCGTGATCCCACCCTTCGGCCGCTTCGCTCGCCGATCGCCGACGTCACGTGAGAAACTCCAAAGCAAGTCGGGCGTCTTAAACGCGGAGAGTTCACAGCAGGAAAAACACGACAACAGCAAGAATTTCACTTTTTGGAGTAAACGTAGTACGACGCGTGCAAAACTTCCACTAGAGACGGCTTTCGAATAGCCAGCGCTCAGAAGTAGCGCCCACTGCTGCTGAGGCGCCATGGCGACCCCGTGGCCCCGAAGGTCGACCTGGCCGATCCCAATAGACGAGCATGCTACCAACCTCAGCGCTTTCCTTCGCGGGGTGCTATCCTGAATTGAGCGCAACGGAGACCAGCAGCCTCTGCCGGCAGACATTGTTGGCGATATTATTCGCGGCGCATTAACGTTCGTACTAAAGACGCAGCACTCCCCTGACCTCAGTAGTCTCAGCGACGCGCTTAACGTCGCGCGGACTAAGGCAAGAGTGACAGCAGAACGCACGGCGCGAACCCTTGACTAAATTAAAAAAGAACTTAAGTCTATCGTAGAACTCGTATAACAGTCCGCAACAAAGATACAATAAAATAGCAACATGGCAGGAGAGGCGAGGGCGGCAGCTCAGGACGCCACAGAGGTGGGTAAAGCGACGCTGGAGATTGCGCGAGAGATCGTGAACAAGAAATTATAAGAGCAGGCGAACGGGCTAATGGGCTACGCTGCGGCGGCAGGTAGGGAAGTCCCGTTAGCAGGTACATACAATGCACAAAGTGTCAAAAAGCCATCTGCGCAAACGCAGCGTGAGGTTATTATGAATATAAGAGACCCCCTCACCGTACAGGACCTGAGAACTATGAATTCTAGCAACCTTCAAATGTATGTCCAGCGTGCTAATAAGCAAAGTGGCAATGAAAACATAGTCAACGTGAAGATCGTCTCATCTAAACAACTGAAGAGTGGAGAGCTAAGCATCAAGACAGCAAGCAGCAAGGAAGTTAAGGCGCTACGACAGTTCGCGGACGACTGGGCCCACCGCATAGGCAGTGGGACTACAGTGAAGGTCCCGACATTCGGTGTCCTCGCACACGGCACTCGCACAAGCACGATGGACATGAGCAAGCTTGACGAGATCAGAGCGCAGATACTGCAGGACAACCGACCGTTCATACCCCGGGCCGGGATAAGACACATAGGCTGGTTTACTAGAGATGCTACCACCAAGACGGCAACAACTACCACCATCGAGTTCACCAAACCAGAGGACGCCAACAAGATCATCGACGAGGGTCTGATCTTGCAAGGTGAGGTTTTCCAGTGCGAGCGATGCGAGCGACATAACCGAGTGAAGCAGTGCTTTAAGTGCCAAAGATACGGCCACATGGGAACGCAGTGCAAGGCAGCAACAGCATGTAGCCACTGTGCGCAGGAACACGACACCCGGGACTGCCCATCAAGGGCCGGACAAGCCATGACTAGGAAATGTGCCGCCTGCCGCGGCGAGCACGAAGCGTAGAGCCGCCAGTGCCCGACCAGAAAAGACGAGATAGCCAAGGCAAGGACCGCGTACGAGATGCGACCGCGCTACCACCCCGTTTCGCAAACAGCCGCACAATTCGCGAGTCGACTACGGTCGTCTTACGCAAGCCAGGCAAAGGCGATTACACGGCACCGAAGTCGTATAGGCCCATCGCATTGATAAACACCACAGGCAAAACTATAGACGTCGTCATAGCACGGCGACTCAGCTACCTAGCCGAGACCTATCACGTCCTACCGCCGACACACATGGGCGGCAGGAAGATGCGCTCAACTAAGCACGCTCTTCACGCCGTAATCCATATGATATACGAAGCATAGAGCCACAACACTAGACAGGTGGCGAGTCTCTTGCTGCTCGATGTCTCTAGAGCCTTCGTCCACGTCTCACACGCACGCCTGCTTCACAATCTGCGGAAGAGACGGGTAGACAAGAAAACAGTAAAGTGGATCGCAGGCTTCCTCAGCAACAGACACACCAGCATCGCAATCGACGGCTTCCAGTCGACAGCATACCAGATCAACACAGGTATACCCCAGGGCTCGCCGCTATCGTCTATCCTCTACCTCTTCTACAACGCCGATCTGATAGATAAATCTGACCAAGCGCCAGACGCCATGTCCACAGGCTACATTGACGACGTCGGCATCCTTGCGTGGGGCCAGACGACAGAGCAGACATGTAAGACACTGGGCAAGACTATTGAGAAAGCACAACGATAGGCTAGCACACACGCATCGGTCTTCGCCCCAAACAAGTTCTAGCTTACCCACTTTACAAGGTCACGCAAGCGCATTAACACGGAAGCCTCAATTTAAACTCAGTGGGGCGAGATACGACCCGAAGCGACATACAAATACCTTGGCCTGACGATGGACGCGAAACTGCACTGGAAGCAACACACCGAGGAGATCAGGCGGAAAGCGACAAAGACAGTAAATGCGCTCAGCTGCCTGAGAGGATCCAACTAGGGCGCTAGCCTCCGCAACCTGCGGCGAATATGCGAAGGCACAATGCTCCCGCAGATAATGTATGCATGCTTAGTGTGGTCAAATGCTAACATGAAAGGAAAACTCTACACTAAGAGAATGCTTAACACACTACAGAGCATACAAGCAAGAGCAGCTAGGGTCATCAGCGGGGCATACAGAGCTACATCAAGAGCAGCACTAGACAGAGACATTTCTCCTTCCCATCGAGCAGCAAATATGGAAGCACAACTCATACACTGTCGTCCGCCTACTCTCGAGCAAACACATCGCAGCCACCTCAGGATTTCAGACGAACACAGCACAGCCGACAGTTGCAGACAAGACTCGCAGACACACCAGCTCCTGGCAGAAGGTCTACAACGACATAACGAGCATGCGAACTAAAGACTTCGACGGGCAAGAGCAGATTCTGTGCTTCCTCACGCCGCCATAGAGACAGGACCCACTTACTTACATTAATGCGACCGCTGAGGAAGCACGGGCGCGACACGACAAAGAACACGTAAAGGAAGACAGCCTTAGTATCTACACAGATAGCAGCGGCATCGAAGGCGAGATAGGCTTTGCGGCACTATGTCCGCTCACACAACAGGCGCGATCTATACACATGGGCTTAGACACAGAGTTGACGGTATATGCAGCAGAACTATAAGGCATTAGCTTAGCACTGCAGATTGCTTAAGAGTATGCGATCTGAAACGGTGCGCGACGAGACGTTGCTATATACACAGGCAGCCAGGTCGCCGTCTGGTCTATCGCTAAGGCGGAGGGACAGTCAGACGCCTACATCCTCGCGGACATCGCGCGACAGGTCCGGGAGCTCTAGGACAACGGACAGACAGTGACCGTCCGATGGATACCAGCCCACGTCGGCATACCCGGGAACGAGGCCGTCGACAAAGCGGCTAAGGAAGCTACCGGATGGAGAGAAAACGGCCGCAGAAGCTTACTGGCAGACGCGCCTCCCTAGCTGTTCACTATAAGGTCGACTGTAAAAAGATGGTGCAGCATACAAGCTGAGCAGGCATGGATAGCAAAGTGGCGTAAGGACACTAAGGGCCGAGTGACCTACAGACACACTCTAACGCCTACTGAGAAATTACTCCGGCTCTACGAGAGGCTCACTAAGCGGGAGAGCGCGCTGCTAGTGCAGCTGCGGACAGAGAAGATCGGACTTAAGGACCTTCTCTTCGCCCGAAGAGTGCCAGACGTCACCAGCCCGCGCTGCGACTGCGGAGCGAGACAACTGACCGTCGCACATATCCTTCTCCACTGCAGCAAGCGCAGGCATCTCCGGGACCGTATCTTCGCCAACCTGTCTAGACGCGACAACATCCGGACTATCCTAAGCACGCCACAGCTAGCCACTAAAGCCATTAAGTATATAGAGCAGACGCAGATTGTTAGGCTAAATGCGGATCGTAGACGCGCAGAAGACAGCCGAGCGCTGAGGGGAGACTGAAGGTATTACACACGCAGACCACAAGGCGACCGTGCCTCTACGAGCCTAGAAGTACAGTGTTCAGTTAGCAAAGTTATTATCTAGATGAGATTGGCAGCTACGTGTAGATAGTGTGAGGGTATGTTTTGCTTGATGCGTTGGTAGGTGTATTGTTGATCAATCTTCTGCCTCCGCGCGCGCCCGATGACCCATTAGGCGCTAACGTTCGATGCGCACGTCAACTGTGTACACGTGACCTGCACCCACGTGACCCGTATACATCAACCGCCTCCCTGCTCGTCCACAATAGTGATGAGAGGGAAGCGGCAGGCCTCTGGGGACAGATGGTTCTTTGGAATAAAGTGGGGCGGCGCGGATCAACGTCCGCACCGCGTCGGCTGTCTGCCAAGCCTGTCAGTCGGGCATAGCTGCTTTCCGCGGCTGCAACCGACGGAGTACAACAAGAGATGACGTTACTCAAGGACGCTATAATAAATATCCTAGGCTATTTCCCATACTACATGCGACCACCATTCCTGTCATTCAACGCCAACGCCCTTAGTGTTCTCAAAGACCTTGAGTACCACGTTATCATTAGTAACCTAAATACTAAAGATTGGAAGTACCAATCGGAAACCGGGATCAATACAGCAAAGCAGCTCTTTATCGATAGTCTTAACCGACCCTACACCATCGTCGAAGCTCACGATCAAGAAGTCTGGACACATGACGAGCTCATCAACTACATGATCTCGGTAGTGCAAAGCAGAGGCATCAAGACTGTGACTGTTGCAGAATGTCCAGGTGAATCATCGACATCACAGTGGTACCGCTCGATTCGCCAACCAAGATCCACCAATACGGTTCGTGATTCGGATATCCAGTACTATTAAGCAGAATATTAACAAAGACACAGATGTCTAGCGCTGATGCTGGCCCGACCGTAGTTTACTCCCTCAATGGAAGGTGCGGCAACATCAACGCTGGCAACAATATGGGCTGGACGTGCCCTCCAAATGGCGGCCGGTGCTGCAGTAAATATGGAAGCTGCGGAAGTACCAGCGACTACTGCGCTGCGAATGTCTGCCAGCCAGCTTTTGAGTTGTGCAACCCCCCAGTTCCTTCATCTTCCTACCGAGACGAGGCCAGCATGACGTCCGGGCCTGCTGCTACTAACGTACCTTCATCCCCTACTGCTACGAATGTACCTTCATCGACTTTTGTCTTTTCCAACAACAATGCAACAGCTACCTCACCTGATACGGCTACGACACCCCTCGGATCAGGAAGTATCACGCCTGACAACACTTGTGGAAACTAGGGAAGTGGATCTTGCAGGATGAAGCGTGTTGAGCTTGCATCTACAGGATGGGCATACTCGTTCGACGTGACGACGCAGTGTAAACCCATGACGATGTTGACACTAACGCGGTCGCTATATCCAGCTACACTTACTCATGCGCATGCACATTGATCATACCTGCTAACATGCCAAGGGAAACGACTGATGCAACTTACCTGCATTGAAAGTAAATCCACCTATCGATGCGACGCTCAATGCCAAACGCCGTGCAACCAGCGCAAGCCAAGGACAATGCGAATCGGTTGCTGAAGACGGGATTCTGAGAAGTTGTTGATGTCCGGGAAGTGGAGGGTGATTCGGGTCTGGGCCGATGGAGTCGTCCCGAGGTCCAACTGGCAAACAAACCAATCAGCGGGCAAGAAGCCGCGCATCCATGCATGCGGCTGATACCTGCGCAGAATGGACCGTGCGTCTACCCCGGCTTTTACCCATGTACCCCGACTTTTTTCCCCCGCAAAACGAAGGATCGTCCATTGAGAATGCCAGATTCATGACCGGGTCCATGGATTTCAATTGCCGCATGACGTGCTGGCCGAAGTTCCGTTGCCGGCGACGCCCATAAACATCTGCGCAGATGGTTTCGATGATGACGCTATCGGACGACCAGGATGATACCTTCAATCAACCGCTCGATCTTCCTTGGGGCTCTCGTAGCCTCATTGAAGGCAGAGGCTGCTCACATCTCCTCTTCCTCCAAACCAATCGCCATATCCAAAGCAGCTCCCAACACGGCTGGCATTCCTCTGGACTCTTTTGTCTCATTCTCTTTCGAGTTCTCATCATGGCCCGATTTCGCTGGTATGCTTACTGCCATGTCATAAATCATCATGGGAATCTTACTGACTTCCGATGCGTACAGGCAATTTGTCGCACCCGAATGCGTTCACATACAACCTCATGAGCAACCTTGGTAAACTCCAAGGTTCATTGCCAATCGCTCGAGTGGGCGGCAACACACAGTACTACTCCACCTTAATCACGCTTGGGGCAATACATAGCTGACTCAGGGGCAAGAGATATCGCCATCTTCGATGAATCGCAAAAGACTGGCCTCGTCGGCGTCATCCGACCAAACGTCTCAGCCGACTACCCGACCATCATCACCATCGGCCCGTCCTATTTCGAGTCTTACAAGACAATGCCCAAGGGCACAAAGTTTGTTCACGGCTTCAACATGGGTGCCAACTCTAGCGCTGCAAGAGACGCGACTTGGGCATCCGTATCGTATGCCTGCAAAGCGATAGGGAGCGACCTGTTGTTTTGGGAGTACGGCAACGAGCCTGATCTCTTTCATGCTTCTGGCTATCGGCCTGACAACTGGACCGAAGCCGACTACGTGTCTGAATGGCTAAACGGCACCACTGCCATTGAAGAGGCGACCAAGGCAGCCTGCCCAGATCTCGCGGGAACCAAGTTCATGGCACCGAGTTTCGCAGGCGTCGCGCGCAATGACTACTTCACTTTAGATCCAGTGGAAGCGTTCAGGCAAGGTCTGGACGAGAAGAAGAATATTGGTCTGATCGCATCCCACAACTACATGGGTGTTTCCACAAACCCTGGCATTACTTTGCAAGGCACATTGATGAACCATAGTAGCGTGGTAGATAAGGCGAACGCCCAGCTCAATGTTTCAAGAGGTATCAAGGAGCTAGGGGAAGCGCTCGATCCAAGCGTCCCATTCATCATGGGCGAGCACAACTCGCTCGCTCGACAAGGACGACCGGGCCTGAGCAACAGTTTCGGTGCTGCCTTGTGGGGTGTGGACTGGAACGTCTATCTTGCATCGCAAAACCTTTCTCGCTCTCACATGCACCAAGGCACCAACTACCGGTACCAATCCTGGCAACCGATCGAAACCAACATCACAACCCGCGGCACCAAACCCCCTTACTACGGCAACCTCGCCGTCGCAGCCTTCATGCACAAGCCCTCGCCCTCATCTCGCCTGCACATCTCAAGCCTCGCCTCATCGTCCATATACTCGACCCAATACGCTGCTCACGTCGATGACACGCTTGCCCGCCTGCTCCTCGTCGATCTACACACGTACAACACCACCGCAGACAACAACTACACCGACGCTTTCCCGCGGCCCTCCGAAACGTACTCGTTCCAGCTCCCGCGGGAGTGCAAAGGCGAAGCGCACGTGCAGAGGCTGTTGGCGAATGGAAGTGATGCCATTTCGGGTATCACGTGGGATGGGTACAGCTACAATTATGAGCTTGATGAGGGGAAGCCTGTTCGGCTGGGTAATGTGACGTGCGGGGAGAGTGTCAAGGTTGACGGAAAGGGTTTGATGAGCGTAGAGGTGCCTTGGAGTAGTGCGGCGATTGTTAGTGTGGACTGCTGAGAATTTCTTGGCTATGAGGTTCGATAGGGAGATGAAGACTACAAGCGTATATGTGCTGGTCGTTCTTTCTTTCAAGAATGTAGCTTCTCATGATAAATTGAACAATCTTGAGGACTACATCCACACGTTGTGTTGGTTTCCGCAGTTGAAGCGTGCAAGGACTTTACCATCGCACTTTGGGTCAGTTTGCGTAAGAAACCTCTCCATTCTAACTCTCGTCAGCGCCTAGTACTACTCGGAGCGTCGCCGGTGAATGTGACCATTAGAAATCCTCTACCCATGGCATATACCCGGAAAAGCCTCTCGTATAGCGAGGTGAAAGGTGTGACGATCCAGGTGTGTTGACATGGAATCTTAACATCGCCAAACAAGCATGGTGCAACCCTAGTTCCCGATTGTAAACTCTCGTGAGATGACTGATTGGCTCGGAAGTTGAAGTTGACGTTGAGGTGGCCGAGATCCAAATGCGACGGACGCACGCCAGGCACCCACTTGCCAGATAACGCCACCCTTCTTTCCAAGGTTGCATCTGCCTCCACAGCCGCCCAACGGCGCGCGCAATTGACCCAACTGTAGACCTCGGCTGCTACATGAGATGCGAAACTGTTGCAGCAGCACTATTGAAGCAATATACACAACCCATCTGAGTACCCATCCGTAGTATAGCGCGGCACTCAGCGCATGCTGCCGTCTTGTTCTTCGGACGGTTAACGGCGGCCGATATACTAGGGTTGAGCTTAATCTTCTTACCTGCGAACGTCGTCTCTCAGTCCTGCATGCGGCGTCGACCTTGTTGTACATCGCATGTAGTTCATATTTATCGTCGACATCCAGTACTGAGCATCGCTTATCGATGGAAATGCCCCACTTAGAGTCGATGATTCTACAGGCTGTAGCGTAGTCATGGACAAGACGAGCAAGGCATTGAACTAGTAGTTGCGACCAGCTGCCCCCGACGACCGTTCATTTACATACGTTCGTACGGCGGCTCCAAAATGAAGTACGGACCACATGCACAGTAAGCGCTCAAGTATTGCTAACCAGGTCACTGTTCAGTCAATACAGTGAGAGCATTTCCGTCGACTTATAGCCAGTACACGACTGGAAATGTGCTCTTTCACCATGACTGACACCTATTGCGCTGCTTCTGTGACGCTCTCCATGCTAAGTGTTATGGACATGGAGTAAGATGCTTGCAAACCTACCTGAACACTGATCACAATTCCAATGGGACGCAACAGAGACAAAAATCTTCTTTTCAAAGAGAAAACGATAGTATGATAATGTATGGATATTCGCTGTCAGCGCAAGATCACGGCAACAATTGCGTGTTATGGGATCTTGCGCACACCACTCCGTGGTGGCCGCTTGAACTATATCTGGCCCTGGACATCCTCTAGAAAATCCCACCATGGAGATCGCGTTTGCCATGAGGAGAATCCTGAGCGGTTTCGCCACCAGTAAGTAGACTCGTCGCGTTACGAATGATGTCTGTAGTAGTCGTGATCTTCATGAGGGTGATCTCATCTGTCTTCTGAGTCCAGCCCAACTCAAAAGGAAGACGCTCGTTTTCTGCCCAGTTGTCAGCTACTGCGCCACCACTGCTCGCACACGGTTGCGCGTTGCCAAAGGACTTACCAAAGAAGTACTCCATCAACGTGCGGTTGACGGTACCGTCTTCTAAACTGCCAAAGGCGATGATAGGTGCCGAGACTTCACCCAAACTGAACTCCTCAGTGGACGCAGTAAATGTGTAGTTTGGGTTGGTTGCGCGGCTCTCCAACTGGCGAAATATCTTGGAGTTGGCCAGCATCTCAGGTGTTACGGTCTCATCCGTCCACCACTTTCTTGATGTGTTGTATACAGTCTCGTTGAAGACATGGTTGTTACCGAAGGCAGCATCAGTACGCGTAAGACTGGCATCGTGCTCAAGAACATTGTGGACGTTGAGCTGCTCTAGAGTGAAGAACGTAGCGTTTGGTTCAGGGTTTGCGATGATGGCTTGCTGCCACATGAGTGCGCCAAGTGAACCATTAAAGTTCAAGCCGTCCTTCAGGCCCTTGACGACGTTCTCTTGGGTGAAGTTGCGGCCATCGCGAGGAAGGAAACCGTGATTTGCTAGAGTGTTGAGCATCGGGCATGGGCCGCGGACTGTGCGTATCAGCTCTGAACCATAGCATGGTCTTTTGGATATGTGTACTTACAGTCGTTTGTGGAGGCAGGCATCCAAGCGTGTGGATCTGGAGTTGCGGCACCATACTGAGGCCTCGCAGAAGCGAGCGCGGAAGTGGAGGCGGCAAGAACAGCAGTGAGCTTCATCATGAGGTTACCGATGACAGTGCTCGTGAAATGGTGCTTTGTAGATGAGTTGGGTTGCAGTGGAAGCTGTGGTTGAAGTACGACTGATGAGAGCGGTGCCATCTCTTATATCTCCTCGAAGCCTGTTACGTAGACTACTTGTCGCTCCAAAAGTAACATCAAGTATCCACACGTATCCTTACGACATACGCGTAACAGTAGTTGCTAGGTTACAGCACCAGCTTCGCAACGAATACCAGATGGTCATTTACAAAGCGCCCGTATCCCAGGCGATGCAAGGCGGAAATGGCTTGCAGCCGCACTTCCGGTGTCGATCCCAGATATGCTTAATCCAACGGCTCCGGAATTGTTTGTTTCACAGATACATTTGGCCAATAAGGTCTTTTCTAATTGCATAGGACAGCGCGAGGCGACGTCACGTCTGGGGTACTAGTCGTATATCGGAAAGTGCACAGATCCGGGGCCGTGCATACGATGCCATACGAGACCTTCGTTCTCGGTGTCGCACTCGCACTCGCACTCGCACCATCGCGCCCTGGGTGGCTCGTTACGCGAGCTGGCTCGCTACGCGCACAAGCAGTCTACAACTTTAGCAATACTATCAACACCTTGAAAAGAACGCCAGCACCGCGCGAAACATGACCACATTCTTGCTGGCTCCAGAAGTGTGGCTAGTACTCACGACGTTGACACTCGTGGTACTGCTAGCGCTGGCAACGTTGCCACTTGTCATACTGCTAGTGCTCGCGGTGTTGGTGCTTGTAATGCTGCTTCCCGAGACAACCGTTGGTGTAGCCTCCTCCTTTCAACCTGCTTCTTGAAATATCTTCAATAATCCCTTTCCACCGCAATATGTCGTCTTGTCTCCAGTGCAGGGAACGTTACAGTCGGTCTGATTTTTTGCCCATTGCCCGATGACGTAAGTACCACACCAGCATTGATTGCCTTCCTGTACACCCGCGAATCTGTAGGCATCGCGATAGCAGGTGTCTTTGCAATCAGGGATGGTCAAGGATGCGTCTCCATCTGGGCTCATATTTCTGTCGAGAAGCGGGAACGTCAGATCCTCTACATAGCACCCTATTTCGGTCCAAGCAGTGGGAGAAGGGGTGGCTGTAGACGAGGTAGTCGTGGTGTTAGTCGTAGAGATGGTTGAGGTCAATCCCGGTATTGGCTCGGTATCGAGCCTCTCCTGCGTGAGAACGCAATATGATTTGAAATTTCAAGGCTTACAGTCCAGACCAATCGAAGGGTTCCATTTATGGAATAGTTCAGGACTGATGCCAAACGTCTTGCGCGTGTCTTCACACGACACATCCCAACCATTATCGTACCATTCGACACAATCTTTGGCCGTCTCTGGGTCTCACTGGAGATCTGGTCGGCGGGCGGGAACGACCAGGCGAACGAGCTCGGCCAGAACAATGAAGGCTGTGAGCTTCATGATAGACGGTATCGCAACGATGCAGGGTAATGCGACCGATAGTCGAGATCGTGAAAGAGGTTTGTGTAGTACTACAGTAAGGAGCAGTGCGGGCGAGAAGCGATCGAGTGTATGCATCCAACGCGACTTGTGGGAGTCTTTCGAGCACATTATTCGGATGAGCAACACGATATTATGTCCCCGTACCAGTAATGACCCTGGATTTGATAGATCCAGGTCTGGGCCTACCGCGCCGCATACCGCGCCGCATGCTCGTTGAGCATCGTGAGATCCGAGACCTGGGATAAACGGGTAAAGGCGGTTCGCGTAATGCGAAGGAAACGCAGCTTGCATTTCTAGCTCCGAACAAGCGCTATCAAGATCTCCTCATATCGCACGTTCCAACATGTCACCACGAAGGATTCGGAGCGCTTCCGGAAACGGAAGGTGGATACAAACATGGGCTGGTCGGATGATCCTCTGATCCTTGGCGAACAGTCGGGTTCCTGCATTGAACTTTGTTCGCATGCAGGTACAAATCTCTTGTTCTTATGTTTTATTACCGCTAATCATCGCTCATGTGTGTGCACACGCCGGAGTATCAACGCAACATCACCGTTGTTCGCATTCTTCGCTACGGCATGGCCACATTCCATCTATTTCCACGGCTCCCTGCTGAACTTCGTCTTCGGGTATGGGAGCTGACTGTAGAGCCACGCACGGTTAAGATCGATCTCAAAAGCAGGAGAGAAGGGAGTAGGCGGTACACAGTCTTACATTCAACAACGCCCATACCAGGGCTGCTACAGACCTGTCAGGAGTCGCGGAACGCTGGATTATACCAACGTTGCTTCTCTGAGCTGATACATAACGGCAATGGGCAGGATGAACAACGCAGCTATGTCTGGTGCAACCTGGACATCGATATGATTGACATCGGCGATTGCGAGTTTGAAACATACAAGAGTGTTGCACATCTCATCAAGCGATTGAAGATTAGGCGCGAGAGAGATGAATGGTGGACGCGCACGGCTAGCGAGGGCAAACCTGATTCAAACAACCTGAGCTGGTTCAAAAATGCGTCGGAGATTCACGTTGTGGACACCTTGCCGTGGGGGGACTGGCATGGGACTTCCGTGGAGGATTCCTGGCCTTGTGACAACGTCTTGTTCATGGACGAGCAGACGGGTCAGGAGATGTGGATGATGGATTTGGAGTGGTATTTTGATCGTCATTTTGAAGCAGGTGCCAGAGAGAACGGCTACAAGTCTGTGTGCTGTTTGGGACAAGAGATAGCTGCGGTGTTCGAAGACATAGACTGGCGAGCCAGTGATTACCATCGATCACTATATCGTTACTCGTTAACTTGATACCATGTAGTAACAGGAAGATGACACGAAAAGCTACATATATTTGTATAGACGTCCATCCACGAACTTGGTCGTGTTGTCAGAACCAATCCACGTGTACCTCGAAGTTTTCACACACCATAATGTAGGCCTTGACTTCCTAATCATACATGTCTTCTCTCACCCTGCTTAGCCAGACTTCCACTTCCCATCTTACTTCCTCCCCCTCCCACCATCCCACCTACTTCCTCCGCCCATGCTTAGCAATCAAACTCCTCGACTCACCACAAAGCCAAATATGCGGCCCCGCCTCCCCATCCTTCAATCCATGCTCATTAATAATATTATCAATCTGTTTCGCTCGACCACGGTTCGCGCTCAGCGTCGTGAGGCCCTCAGCCCAGCCGTAAAGGAAGATGGATTGATTGAGAAGGCCAGAGGGACTTTCGAGTAATTCAGCAACGACGGTGGCTGCTACGCTGGGGAGGCTGGCGATGAGAATTTCAATGTTTGGATTCTTGACAACGATGGGGAGGGCCAGGTGTGGGTGTGGGGGATAATCGGAGAGGTTAGACTGAATGGTAGCGTGTTAGTATCGGGTAACATTGTATAATCGTGAAGTCGGATACCCACCCATTCCTCCACAAGCCGTTCTCGCGACCACGAGGCGCAGTCGCCTTGTCCTAGCAATATGTCCGCTCTCAGCTTCTCCGTATCAGTCGCCAGAGTTTGCACGATAAGATTCATCTGGTCGGCAGCTTCGCGCGTGCACACCATGGGATGCGCGCCAATGGCAGGATACAGACGCGTTGGCAACAAGTGCTCTACAGCCTCCTCTTCAATCTGAGCGCGCACCTCTCCTGGATACCAGTCGAGTATTGGACAAGGCTTGTGCGAGATATCCGATATGAGCGCTAGTAGAATGGTACAGTCGATATTCAGGGTATCGCTCAGCGTTCGCGATCGATCGATGAGCAGACGTGGTAGCACGGCGTCAATCGATAGCGCGGGCGGTATGTCCTCTCCGCACTGTACTATCGCACCCGTTGCGCGTATCTTGTTGATGATCATATCGATAGCTGGTGTTTTACCAGCAGAGATTCGTGTGAGGACGAAATGCACCTTGGGTGGCCGACCACGCACGGGATTTGCGCGCGCAGCTCGCGCAAGCTCGCGAGCGTTTCGCACCACGTCGATCTGGTCTTCGTCGTCATCGTCGTCTCCAGGGGGCGCCGGCATGTCCTCGTCTTCGTCCGAGTCGGAGTCGTTCACCCAGCCCAGCTTTGCGAGATCAAATAGGATACGTTTCTCGGAGACAGTTGATACTCGTATCCATTCTGCGCCTTCTTCCGCGACAATGTCGACAAGTGCAGAAGTTTTGCTCTTGCCTTGGCTTCCTTTTGCTAGGCTGACGCCTTTTGTTGTGTTTTTACCACCAGGAGCTTTGTGTCGGTTCCAGAAGAATAATTTTCGGAAACTTTGGATTCCTGATGTGCGTTTTGCAGCGGCCCATAGCGCTTCGTAGTACAGAAGATTAGAAGATACGATGTAGTTACGGGCCTTCTCTTCATCCATGTTGGAGCCTGCGAGTTTCTTCAGGAAGGCGAGTTCGTTGCGCATATCGCTGCGGAGATTTCGGTACCTGTTGTAGTTAGTTATACGAACGAGCGTGTTGGTTTGGTACTCTTGTAGTAAATATCGCGGCTAAGCTTACTGGTGGAGCGAATACCAAGGGATCATCCAGGCTATCCTGGATAGCACGATGACTGAACGTACTCGACTGGATTATAGACTTTTCCAACCTTTTGCTTCTCTAGAACTGCGGCGATGTAGGTTTCAACTTCGTTATTGAGATGGTTGCCACGTGCCACTAGTCCTTGAATGGTAACTTCGAGTTCAGCCCTAGGTGTAGGCATCTTGTCGTTGTCCGTCTTTTCCTCCAGCTTCATGTTACCAAAGTCTTGCGAAACGAATTCATTCATGATGCCGCAAATATGTCAGATGGGATTGATGTGTTAGGTAGACCAAGGCGTGTTTTGGGGGGTATCGCAGTTGAGTCTGAACTGTTGAGATGAGACGGTTGAGCCGTGAGTCAACTGCCTTGGCCGTGGAAGGTTCCAGGGAGTATTGAACGACGATGAAAGCTGCTGCTTGATAGGTCGGGGCTTGCTTCAGCCCTTTTCCCGGGTACCTGTCGCGCGGTACGGTGCCTAGGTGGGAGTGACGGTTTTGGCCTGGACCGATGTTCTCCCGAGCGACCCCGCCAAAAGTTGCCCGCCTACCGAACCCACAAGGGCACTGACCATGCCTCGTCGTCACCTTCACTCTCCCATTACCCCAGACACCCACCCACACCCGCCACGATGCCATACTTCGACACGAGCGCAGAGTGGTACGAGCAGTCGTCGCTCCTCCTCAAAGCGCGACCAACTTCCGTATGCCAAGTTCCACCCTGCCGCACGCACGCGACACGGCCCATCTAACCCATGCCTCCTAGACACGCATCACATCCAAATACTCGGTCCTAAAACCCACATCCTCCAAGATAAAGAAGCGCCAAAAGTACGACGAGAAGAGAGCCGCCCGACCCGCCGACACATCGCGTGCGTCTTCGCCGCCGCCGCAATCGCAGAACCCCGAGGAAGTCACCGTCTTCTTCACGCTCAAGACGTACGATCCCGAGTCGGGCACATGTCTGCAGTATGAGACGAACAAGGGCGCTGAGGTGGGCCGGCTGATTGGCAACCTGGGGAGATTGGGGAGACACATGGCTGCGCTGCCGGAGACAACGGAGGATTTGAGCATGCCGGCTGGCGGAGAAGGTGCGTCTACACCACAGGTCGACGAGGGTGGGGACGTCAAGATGGGTGGTGTACCCGCGGCTGGTACGGGCGGCGCAGGAGGCAAGAAGAAGAAGAAGGGAAAGAAATGAGCTGGGACTCGGTGCCATCACACTACCTTACACGCTGGACACCACGGAAGCATCGTCGCGACGCGCATAGCACGAGTGCCGCGAGCGGACATATAAGACTGATGTGGATGTCAGTGGCAATTGAATTGCTGGTATAAAGGCGAGAGTGCATGTTGCGCGTGGCTACGGAATGAAGATACCCAATCCTGCTTCCAGGCTGTCTTTGCTTGAACTCGATTCTATTACACTCTTGCTAACGGCCCAGTTATCAATCCTTCAGTGCTGTATGACCTGCTTTGCCCGTTTGTCCGCCCTCTGCTTCGCGTTGCACTCCTGCGTCTTCTCGCCCTCTGTCTTACCGACGAGAACCCACTCATCCTTGTCCTGCTCATCTACGTAGTGCGATTCATTCACGACCTCCCAATTGCCGCTGCTGTTAGCTCTCGTTTGATCCGTTTCTACTTCCGCTTCTATGTGTAGGCCGGCGTTACTGGCCCGATGGAGAAAGTCTTCGAACGGTGACTTTGCACGTCGCACTGTGTTGGTGCCAATGCTGGTGGACATTGTGGTGCCGCAGTAGTTGCGTGTTCTAGCTTCAGGCTGTGATATGGGTCAAGTGGGTGTATAGCTGAGGAATTTGCTAGGTAGATGAGTATGTTACAACTTTGATGATTACACGTCTGCAGGTATGTGTGTAAGATTGGCTAGCTGACGGTACGCAGAGGTATATGTAATCGCCCGTCGTATTTCATTGAGTCATTGCAAAGTAGTCACAGCTGCTCAAACACGGTCGTGAAAATCCGGTTCATTCATACAAGACCGGTCGCTTAGTAAGTGAATTGGGCGTTGTTCCCTTGACTCAGCTATGGTGTTTTATGCGTGGTGAGTGCATTCGCACGCTATCATCCAACAAATATTTAGTCAAGTTCGATCGCTATTCACCAAATTGAGATGCCGAGGTTCGTCCAATCCCTCGCAGCTATGCATCAATCTTGCACTAACCTGATGCAGCCTAGGCTAACCACTCTATCACGACCTCTACGGCTCTTGGAAGTGCTGCCAACTGAAGCGCGACCGAAATTTGACACTGCAGACAAAATCTCAGCCATGACTCTCGACGGTGCGGTGTTTACTTGGCAAGACAATCGCGTGCTTCATTTGACGATGCCTATTCGACGGATTAATTACATCGCTGTTCAATCGTACCGAGCCATGTGTGGTAGCAGGCAAGCGAGGGCCCGCTTTTCTTCATGCTTCCATTCGTGGACGGCAACGCAGCTGCCTAATCGTGCTCGATTACTGTTACCCTGCATTGCTGTTTCCGGTTAAGATATAACCTTGGCTGCGGCGCAACATCACATAAACAAGGGGCAGACAGTGGCGAGATGGCTACCTCAACCCCCAAGCTACGGCTTCATCTCCTTGGAACCGCATAAAGACCATTGAAGATTATGGGTGGCCGTCTCGACCGCAACCCGAACAACGGTTTTCCTGATTGGTACCGGCTGGTGTGCCCGGAGCTGAATCAAGCCATCCACCTTGGACTCCACGGTGAATACGACTACGACACGGCCTCGCACTTTAAGAAGAAGAACGAAGCCTGGTTCTACGATGCGTTTGTCAGGCCTTTGTCGGATGCGCAGCGTGTTCAACACTTCTATCCTCCTGGGCGGGACCACTTCGAACGTCTTCCAAACGAGATTCTTGATCAGATTCTCGACCACGTGTTGCTACCGGACTGCTTCGACCGCCATCGCAGACTCAGAGACACTGGGACCCTTGACTACGGCGCCACCCTCAACTACATCGCTGAGCTCTCTCTCGACTTCCTCGCGCTAGGCCTTTCTTCCGCTCGTATATGGCCGCTCGTGTTGCGCCGCATTCACCGACTCTATCAGAATAATTGGGTAGGAAGAAAGATTGGTTTCCATCGGGTGAGCGCCAGATTCACCAGCGCGCAGTTTCAGAATTATGGTATCCAAGATACGACCGCGACGTACGTCGCTTCAGTTGATGATTGGAGATGGGAGTGGACATCGCATGATCAAGATGGAAGATGGCTAGCTCTCACTCGAATCACCCCCGGTTTTTCAAACGAGCGTGCCCTAAAGATGTGGAAGTACGACATGGAGACCAGACCGGACGACCTGAACAAGATTATGCAGGATCTGATGGTGCGTCCCGAACCAGATGCATCGTCTGGGCAGAGGGTATGGGTGCTCCGTAACCTGACCACCAAACAATACGTGCGCTCGGATCAGCTGCAAGAGCCTGATTCTGATCCGGCACCTGACTGGGGCAACGACCCTAGGTCCTATGAGCTGTTATCAGATAAGATGAAGAGAGTAGGCAAGTCCCTCACACAACGCGTGCTCTACAGACCATCGAAAAAGGAAAATAAACACGCGGAGCCAAAGACGGACGAGCAGTTTACCCTGGCCAATATCTTCCTCGTTCTCACTTGTAGCGGTGGCAACAGGGCGCCATGTGCGACTCCAGAGGACCCGTACTCGCCGGACAAGTATCTAGAATTCGTACACGGTCCTTGGGCTGGCTGCGCATTCGAAGTAATTACTCTGGACGAACACGTCCTCACTCAGCAGCAGCAGCAGCAGTTACAACCCTCACCAGAGTCAAAGGCACAACAGCCAGATAATGTGTGGGTAGATGTGAGCAAGGAAGTGGTCGCTGATATCGCCAACCTGCGCTTCTGCGTCCAGAGGATGAGGGATATGCGCAACGTTAGCCATAAACTATATGTATCGCGTGATAACAAAACAGTGTATACGGTATACTGGGATGACTTCTGGGCCAAGGTTGCGGGCACGAGGAAGCTGCATCGGCAGTGGGTGGTCAAGACATGTCCGCCTCGTCCGTGGATAGACGAGACTATGTATGCATCAATATAAAGACGTTTTCGCGAGAATGTTATCTCTCTCCAACCTAGAGAGCCCGGCCTTTACCGAAACAATCTCCCTCCCACCTGTTAGATTCCACTTCAGCTTCAGCTCACCCTCGCTTCATCTCGCCTACCCTCCACACAGCCACGATAGTTCCAGTCTAAACCCCCTCTCAATCCCGCGGTAGTCACAAAATCTTGTTTGGAATCTCATATCGTCTTTAGCATCTCACTTGAATTTATACCCTGGAGCGGCGGCTAATCGCGCTCCCATGTCATCTTCCGTTAACTACATGGCAATGAAACATGGTTCAACCCACAATCCCATGAATCCAACAACAACAACAACAACAACACACTACGCCAAACCCCTCCTCGGCGCCTTACCCGCATAACCAGCTGCACCGTCAAAGACATGTTCAAAGTTTCCATTCAGCGCAACAGGACCCTGGAGACTCTGCTCGCAACCCAGCACAGTAATGTTCTTCACAACAACCTCAGTCTCGTATCCAAACTCACCGCTCATACTGAATGCGCCATTGTCGTACGTAAAAGAGATCATGGACACGGCCGGCTGCTCAATGCTATCACCATCATCGAGGTACAGCGATCCCTCGGCTTGATTCGTCGCATTGGGCGCGATCCACAGTACGAAATCCTTCTTCCTGAGCTCCGTGGTTGTGTTTGCGGATTCGGCGCGGAGAGGCAAGATGGATCCGCCGCGGATGTGCAGGGGAATGGTGTCGAAACCGACGTCTGTGAGGTTGATCATGGAGCCGTGGCCTTGGATGCGCTCGCCGGTCCAGTAGTCGTAGAAGACTTCGTTGGGCAGGTAGATGGATACGGAAGTCGAGTTTTCTTCCAACACGGGAGAGACAAGGATGGCGTCGCCGTAGAAGAATTGGTGCTCGATGGCAAAGGTGTTGGCGTCAGAAGGGTAGTGGAACCACAGGGGGTTCAGACTGGGTACACCTGTGGTGGTCTGGCGGTGGAACGCAGTGTAGAAGTAGTCGAGTAGTCTGTAGCGTACTGCAATAGCGTTCTTGGCGGCGGCTGTGGTTAATGGCCAGCGGTAGTATTCTTGGTCGATTGACGTGTCGCCAGCATGGTTTCGCATGAAGGGGTAGAAGGCACCAAGTGTTGCCCAACGTGCACAGAGGGTTTCTGTGGTGTTACCAGCAAAACCGCAGATATCGGGCCCGACCATGGGGATCTGGTAGATGGAGTTGAAGTTCAAGATGCCGGCGATTGAAAAGCGGTATTGCGCCCATTCCGAGACGTTGTCGCCAAGCCATTTTCCTAGGTATGTGCCGAGACCGACGAACTGCATCTCTTGTTAGCTACATAGCGTCTGGTGATATGCGGAGAACTTACAGTAGAGCGGGTGATGATCAATGGACGGCGCTCGGGACGGCGCATAAGCATACTCTTGTGCGAAGCAATCGACATCATCGAACCCCAGAAGTTGTGGGTGTCGTAGTGGTACGATCCGTCGTAGTTCTGGATATCAGTATCGAGCGTCTTGTTGCTGATGGAGCCAGCGGCGTTCGCAATCTGGTACTCTGGGTTGATCAAGTCGCGGCCAGGAAGACCGGGGTGTGCAGCAAGGTCAGCAGTGTTGTTGGAAGCTTGACGCTTGACGTTGGAGCGCTGCTTAAGCTGAGCGCTTGATCGGCGGACCGCACTAGAGTTGGATTGAGGCTGGAAGTCCGCTGGGAAGCCAGGGATCTGGCGACCGTCAGCGGAGGTACGGACTGGAGGTGGCTCGGGCGGGTTCTTGGACTCCTCAGAGTAGGCCTCGGGGTCGAGGCAAGGGTACGGGCAGAAGTTTGCAGGCTCGTTCATGTCGTTCCAGAGACCATCGATGTCAACACCAGTCGCCGGGTCGAAGAACGAAGCGAACTGCTCGTCCCAGTACTGCTGTGTGTTGGGGTGGAACCAGTCAGGGAATACCGTGGGACCTGGCCAGACAGCACCCTCAAAGAAAGAGCCGTTGGGACGCTTCTGGAAGACGTCAAGCGCAGCTCCGGCGTTGTAGCCATCGTAGTCACCACTCCAGACCGCGGAGTTAACCATCACGATGTAGTGCTGCTGGTGAGCGTGGATGTAATCAACGAGTTGGCGGACAAGGTCAAGCGGATAACGCTCCGGATCCAGGGTGAACAGGCGGCGGAGCTCCATGTAGTCAATATCCGTCCACATGGTCTAAAAAATGTCAGCGAAAATTTGAGATGACGATTGGGCGGTTTAGAACTCACCTCCAGAGGTATGTCCGCAGCAGAGTAGTTGGCAACAACCTCGGCAACTTGCCAGACATCACGGTAACCGTACTTGCACTGGTGGGAACCAAAGCCCCAGTACGGCATCATGGCAGGAAGGCCGGAAAGAGCGGAGTACTGGGTTGCGACTTCCTTCGGTCCAGGACCAGCAAGGAAGTAAAAATCAAGAATACCACCAAGAGTGTTGTACTCAAGGTACTGGCCCTCGGAGTCGTCGATCTTGATATCCATGCCCTCGGAGCTGGCCAAGAAGACACCATGGGTTCCGTTCTCACCGCGGTGATCGAAGTAAATGGGGTGAGCTCCGTAAAGGTTAGACCCTTCTGGGGTACCGTAGGCATCTCGGTTCCAGAGAGTACGGGTGTAGTTGGTGGTGTTTAGGTGGAACGGATCTGTGGATTCGCCAAGACCGTATAGGTTTGGAGAAGGAGGCAGAGCGGTCCTCAGACGAAGGAACTGTGACTCAAAGACAAGAGATGCAGCCGACGTGTCGAAGAGGGTCTCGTTGGTCTCCCTACGCTTGATGGCGAACGAGAAAGGACTGTCGGTCCAGGTGAATGCCAGAGCAGAGTCTTCTGGGCTGACACCTTCATTGCCGGAAGGACGCGGCCAGACAGACTCTTGGATCTGGAAGACCTGCTCGGCGGCATCAAAGATCTTGACATGGAGTCGGTCGGCTGTGGACTGTTAGCATAGAGCCAATGATCAGCGAAGCCAATGCAACGTACCAGTCTGATACTCGACTTCCAGCTTCAGGTCAGTCAAGTCTTCGCCATAAACATTGCAAGCAGCGCCTGCGAGGCTGAGGTCTGCGGTGACCCTGGAGCCATCATCTTGGAGATTGCTGGCCGTATATCCAGGGCATCCCTCAAGCGACGAGCTCTGTCGTTGAACAAGCGACCCCGCAAGTGCAGGTACCGCTGTTCCAAGAGCCAAAAGTCCTTTGGTGATCATGGTGCCTGATGGGATTGAAAAAAGCAGGACCTTGGTTGGATGCTGATCCGTCGAGGGAGCGATGTCCTTCTTATATACGAACCTATGCAGCCCGTGTACGCTAGTCTGTGGCACTACAACAACAAGGCATGCATCGTGATCTCGGTTCAGACTTACCGTTTACATGACTAGAGCAGGCGGATATGCACCCAAGACGCGCTCCCCCGCAGTACCGTCATAGAGGAGGTCGCTCTTGCATGGCTTGGCAACGATGCGAGAGCCAAAGATGGAGCGAGGCGGGGTCATTGGTTCCGCAGAGGGACACTATAATTGCTTGACCGCCCGGAGACCTTCCGGTTTGGGACTGAACATGGTGAGAGGCGAAAAAGTCTGGGGTAAATGATCCAGTTTGTTTATTCGGATGCGAAGCGCGATGCAAGCGCGTGGGCGTTGATTCGTTGAATGTCGGGAGTGGGAGATGCCGGTCCGACTTCGCATGCCGACGCGCCCTCGTGCTTCCGCTCGCCAAGAGGACGGCTGGAGATGCGAAAACTAGAGTTTGGTGGCATGGAACGAGTGGCCGGACCGAGACGTCAAATCTTCGGATCAAGTCATGTGACTTGAACAGTCGAACAGCTATGGCTTCCAGAATCATGCCTGTCGGCACAAACAAACGAAAAGCCTAGGTTAGCGCATGCACTGACGGCTGCTAAATGGTTGGCTTTGAGCAAGCAGTATCGCAGGCATAAGGCAAGACGCAACATGCTAGCCTTCACAGAACGAAGCCTCTTGATGATGATGAAAAACAGAGCTTCTACGTAGTCCCTCGTGGAGCGTCTTGGACGTGGACGCGCACGGTCCAAGCTACTAGCGCGCTTCCAATCCCAAGACCGAAAAGTTAACGAACGCGACAGCAACAACCACCAACACGCCAATCCCGCAACCATGCTCTGCGCAATCTCTGGCGAAGCTCCCCGCGAACCCGTTGCCTCGCGCAAATCGGGCAACGTCTTCGAAAAGCGCCTCATCGAAGCCCACATCTCAGAACACCACACCGACCCCGTTACTGGCGAGGATCTCGCGACGGAGGACCTCATCGAGCTCAAGTCACCCAATGTCGTCACTCCGCGCGCGCCCAACTTCACCTCGATACCGGCCATGCTTAGTGCCTTCCAGAATGAGTGGGATGCGCTGGTTCTGGAGACGCATACGCTCAAGCAGCACTTGGCGCAAACGAGGCAGGAGCTGAGTACTGCGCTGTACCAGAACGATGCGGCGACGAGGGTGATTGCGCGGATATCCAAGGAGAGAGATGAGGCGCGCGAGGCATTGTCCAACGTCACCATCAGTGGAGGCGGCCAGGGCGATGCCATGCAGGTGGACGGCCAGGGCCTGCCTCAGCAGCTTGTAGCTCTTGTGGAAGAGACACAGCAAACGTGCGTTCCCTTGCAGTCTAGTGATGCCATCAACTTGAGCTAACATACACAGACTCTTTGGCACCCGACGAAAGCGACCTGTGCCGGCAGACTGGACCTCTGGGGACGCCATCTCCAACTACGACATTGCCAAGACGACCGATTCCCTATACCCAGGCAGCAGCAAGATCGCGGTCAACGAGGCACAGAACGTGCTGTTCGGTGGAGCGGATGGCACCGCTGGTGTCTACTCATTGACCCAGGGCAAGGTTCTGGAGACATTCAATGCAGGCAGCGCAGTCACATCGGTGGCATGGTGGGGAGAGCGCGCGCTTGTCGGAACATCGGCAGGTACAGTCAAGGTATTCTCCACTGGGGATGACGTTGCGCAGATAGGATCTCACGCCGGAGCTGTTACGTCCATGTCCGTACACCCCAGCGGCAAGATGCTCGCAACCGCCGGCGCCGACAAGCGATACGCCATCCACGAACTCACAACCTTCAAGACGGTCTCGCAAGTCTACGTCGAAGCCGAAATCACATGCGTCTCGTTCCACGTAGACGGCATGCTCTTCTTCATCGGAAGCTCCGACGGCAACATCCGCATCTACGACATCAAGACGGGCACACAAATGGCCGAACTCGCAACATCGGCTCCCGTCGTCGATCTCAAGTTTTCTGAGAACGGAACTTGGTTCGCCGTCGTACAGGAAAACTCGTCCAGTGTCGCGATTTGGGACATCAGGAAACAGGCTGCCATCCACACGCTTGAGTCTGGCAGCCCGGTCAATAGCGTTAGCTGGGATTACACTGGCCAGTTCTTGGCAATTGGTGGAACTGGCAGTGTTTCGGTGCAGCAGTACACCAAGGCGACAAAGAGCTGGGCTGAGCTTGTCAGGAAGGCAGCGCCAGCAAAGGATGTCGCTTGGGGTGGCAGGGCCGAGAATGTTGTGGCGCTGACTACCGAGGGTGGTTTGGCAGTGCTGACAGCGCCTTAGCTAGAGGATCGGTCTGAAGGTATACTCCATCACTTTTAATAGTCTTCCGTTAGCGGGAACTTGATCGACTACCTCGAGGGTATTCCACGATGTGTGGGGCAATCTAGAAGTTATGCGCATGCATTTGAGAACGTTGCTAGTGCATGAAGGGCGATATGGCGTAAATTGGTTTGTAGCATTACTGTAGACGACGGGAAAATCGGGTCGTCTCCGAGACCATCAATCTGAATATCATGTTTCCATATGCTGAAAAACACTACGTCACGATCCATCTCACATGCGCAAGCGAAGCCATTGCGATGGCGTCAGGAGCAATCAAATCGCAGAAGATGCGAAAAGAGTGTCGAAGAATAGTCGGTGACTGATTTGTGCGGGTATTATGGTGAGGTGAAAGGGTTGAGAGGGTTGACGTCGGACGGTTTGTCATGTTGCACAGATGTCCAATGTTCCCAGCGCCACCACAGTTTCGCCGAAGTCAGCACCCCAAGACACCAGACGGGCCCAACCCTCGCTCAACCTCAGCTCGGTGCTGTTGTTCCCGGCTGCGACACCACCCACATCCACCCACGGCCGCACACTCTCCCTCACATCCGGCATGGAAGGAGAAGCACTGCCTTTTGGGTATACGCACAGACAGCAGAAGGTGAGTGCCGCTGGCGGTTGTACCTAGCGAGTGAGCGGAGGATAGACGCTGATAGAGAACGTCACGTAGCGCTCACATGCCCAAATGGACCAAGAGGAAGTTTCTCTCCCGCATGGCTTGCCTTTCCTCGACAGCAACGACCGCGAAGCTCCTCTGCCAACCCACTACCCCGACAGCGACGACGACCACATCTATGTTCCTCCAAGAGAAGACCACGAGGAAGTTTCTCTCCCGCATGGCTTGCCTTTCCTCGATAGCAACGACCGCGAAGCTGCACCGCCAACCCACTACCCCGACAGCGACGACGACCAAATGTATATTCCTCCAAACGAAGACCACGAGCCTCTCACACGCTACGATTTCGGCCTCGGGGCAGCACCCCATTTCGGCCGCGAAGCAACACCAAGCTTCGAGTCGGCATTGCGATCGCACGCCCGGCCGCCCCTTGAGCGCGCTGATTCCAGCACCAGTGCCGCGCGTTCACGTACAGCCGGCTCGTACCTCTCGCGCGTCGAACACATGGCGTCTTCAGCTACACGGCGATTTGCAGGGGATGGCTTCGATTACAGACGGCCTGCTGGCTCGGCACAGGGGCTGGGAGCAGTAGCATCGGTGGACTTGACAGGGGATGACACGGACGAGGACGATACCATTCATGTGAGGCAGGACGACACCATTCATGTGAGGCAGGACGACACCATCCATGTGAGGCAGGACAACAATGTCATCGATCTCACGGCCGATGATTCGGGATACGGTGCAAGCCACGACGGCCAGATACCTCGCCAAGCGCGAGAACAACGACGGGAGAGGGAGAGGCAAAGGGAACAGCAAGAGTCGCATAGCCATCGTAATCGCCGTCACGCGCCTCGCTTACCGCGGGGGATGGACATCATCATCGACCTGGACAACGGGGACGAAGAGTGGAATGTCGATGCACCAGCACCAGCACCAGGACAAGCGCCGAGTTCACCAGAGATTGAATTCATATCCTCCCGCACCATACCGGGCGGCCGCCGCCCCCGTGTCCCTCTCTCTCCTCCCCTTCTCTCTCCTCGCCTGCCCAACGGCCTTCCCATCATCAATGGCCTCCCCCGCGACAACTCAGATGGCGATGAAGAGGTGGAATTTCTCCGCGCAAACGCCCTCCCCGAGCACGAGCAACGCCGTCGCCAAGCAAACGAGCAAATGGACAATGTCCTCGACCTCATCACACTCAACGGGCGCTTCACACACCTCCGCGCACAGATCGAACGGTTCCACGACCAGGTCAATCGGACGAGAACGCAGTTTGGGAACCAACAGGAGCCTGTGGCGCCTTCGAGGAGCGCGTCGAGGGGACGTGCACCGCATATCAGAGTCGGAGTTGGCGCTTTCATGGCGCCCGTCATGGACTTTGAGATGGTGGGTTTCGAAATTGGTCCTCGTGGGGGCAGGGAGGCTCCGCCTCCACCACCGACATATACTGCGCCGCCAAAGGCACCTGAGGGTTTCACGAGGAGTCCTGAAGAGGACGGGGGTGCGCTGGTGTGTCCCAATTGCGAGGACGAGCTGTGTGTTGGAGGAGACGAGACAAAGAGACAGGTGTGGATTGTCAAGGGATGCGGCCACGTGAGTTCAATACGACGGAGATGGAGAGACAGCCAACTGATGATTACCCAGGTTTACTGCGGCGAATGCACGACCAACCGATTTCTGAAGCGCAGCGCAAAGGGCAAGGAGAGAACGGCGAATACGCTTCCTTTCAAGACTTGCGTAGTTGATGGCTGCGACAAGAATGTGACGCACAAGAAGAGCATGATTCAGGTCTTTTTGTAACTGGGAAGCTTTCATTGCAACTCCAGAGGCGGACACCTTTGACGAACCTTTCCTCTCTCCTATCTCGGCTCAGTCATGGTTGGGTGTTTTGACGATACCCTTGCTTGCATCATTTCAGTGTGCGCAATCATCACATCTACTCGCATTTGTTGCATTTGCATAGCACGGCGTTTTTTTCTTTTTCTTTTTTCTTTCGTTTTTGTGAATGTTCATGGGTGGTCTGCTTCCTCTGGAATGCTTGTTATCCTAATGACAGAGAAGAAAAAGGGCGGGGTTGGATATGGAAGGTCTGACTACTGTACAATGAAAGATGCAAAGCCGCGGCTTGATGGGCTTGCGTGAGCTTCGGAGTACATTGGGAGTGTGAGAGAGGTGGTAGGGAGGTTGGAGCATGTCTCGGTTCATGGCCGTTCTTTCGTAGTCTAGTATCCATTTCAACATGATCACCATCTGTCTATTCATTATCACAGCTTGAGTACAACAAAGACGAGGTGTTTAGGAAGTGCGTCCGCATTGAGGTTGTTTAACCGAGTCATTCGACTGCTTCGCCGTTGCCCTGCTGAGTCTCAACACGACTCACTTCCCGTAGTGATTGTCATGACCGTGTCTAGATGAGCGACTCATATTTTGACTTGGCTTAATCTGTTTAATCCCAAGCGGCGTTCACTACTTAGAAGATAGAATCTAATGATCGCACCCCTGGAAATCTACGAGAAGCTTGACGTATGATGATCTCATCCCACATGGCACAAGCCGGCATCAGCCGCGCCAAGACGTCAGGGTCTCTCAGGTACGCGAGCCGAGGCCATGACGAGAAATGCCAGCTTGCATGCCATCCGCGAGAGCCTCAGGTACCAATATACACCGTCGTCACCTCCCCATACCTCCTAGGCCTGCATCTCCTCCTTCCATTCCCCTCGACGAATCCACTCCTTGCAATCGAGTCTGCAGCACACACATACACAAAGCAATGTCCGCCAAATCCACAACAACAGCAAAGGCCGCCGCGCCAAATGACCAGCGACCCGCCAAACAATCTGGAGCGAAGAACGCATACCTCCTCGCCTACAATGCCGCTTCTGCAGCACTGTGGGCAGGCGTGCTGTACCAGACCGTGACGATCGGCGCGAACGAAGTGGTCAATGCACAAAAGGCCGGCGCGTTCTTTGGCAGCGACGACTGGTTCACCGCAACGCGACGAGGACTGGCAAGCGGGAAGGTGTATGATGGTCTCGAGGGATACACGAGGACTGTACAGACACTCGCTGGACTGGAAGTCCTGCACAGTCTAGTTGGTACGTGGTTGTCATCCATCTCCCATCTACACACACATCTCTTCCCTCGTTTTTTTACACCATAAAAATGGGAGATTTTGAACGACACCAAGCTAACAAAGTACCATTACAGGCCTCGTTCGCGCCCCGCTCCTAACGACCCTCATGCAAGTAGCCTCCCGCTTCCTGCTCGTACACCTCATCGCCTCGCCTCCCGCGTTCCCCTTGTCTACACGCCACTCCCCCGCCTACGCTACCATGCTGCTTGCTTGGAGCGTAACAGAAGTAATACGCTACTCGTACTTTGTCTTCTCGCTGTCTGGCGTCGGAGTGCCCAAGCTGTGGACTTGGCTACGGTACAACACTTTCTTGGTTCTGTATCCGTTGGGTATTGCGAGTGAGTGCTGGTTGGTGTACAGCGCGATTCCGCTGGCAAAGGAGAGGAACGAGATGTTTGCGTATGCGCTTTGGGCTATACTGGCGATTTATGTGCCGGGCTCGTATATCTTGTTCAGTCATATGTTGGCGCAGAGGAGGAAGATTGCGAGGCAGAATAAGAGGGTGTGATTAGTGTTGTGGAAGAGCGGGTCATGGTGGGATGGGAGAGAAGTGTGTGCGTGTGTATGTGTGTGTGTGTGAGGTGTGTAGGATAGCAGTCGTATGTATGACCAAGAAAACAGTAAACATGTGACGTGACGTTGTCCTTTTTGAATTGACGGACAAACATGGCTCTCTGCACAGCTTGTTTAACTACTCCTTACCCCCTTCCTTCGGCCCCGTCTGCGCATTCCTCTCCCCAACGTCCAGCGCAACTAGGAATCTCGACACGCAATTGTACGCGGCAATAGTCGCCGTAATCTCTACAACCTCCTTGTTGCTGAAACCCGCTTCCTTGAGCTTCTCAAACACAGCGTCCGGGACACGCACATCTAGCGTCATGGCGTCTGTATAGGCTAGCACGGCCGAGAGTCGAGGTCCAAGGATATCAAGCGGTTCTCGGGGCGTAGACTCGAGGACGGCGCGGACTTGGTCTTTGGTGACGTCTGTTGCGGATTCTAGGATCGGAGAATGAGACTCCCATTCATACCATGCTTTGTTTAGTACGGCGACGCGGCATATGGCTGTTTCGCGGATGGCAGTTGGAAGACTGGTTTTGGTGCGGATGGAACCTAAGAATGAGTTCCTTTTTGTTTTGTCAAGAACGTGTTAGTCAGGACTTTGCTCTTGCTGTTCGGCGAGGTGTCATGGTTTACCATCCATCGGCGACCGGAGGAGCATGAAGTAGTGTTCTGTCCAGAGCTATGAGACCTTTTTCGCCTCGACGTTGTCTCACGCGCTGCTCGACAGCTTTGTCTTCTTCTGACGTGAAGTTTGGAGGGTCGGGGACGTAGGGGAGACGCATTGTGAGATGCGTCAATGATGTATACTTGCGTGAATTCAATCCGCTTGTGTATAATTGTAAAGTCTTGGTGATGAGTCAATCAATGTAGGAAAGTGAGTCAGGTCGTATGCCTCGTCGCAACATGCCCCGAGGTCGGGATGCAGTCTCGGAATGGATTCCGAACACTGAACATGCGGGGCGAACCACACACAACTCGTTTCGCTTACCGCCTATCGATAACGAGACGAGACTCTCATTCCCACCTTCTTCCCACTTAGTCTCTGACCCATTGCATTGGGCTGTGTAAACAACAACGACGATAAGCAGCGACCATGGCACCCAATTCCAAACTCAACGCGAAGCGCAAGGCACAGAGAGAAGGAGAGAAACCTGCGAAATCGAAGAGCGACAAACGTCCGAGTTCGACTGCCTCAGTCAAAGGGCCTGGCATATCGTATTTGCCCATTGAACTTCAACAACTCTTACTCAACATCTTTCGGAATTCTTTTGCGGAAAGGCTGAGTTCAGACTTTGCTCCGCTGCTGCAGGAAGTCAAAGGTCATCTTTATAACCGCGATTTTGCGACTGCGTTTGGAAAGAATGAATATTTGGAGGTGTATGCGGCGAGATGGAGTCCCAGTCGTGCGTTGGGGTATTTAGATCTGATATGGGAGTGGAGAGACAAGTTATGGGCGGACATGGATAAAGGAGAAGAAAGAGAAGAGGCCAGCAAACAAGATACCAAGTCGAAAAGTCGAAAAGTCGTGTGTCTCGGTGGCGGAGCAGGTGCAGAGATTGTGGCGCTGGGTGGCATGCAGAAGTTGATGTCTAGCATGAACGCAGAAGAAGAGGATGGGAATATTGAGGGTACGGGGCCACATATCGAAGTCGCTGCAATAGATGTCGCCGACTGGAGCGTCGTCGTGGAAAATCTCGCAAAACAACTCACCACCGCGCCGACACTCAACAAATACGCATCAGCAGCTGCGAGAGCGGCAAATGTCTCACCTCTCAACCCTGAAGATATCTCAGTAACATTCAAGCAGCAAGATGTACTCCAAGCTTCGGCAGAAGACCTATCTGCTCAAATCGCAGACGCAAACCTCGTAACGCTGCTTTTCACGCTCAACGAACTCTACTCGACTTCCATGCCTTTGACCCAAAAATTTCTCCTCCTCTTAACATCGGTCCTCCAGCCCGGTGCGCTTCTCCTCGTAGTCGACAGTCCAGGAAGCTACTCCTCAGTCACGCTGAACGGAGCTGAGAAGAAGTACCCAATGCAGTGGCTACTGGACCACACGCTGCTGGAACAAGCAACCGAGAATCGGGGAAGCAAAGATGAGATTGTCAGGTGGGAGAAGATAAAGGAAGATGGAAGCAGATGGTATAGGCTGGATGAGAGACTGCGTTATCCGATTGAATTGGAGAACATGCGGATGCAAGTTCACTTGTATCGGAAGTTGTAAAGCGCACAATGTTGTTATCGAACGAGAAATAAATGGATATAAGCAAGATTCCAGACACTAAACTACAACTACATGGCTCTGTTGATAAGAGTCTCAGGCTGAGCGATTCCTACCAATCATATACCGATTTCGGCTCTACTCATACCGAGCCTTGATCATGTCTGCTGCTTTCTCGGCAACAGCATACAGCGTCGATGTCAGGTGACCGCAGACCTGGAACGGAATGACAGAAGCATCAACGACGCGAACATTGCTGGTACCATAGACAGTGAGGTTGGAGTCTACCACGCCCCCAAGCTCACGCGGCATCATAGCAGCCGTCGAGATGTAATGAAAGTTGGAGCGATCTACAACGATGTATTAGTTTCAGTTTTACTTTGACTGCATCATGTTGTAAGGAGGGGAACTTACACGTCGATTTCAGCCACTTCTCCCAGACTGCGTCGGACGCGTTGGTGGGTACGACGTCGAGCCCGGGAGTCGTCTCGCTAGAGAGTGCGTTGGAAAAAGGCGCTGTGTTGGCGAACTTGCGCGCCATCTTGGCCGTCGCAATCTGCTGGCGGATATCGTAGTCCAGCATGAAGTAGTTGGGGTTGATATTCGCCGGCGCAGATGCATTGGTAGAGTTGATATGGATACTGCCGCGCGAAAAGGGCAAAAGGCCCCAGTACTCGATAGTGATGGGCCCAGTCGCTGCGGGCGAGACAATGATTTCGGAAATGGGAATCTTGTTCTTGAAGATGAGGTCGTACTGGATGCGGAAAAGCTTCTCGGTCACGGAGCTGTCGATGATGCCGCTGGCGTTGGCGGTCCTGCCGGCGTACTGCTTGAGAGCGCTTGCGATGCTTGCATTGAAAGCAGCAAGATCCGATTCGAAAACGTCATCCACGTTGAAGTAGGCTGCGTAGCCGGCGAGTCCGGTAAAGTTGGTGCTGTTGTTGTTGGTGTAGAACATGTCGGTGGTGGTTTGGTCTTGCAAGTTCTCGCCAACGAATGGAAGGTCGACGACGACGTCAATGTTGTGCTCTTGAAGAATGCTACGGTCATAGTTAGTCTCTCTATGAGTGTATCCCTATCGACTCGAGTTGGTGCTTACGATGGGTTACCAACGCCCGACTGCTCCAGGAGCAGCGGCGATCTAAGACTTCCTGCCGAAAGTATGACTTCGCGATTGGCGAGGATTGTGGTACTCGTGCCATTGAGTCCTGAGAAGACAACGCCACTTGCGGTTCGTTTAGCGTCTCGATTCTCTGATTCTGGATGCCATATCATCTTCTCCACGAAAGATTCGAGATAGATGTCAAGATTGGGCCGCTTCGACACCGGCCAATAGTAAGCGCGTCCAGCATCTTCTCGGACATTATCCGCTCGCTCAATGGTCTTAGGGAAGACTGTCAGGCCTCGCATGGCCCCTGCGTTGGGCTCCTCGTTGAAGGGAACACCCAGTGTATCGAAAGTCTGGTTGATCGAAGACATGACCTCCTCACCCATCATATTGTTAGTCCATCCAACGGCTAAAGGACCAGTTGTACCGTGGGTCTTGAGGTCCATCGAGGCTCCACGGAGGAGCTGGGATTCCCTTGGTTGTTGGATGTATTCGCTCTTCTTGTAGTATGGCATCAAGCTCTCCCAATCCCAGCCTGCGTTTCCGATCTGTTGCCATGCATCGATTTGTGCAGCTTCAGCTCGTAAATATGTCATTCCTGTCGGATGAAACTGTCAGAACTCAAGGTCGGGTTGAGATTTGTTGCTTTGGACGAACCATTGATGTTACTTGTTCCTCCAAGTGCCTTGCCTGCACGTAAAACCTGCGAGGCGTTTCCGGCAAAGGTCTGAGGAACGCTCTCGTACTGCCAGTCGACCGAGGTGCTAAACGCGTTTCCATATTTCGAAGTGTCGGTTATGTTGGGGTTGTATAGCTCAACGCCTCCAGCCTCGATGACTGCTACTGAGACGTTGTAGTCTTCGGAAAGACGATTCGCAACAACAAGGCCTGATGTTCCGCCACCAACGATGATGTAGTCGTATCGTGGGCTATGTGTCCAAACATCTCCTGCACCTTTTGTCGCCGCTAACACTGCTGGTGCTAGCAGGAGCGTAGGAAGGGCAATTTGCATATTGAACATCTTGAAAAGAACGTGAAAAGAATATTTCCTCGGTACTGAATCAAACACAGAAAAGCATGGAGGTGAAAGTGGGTAATTTGAGATGCATTGCGATGCTATTTATCGTGGATAACGATGTCGATTTTTTCATGGCGTACAAACACTGTAGCAAAGGAGAGAGCTTAGCAAAAGCTTAGCAACAGCAACGAAAGTGGACCTCTCTGCTGCATTCAACCATTATCAAGCGTCTTGTAAGCTGCTTTGTCCCAGTATTGATCCAAAGCTCGGCCAGATTTTCTCTTTTCGCCGAGGTGCTCGTGCCAGCTAACCAAATCTTCGTTTGGATCGGACTACATTGTTTCATGCGACACAATAAGTCGTGCAGCAGTCGGGAGGATTAAATCAGCTTCGCGATCTTTGCGGAACGCGCTTGGTCGGATGCACTTTCTTGATCATTGTCGAGCAGACATGGCGATGGCGTGTCTTCCAGAAAATTCGATGGTCGGGCGGGTACATGTGGAGCCCAATATCCGTCATATCCCTGCGACTCTTCATTGCGATCATGGTTTTCGTAAGCATTTGCAATGGGCGCGCACGGCCAGGTCAGCTACGGCGCGGTCCGATTCCGCAGCCACCACCGTTATATAACGCTTCAACACCGTCCCACACCGTTGGCTGATGCCTCCTTGTAGCACCGACCTAGTACACGCATGTGTACTGCCGTCGCAGCTGTTGCATGCCAGAGACGCTGACGCCATCTGCAGCTTTACCTGCATGCATTCCGTATGATGTCCGCATCGCTATTGGAAGCAATGCCTGTGGCCGACCCTATTACCCACCTCTAACCTCAGTACAGCTCCACCCTCTCTCCCTTTCTCTTCCGTTCTCATAAATCTCATCTGGCCTCTTGATCCCCGAGTCAACCCTCTCCATCCTTATACTCGACCGCGACAACTCCTTCGTCACGAGTATACTGCTCAAGCTATGGTGCTCTTGGACGCTGCGTAGACTGATGTTGCTGCTTTCTGGGCTTTTGGGTGTCTCCCGCAGACGTGTCTTTTCATATCGTCGAAGGCAGATGGCAATCAAGGGTACGGCGAGGAGAAGACAGATGATGGCTATCACGATGCCGATGATAGCGCCAGGACTAAAGCCGTCGCTGCGGGAGCTGGCGTTGGGGATTATGGCTGGTGGGGCTTCAGGTGTGAAGGTTGAGGTAGGTGCTGGTGCCATTTTGTTTATCTGGCAGTGTCGTGAGAGATTCGATGTCTTCGTCTAGCCTCTGCTAATCTTGGTGCTCAAGCGTAATGAATTCTGTCGATGGTGTCTTTGACCGGATGATCTCAACTTCTGAGCTGCTAGCGATGGTAGTTCGTCAAGTGATGCTGACGATGGCCAAAGGTTACAATGAAAGGAAGTAGAGGAGAAAGCAATCGGCGGTAGAATACTGAGCGGATTGGCCTATGTAAATAGAATCGAGAAAGACCGAGAATTGCGTTGCACAACGACAAAGAAAGGATATGCCGGGCTGTCAGATCACAGTAGTGAGAACATGAGGGGTTTTCATGCACATATCGCATCATGTTCCACCTTCCAGAACAATCAACCCCCACTCCTTTGCCATGCCTATCCCGACCAAATCGTAATGTCTGCTGGCCACAAGTAGTTGAGTTGTGCCTAGCGTAGTTGGCGAACCCTCGTCGCGAACTTAGAATTGGCTGCAAGGCAAAGTTAGTGGCGTTAGCGATGGACCAATCACGTCGCATTGCGCGGCGGAGGAGGCGAACGCGTGAGTAGAGCCGCATTCTGGGCAGAAAGGATTGCGCTGAACGGCAAGGGAATGCAGCGAATGAACTGCTTGGGTGATGGACGGGCAGAGGTGGAATGTGTGAGGCGTATGTGGAGAGACGCGGGATCAGGGTCTCGTTGGACCGGAGCTGAGCGAGCGAAGGCTTGCGCAGGTACATGTTTGGAGGTAATGGTGCAGGATTTGACAAGGCGCTGACCGCTTCTTGTGCATTGGGAGATGATGGCTGGTGCCATAGGCGCGTTCCTGAGATGTTGTCGTGGTGTGCGCCTACCCCTTGCTCGTAAGCGAGGCTGGTGTCATTCCGTCATCACAGGATTCCAGCCACAGACTGGTGAGCCACCGGCAACCGTCGGCCCGCACCAGCCACGATCACGTGATGTAGATGTATCTTGTCCCTTGCGTCCTGAAGCAGTGTCGTTAGCCGATGAGGCGATATGCTCGGGGTCATTCTGAACACCGAAATCTATAGATATTATTCCAGACGGTTCGGTTGTGTCGATAGCTAGGATTTCCTAGAGACAGCTGTACTTTGGTGAGGGATCGTACGGCTAGGTCCCACCAGTTCCAACAGCTTCACTTCCTTGATAGGCAACTTTCAGAAATGCTGTTGATAACGGCTGGAGCACTGGATCACAACCTGCACTTCCTTGATAGGCAACTTCACAGAAAAACTGTTGATTACGGCTAGAGCTAAGAGTCCACAACCCTAGAAAATGTAGAGACAGCAATTGCTGTCACATGACTATCTTTGGAACCCACCAAAACCCTCACAACCGCTGTTGGAGACAACGATTGCTCGGGCACTGCACGACCCAACGAGCTTCTTACAACGATGTTACTAGATAAGGCGCTTCCTTAGTGCCGTGAAAGGTGAATTTATCATCAATACTACCGACGAGTGCTATGCATCCGGCGACAATCTCATCAAGAGATGAAACATCATAATCGAGAAGGGTGGCGCGACAGCGACGGGGGTAGGACTTGCTGCTGTTGTTTTGAGTACTGCGTCAAGGGCAGCGACCACTGCATCCCTGCGGGGTGAAAGATAAGCAGAAAGGTTTGAGAGCGTTCTCTTGAAAGGAGAACGGACGGATTTAACCATTAGGAATAGGAACAATAGTTTTTATCGCTACCTTGCTGTATTCGGAGGAAGGAACAGGGCGAAGAAGGCATCGTTCATTCTCCTAACATCTGTCCGCAGACGTTCAGTTTCGTCGGCAAACCTCCCAGGCGGTACGCGTAGAGTGCTCGACTAGCAGAGTTCTCAACCGTGAAACAGCCACGCAACAACATCAGATAATCACCAAGACAAAGTTATCGAGCCACCTTAAATAGCTGTAATCACGAGAAAAAGCTGGTGCATTGCTATGTACGGGCCTCTAGAGCACACAGCAGATAAGACTCGTTGGTATCGTAAATTTGCGGCCGCTTCTGGCTTCTTTGGTGGGGAGGCGCCGCAGGCGGGCTCTCACAGAAGCTGTACAACCCCCAACACATTTCTGACGCTTTGACGGATTTTCTGCTTCTTTGTGTGGGTCTGTTTGCTTACGTATATTTGCAATACCTTGTGCTTCTTGCGCATCGACAGGTCATCACTACGATACAGTAGGAAGTCACCCACCATCGGCTTCTTCCTGACTTGCGCAGTTACGGAAGACATCGCATTGACAATTGAGGAACGAAAAGCTCCAACTACAGTATGAACCAACAAAGTTTGATCCTGCCGTTCACCAACGTTCAAAACCAGCTACCATTACCCTCCACACCTTGTACCCGAGGATTTTTCTTGCGCTTAGATTTTGGGAGCGTCTCTAGACATTCTCTTTGAATCTGGCTTTTGACCGCCTCCTCTTCCTGCTCTTCCTTCGTCCTCTCTTGTGCTTGCTGACCTTCGCTTCCAATGTTCGGCGTGATATTGGAAGGATGCACACGATTATGTTGATCCTCTTCTAATTGCATAGGAGCAGACTCTCCACCATTAGATTCTTTATTCCTGTTAGAACGACGGAGAGGCATCTCAGTGACTCGGCCTCTTCCCCTGCCCTTCTTCATGGGCTCGATACCAGATGGAGTATGAGACTCGTCGTTGGTGTCATGTGTCATCGATGTTGAGCGAGTGCCGCCAGATGTCACTGTTGTGCCGTTGTAAGGAGACACGGAGTCGTCAAAATCGCCTGGTTCTCCGACGGTCGAATTCGAGACGCTCACCTCGTTCATGGTCGTGTTGCGTGGACGAACCCTACTGGAGCGTCTAGGACCAGCCGACGCTGCTCGTAGACTCCGAGGGCTGGCTGCACGTCTCCCTCGATTAGCTGAAGCCGATCTTGAACGACCAGAACTTCGCCGAGACCTTATCAAACGAATTGATGCCGATGCTGGAGGTCCGTCGTTAGACGCGTCATCGGTGTTCGATGCTTCTGACCGTGGACGGGGGGTAGTTCGCCCGCTCACCATTCCATCAGACATGAAGTGATCTGGGTATGAAGTCAATGGGGGTACGTCGTGTTCGCTCCCAACCCGCTTCTGCTTGTTCTTGTGGTTCGTAAGAGCCCGGCAATCTTCGGGACGCAGAAATCTAGCACGCAAGGTGTATCCTGGAGGAGTTTTTCGCCGCATAAAGCAGTCTTTGTGATATTCGTTTGATGCTTGGTGCGGACAAGCGGGATCTTCTGCTCCGTGACCAAGAGCCGGATGAGATGCTAGCCCTTCAAGGTCGGGCAAACCACTGCCATACTGACCAAAGGTGTCTCGCAAACAGTTGATGCAACACTTGCGAATGCTGCAAGGCGTATCTCCTCTCTTCCTGTGCTTCTTTGCGCAGATAAGACACGGCCACTCGTCGTCGTCCGTCGTGCTCGAATTCTTCTCTCCGCATTCAGCCGCCATGTGACCGGGTCTGCAGCACCGTCTACAGAATACTGGTATACCCTTGATGTCGATGGGTCTTTGTCATGTTAGTTACTAAGTGCATACTCAGGGTCACTGTGCTTACATAGCTTGAGCTTCAGTACCCTCAAAGTAAACAGGTTTGTTATGAGCTTTCGCAGCTTCTGATAGAGTTGTGAAGCCCCAGATGAGATATTTGTTGTTTCGGAAGTCGATGTATCGGATGTTGAGTTGGTTTACAGTGCTCCATTGCTTTCTCAACTCGTCCTGCTTGGATAAATTGTGCAGCTTGGACATATCGCGTAGATTCCACCCTTCGAGGACTACCCAATAGGTCTCTTCGACAACTCTAGAATCCTGGGAGATAAGTAACCTATCACGTAAGTCTTTCCAGTCCTTTTTGTTCAAGAGCGTTGAATGTACGTTCCAATTGTCCAGACTCAGAATGAGTTCACGTCTTTTGGGCATACGATCGTGTACGGAGACAGCTCGGACGTGTTTGTAAGGTCCATTCAATGAATTGACGTCGTTTAGGATGGTCTTATAAGGCTTTTCCTCCAGTCGCGTATAATCCGTATTATTGAGACTAATATGAATGCGAGGCGATACATCCTTGAGCGTATGGTTTCCAGCATTGGTCGAAGACTTATCCAACCTATCAGTGATGGCCTTAGTCGATCCAGGTAATTTCCAAACGTTGCCTGTTGGCGTTGCTGTTTGGCGCGCTGTTCCTGGAGGGCACGGACTTGTTCGTCGAATTGCATGCGCGCTACTGCAATTTCATTTCTGAGTGCCCTTACTTCATCCATCATCGAACTCATCTCCTGAGCTGATACTTGCAACATGCTTTGTGACGCTGGGTCTGACATCGAATGTTATGCCGAGATGAGGCTGTGTGACTCGGAACGGGGACCTTTGTGAAGGATATAGGGAATATTGTACTATGGTATGTTGGAGAAGTCCTGTATGTAGAGAGGCTACATCAGTAACATTTAAAATCTCTTGCCTGTGAAAGAAACCGCTGATACAAGTAGATTTATATTAGCTTACGTAGCTCTTAGGCTTGGTAAAGAAGCTCTTGACTAGCCGCCCACATACAAACTTAGGCCTTTCACGGCAGTAGATGCGTTTCGGATATCGCGGCTTCACTGTGACCGTTGATGCCGATTATTCAGGGCGGAACGCCATTATGTCCGTAGATGTCAGCGTTATCAACGCCGCCATTGGGTGGAGAAGGAAAGTTACACGTCGTCATGAGCCACACCTCCTCTTCCCTGGGCCTTCTACCTTCCGCGCTCGGAGACACTTCCCCACCTACGTCTGACCGATTACTGACCGCTCGCTTACCCGAAGTACTGCGGTGACCAGCTCCAGCAAGACAAAATGAGAATCATCCGAGAAAAGTGTCGACTGAATCGCCGACTGAATCGCTAAGATCGGGGGCTGAGTAGTCGTGTAGCGTGCATTGGGCCTCGATGCAGCGGTGAGTGTAGCTAAGTAGCACCATCGTCTGGGTGGCCTAGCTCAGTAGACGTTGCGCCTTTATCGGCGATAACAGGGAATAAACGCAATGTGCCGCCACTTCATGGGTCAGTCTCCAGCGCACGAGGCTGTTTGACTCGGCAGATTCAAGGCGCTATTAATCGGCCCCACCAGCATGATTACTCGGGCCTTCACGGGGTGCTCTGTAGGCTCTGAGGGCTGAGCTAAGTGTCAGTGTAGTAGGCAATGTGCTGTTTACACCATCAACACTTCGGTGTAACACAAGGTATATAAGCCGTTACTTACTCGCGCTACAATCGCAGTTGCATGTACAAGCTCCCAAAAGTCTGGTCTTAAGACTGTACTACGCTTTTCAACCGACGAATGACGTGGTTCTATGGATTTCGGTCATAACATCATGACTACTACATGGTTTTGCTGCCCAGCATCGCAACTCCATGGCGCGCTCAAAGAAGCAAACGAACCCGAGCTCTGTAAGTCAAGGAAGTGGCTCGAAAGAGGTATAATGGAAAGATTTTACTCCATGGTCATCAACTTACAGATCTTGACAGGATCCAAAGGCAAAGACAGTGCGCTCTGTACGAGTATGAAGGTTCTTTCAACACATCGATATTTACGGTTCGACTAACATGGATAGTCGTTTGTACTCGACGAAGACTGCAATCCGCAAGAACGAGGCGCGGCCGAAGAAACGATCCGGGACAATGAAGACCCCAAAGAAACCAAGATCGACGTCTTCGACGACTGCGATTGTATAATCTTGTCTGCCAATGTCAAATTCTGTCAACTTCGAATGGATAAGATCGAAAGGCATATCAACAACTCAAAGCGAAAGCCCGATATCATCGCGATTCAAGATCCTCCAACGAAGCTTGCTTATCGGAAATTTCCCTCATACAATATTCATTGGCGTGCTGAGGATAACGAAGACGGGCAAGCGCAGGAGATGACCGCAGAGGATCATCCTAACCATCTGGCATACCAGCCTCCATACGAATCCAGAAGGGAAAGGCCAGAGCGGAATAAGATCACTGGAGGACAGAAAAAATTATCCAAGGTTGCTTTTCTCATTCATCGCTCCATCATAGGCGTCGAACTTGATGAGCCAGCACCTGGCACACCTAATCGTGGTAGGGTCGCCACTCTACACGTCGATACTGGCCAAGGATCACTTGCCATACACAACGTATACAATTACGACGGCAAACTCGAGGTTCAGCCACTTTTGGATCTTTGTCGGGACGAGCAAGAAGCGCATGTATGCGTAGGAGACTTCAATTGGCATCACGAGCTCTGAGGAGGCGAAGACGCAGGGCAAGTCCACAAAAAGGCACAGGAGCTTGTCGAATCTATGTAGTTATTGAACGTCCCTCTCGTATGCATGAACGAGAGGGGCGTCGCCACTTATTCGCGTGGAGTGCGCGGCGAGAGCAGATATGAAAGTGTTATCGACCTTGTTCTGATTGGCGATGTGCTGAAGGATCAGGTGCGCTACGAACTTCCCGATGTCAAGGGTTTTGATTCAGATCACGCCGTTTCTTCGTTGACAATCGATATGAGGATGGCGAGAAAGTCGGTCATACGCTATGGCTGGGACGGAACCGATATACCAGCATACCGGAGGTTCATCGAACAGCGTTTGAGAACCATCGCCCGTCCTCGACATCCAACAGAACACGACGTTGACGAGGTTTAAAAGGCTTTGATATCGAGGGCCATCGTTCCGGCTATTAATGAATTTGTTCCCACCATCGAGGTATTTGCCCATGAGCCGCAAGAACCATCATCGATCCCCACCACGCCCGCGCAAAAGAACCGTGCTTGGCGTCGTGCTGTCACCAAATGGACCCATAGTAGACAAGGCGTTTTCCGTACCGCCAAGAGAGCTCGCAGCTGGGGTTTACCAAGACAGCTGGATTTCACTCCAGACTTCGACATCGGCCGTGGCCCTATCAAATCCAACCGTGACAAGGCAGAATGCTATGTCGATTCGATCTGGACGAAGTGGGAATACAAAGGACCCCCTAAGAACTCACAGCCCAATACTACTTCTTCGGAAAGCTCGGTAGGTACAACCCGATGATAGAGGGCTCGCTGTGGTTGGTAGATGCCTCTAGGAGATGACACGGACGCTGATACAAATTCAGGACCACCCATCAATGCCGCGCACATCGAAGCCACACTTTCCATTGCCCCACATCAACCTTGACAAGGACACACGAGACATGACGCAACGGATAGTGGAGGGCGAGGTCAAGAAGCTTTAAGGGATGCGAAGTTGCGTAAAGCCTCTGGTCCTGACGGTGTCGCATTTGAGGCCCTTAAGATGTGCATCGACGAGATTATCATCCACTTAACTTGGATCTTCCAGGCTTGCAACGACCTAGGATACCACCTTCCAGATTTCAGAGATTCCATTACGATCGTTATCAAGAAGCCTGGTAAACCCGACAATCATCCGAAATCTTACCGGCCTATCGCACTTCTCAATGCAATTGCAAAGCTGTATGAGCGTCTTTTTGCGAATCGCCTCAAAGATGTCATAATACGGAGAAAAATGCTGCCGAGATTACAATTCGGAGCCCCAGGACGAAACACCACCTTAGCCATCGAGAACTTGACGAACTACGTATACTCGGCCTGGCAACGCGACGAACTTGTTAGCTTGCTTGGACTTGATCTCACCGGTGCCTATGACCATGTCGATCGAATAAAGCTATTGGATGACATGGTCCGCAAGGAACTCCCGGGTTGGCTTATCAAAGCAATCTGGTCCTTCTTGTCCGATCGCCGTACCTACATCCACATGCCTGGTTACGAGGGTCCTGAATACTGGATCGACGTTGGTCTCCCTCAGGGAAGTCCACTTTCCTACAGCCATCCGCTTCCTGCAATCCATATCCAAGGCCGCACGCGATAATATTCGGAAGATCTTATTGCTTGAGGACCGCGAATCCGTTGCCTCTCCTGAGAGTCACGGTAGAGGGTTCATCGAGATCTGCCAAGCTCATCCACAACTCAAAGTTGAGCGCGTCATCAACCTTTGGAGAAATGTATTTCCCGTATCACATAAAGCAAGGGCCGACTACTTGCTAGCTACCCGCCATCTGGACGCGGGATTCATGAGCCCTGATCGTTGTCCCGCTGACCTCATTACTCATGCGGTGGGCGCATGGAGCAAGGAAGCTACAGTTCTGCCTTCGCTCGACATGCCGCATGGCTTCTATACTCTCGTCCTTGACGGCGAACCCGTGTCTGAACACACCTCGCATGTGTTCCGCATTGTCCAACGCGATGTCGCCTGGCAAGCCACTCTCGAAATCTGCTATGCTCGTAAACTCCTACCGCAACCTTCCTGGCTCGACTGGCGACTTCACACTAGCGGCTTCACCTTCGAAGGGCTTCCTGAGGCAGTTCACGCTCTTACGATGAATAGCCCTCTCGTCAGAACGAATTTTTCCCTTCACACACCTTACGACGTTGAGCAGTTGCTGCGAGAGCACGAAGGGTGGACAGCAAAAGACTGGGAAGTTGGTTGGGCATCACACGAGCCGCGCGAGTTCCAAACGGAAGCGCCGCTACCTCCCTGGCACCTCCTTCGATGGCAGCATGTCATCGGTTGAGTTTGCACATAGTGCGAGGCCATGGAGAGGTTCAGGGCGGGCTTTAGAACCGCGTCGCACTTCCGATTGCGCTCTGGCAGAGAGACAGAACATGGGTCATGAGGCACCGCGGCTGTAGTGATATTCGCATCGCATGTGGTTTTTTAGAGGCAGTAGCTTGTCCATTTCAAGCGATCTGAAGGGGATGATCACAGGACAGTCAGCGTGGTATTGTTGAGATTGTCATGTCTAGACGTGCACAGGCGGAGGCTTTCCTTTGTGCGTCGACGAACCATTAGTAAAGTCCTGCTGTAAACTCTTTCCGAGTTTCAGACGCCCTGCTTGCTTGCTTTGAAGTTCCGCCCTGCTCGCCAACCTCCGTAATCCACGTAATCACGGCTGCAGCCAATCACACACGTTTCTAGTTTGAAGAACTACATTCCACGCTTTTGTCTCATCTATCACGACCTTGGAGGCCCTGCAAGCAGTGCAAGCAGGGCGTGATATCATGCGAATTGCAGCGCGCCAGTCAGTCATTTGAATGCTTTGTTGACTGTACAAGCCGCATCTCGCAACATGTGCTAAGCCGGATGGAGCTAGCGGAACGCCGAGACAAAACCGCGCGGCAAACACGTGATGATGGAAAGTGAATCTCCTGATCCCAGCCTTGCACGTCGTTGTAGGGAATCATAGAGCGCCCTCCAATAGCCAGCCACCTAACAACACTCGGATTTTGCCTGCAACGACTGCGCCCCGCAGGTCAGGTGCTAGCGCGATGTAGCGGGTCGCGCTGGCGCTTTGGCGATCGTCAGCCTTTGCGACATCTCGAATGTTCTGCGTCATCTCGTTATCTGGCTACACCTTCCAACCACGCCTTCGCATGCCATCAAAGCGTGATACGGCTTCGTAATCGTTCGCAAACAATTTCCGAGATGGACGTTCAATCATACGTGTATGACCTTTCACAAGTAAGTGCCTAGAGCTAATGTGCCGGCGCGCGTTTTCGCGACGTTTTGTAGAAGCGCCTGGAACTAACTGCATATAGGGTCTTGCGCGGAGCATGTCGATGCAGTTTTTAGGCATACAGATTGACGCTGTATATCATACCTCTATCGTGATTGATGGTATCGAGTACTACTACGGCCAAGGGGTACAGACATGTCAGGCGGGAGCTACACACCACGGACGGCCCATGGAAGTCATCAAGCTTGGACGAACTGCACTTCCCATGGAAGTTATATTGGAGTACCTTGAGTCCTTGAAGGAGATCTATACCCCAGAGGTATCGTCTTAATCATCTCTAGTACTTAGGCTATGCTGACGGTAGATTTAGGCCTACGATCTGTTTGCGCACAACTGCAACAACTTCTCCAACGACTTTGCCATGTTCCTCGTAGGCAAGGGAATACCAGACCACATCACGTCACTCCCGCAGACCGTCCTCAATACGCCGTTCGGGCAGATGCTACGGCCGCAAATCGACGCCGCTATGCGACCCATCACCCAAGCGCCGACGCCGCAGCCGATACAACCACAAGCCAACTCGAGGCCTTCGAACGGATACACATCCAATGGCACCTCGCCGGGAGGAAGCGCATTAGAGATGAACACGGGCAGGGTCAACAACATAACAGCGTTGAAAGACGTGGATCGCCTTCTCGACCTAGCCAAGGATCGATCTGCAATCATCTTCTTTACGAGCTCTACATGCGCGCCATGTAAACTAGTATATCAGCCGTATGACGATCTCGCCGCCGAGAACGGTACGAAGTGTGTCTTCATCAAGATAGACTTCAGCCACGCCGAGCGCTCGATCAGCACCCGTTATCCGAACGTTCGCGCGACACCAACTTTCATAACATACCTCAGAGGCGAGAAGCGAGACGAGTGGAGTGGCGCTGATCCAAGGCAGCTGCGGAACAATGTGGAGATGCTCGTCAACGCTGCATTCCCAACCCATCCCCATCTCGAGAAGAGCACACCAATGCTGTTGCGGCAAAGTCAAAGACCAGTCAAGTTCGCAAAGGTGCCACCAATGGAGAAGCTGGTCGCGAAGATGGGGGATGCTGGAAAAGACCCGGCTGTCTCGTCCATTGTGTCCTTCCTCCAAATGCGCGAGCAATCTGGAGCCATGGAAGCGCCATTGAGCGATCTACCGCAGTTTGCCCACTTTCTGAGGACAAGCACTTCAGTTCTCCCACTAGAACTTCTCTTCACTGCTCTCGACCTGCTCAGAATATCGCTGACCGACGTGCGTGTAGCTGGCTTCTTTGCAGAAGAACACAAAGGAGCCACAGGCACACCAGCTACTATCCACCATCTTCTCGGCCACGTAGATAAGCTTGGCGAATCTGCGCCGTACCCGCTCCGACTCACGACGCTACATCTCGCATGCAACCTCTTCACCTCGCCGCTCTTCATACCACACCTTCTCGCTCCACCACTTTCATCCACGCTCATCTCGATCTTAACGACCGCCCTCCTCGACGAGAAACACCCCGCGCTCAAAGCCTCCGCTCTCAGCCTAGCAATGAACATGACATCCTCCAACCATCAGATACGAATGAAGAAGCACAGCGCGAATCCATCGCATGCGCTATCTTCGGAGTTTGAGCTACCGGAAGCGGAGCAGGGCGAGCTGCTTGCTTCGCTGCTAGAGAATATCGGTACTGAGGAGCAGTGGAGCGAGAATCAGAAGATGAGCATTATCTGTGTTGGCTGGTTGGTGTATGCCGCCGATCTGCACGGGGAGCTGAGGGATACATGGAAGGTAATGGATGCCGCGGGTACGATATCGAAGATTGCAGCGAAGACTGCTGAGGATAGGTTAATGGTGAAGGAAGTGATGAGCTTACTTGAGGCATAGCTCATATGGTGAGGATGTATGATGGGTAGTGACACATGGATGTCGATTCTAGTCCACACGCAAATGGCACGTTCCGGAACCGAATCAATCCGTATCCCAATATGCTTCTATGGTCTCCCCTGGAATGTATGTTCTGATTTCATTCTCCCCGAACCGCACCCGCGTGACCGCCTCGGTGGTTACCTGATGATCCGAGTCCTTTTGTACCCGGGATCTCGAGGCCGCATTTTCCGACGCGACATTCGATATTCGCTTTGCTGTTTCCGAGGGGGGCGACAACAGGCCCATCTTGATCGCTTGTCGTGACGTCCTCGGCGACGGCTAATTATCGGATGCCTCTATGCGAGAACGCCTAAGTGCGATTCTCTCCGCCGCGTATTTCCGAGCATGCCCATCCGCTACGCGCGCGCCCTTCTTGTTGTGAGCAGCCTGTCGCTTCGCCGGTCGCTTCGCCTTCTTATCAATTCTCACAATATCTTCGTCGCCATTCGGGAGTTTGATCACCCTCCACCCGGGTGGAGCGGCATTCCAGCAATGCGAAAGACTCCGCGGTTCGTTGCGGTACGGCTCACCATGCAGTCTCTCAAATGCGCGGCTGGTGCATGTTAGCCATTACCGAAGCCACAATACTCAGTCTTGGTACGTAGCGCTTACTGTGCAGCAAATGAGGCCAGTCTGTCGGCTACATCGTTGCCTGCATCACCCGAGTGACCTTTGACCCAGCAAAAGTCTGTTATCCCGCCTGCTTTCCTGCGCCGCCTCAGAATCTCGACGATTGCTTCGATGAGGTCCATGTTCGCGAAGGAAATTCCTTGAGGTTTCTTCCAGCTTCTAATCTTTTGTCTCGTATGCCAGAACTTTACCGCCCCGATGGTATATGTTGAATCGGCGACGATGAGAGCTTTTTCCGTCCATTGCAGTCTTGTCAACACGTCCCAGAGTGCAGTCAGCTCCGCGCGTTGATTGATTTGATTCTCGTCTACGGAACCACTGCTGTTCCTTTGGAAACGTCAGCCAAAGGCCCATCACGATCTGTTGCGACGTATGTTTGTTAGGTAAGGATTTCTCCTGATACTTGCCTTGGATCATTTGGGCCGAAAAAGACACCGGCGCCAGCGGCAGTCTTCTTGCCCTTTTTCAGCGCGCTACCATCTGTGTACACGACTGTGCCTTGGTAATCTTGAGGTCTAATGTCGCTCATATCGGAGGATTTAGCTTTGCAGTAAAGTTGTCAGGTCAGGGCTTTAGACATTGCGTTGAATAAAGGAGATGCTAATACGGAGCTGATGCCAGTGTTTGCACCTCATATAACGGAACAAGAGGTGACCCGTTCAAGCCTGGCTCCAAGGCGGTATTCTCGGGCTGATCACCAACTCTCTGGATACTATCACTACATGAACAATGACCGTTGCTTAAGATACTAAATGGTTGTTGGGAGAGATTCTGTGACGGCATTTACGCTCATTTGAAGCTCGGTGAACACTGGTCAGTTCCATCTGAATCTGCCACAGATGCTCGTGTAGTTGGCAGGCGTTAGAGGCACCGGAAATTACGTGAGTGAGAACATTGCCGGGGCGACATACGGTGAAAACTAGCGTTTCTGCGCAAAGCCAAGGGGCATCTATCAAATGCTGCGAGCAGCGCTGTTGGAAACAAGTACGGATTTACCTCCCATCTTTCCAAGTCTACCCAAAGCTTTTGCTATCATCTGCTCCTTCGTTACTCTGACGCTGCAACACCATGCTTCTTAATTCTATTTTCCACATCACTCTCGCTAGTCTGATCTTTTCGAGAGATGACTCCTGTACCATGACCAACAAAACCATTGCCGCTCATCTTTTGAAATACCGGTTTGACCAAGATGCCGTCGTTAAATTGCTTCGTGGGCCAAAAGCTTTACAGGTATGTCTATAGCCTTTGTTCGCTGAACTGTGACTAATCTACGCCGTTCTTCACAGGATAAGATGCTTGCCTCTCTGTGCTCCTTGATCCGGGAGGAATGCAGGCGAAGCACTACCTTTGCTACGGCATTTAAAGGCCACGTGGTTATGCCATGCCGGAAGCCCGCGTTGTTTGACATAATTGGCATCAGCAAGGAGTACAAGCTGTACATTCCAGTGCGCAAGACTATACTCGCGTTAGCAATCTGTCGAGGACCTCTTGGTAACAGATCTCAATTGGAGCTACGCTTGTGCCATCATAGCTCCAGCTCCCTGGATCCGGAAGAAAGCGGTGTCGAATGCGTTAACGACGGGAAGCATCAGAGCCACCAGTTCCCACGTCCGGAATGAAGCGATCTCGAATGCGACGTCGAAGACGATTATTGGTCATCTGCTAGGGAATGGCTGAGAGCGCGATATGGTGAACAGCAGCCTAGACCAGACGTTGCGAAAGAGCCTTTTCGATTCCTCGGCCTCCCTGCAGATCTATGATGGATGGTGTACGAGTATGTGGTGGGCAAGCAAATCTGGCCTTGGTATCGCAATTTCGGTCCGACTTATCCGGCCCAACGTGAACGGTATCCTACCGGCTTGAGAGAAAGGCCACGCATTCCGGGCCAGATGTATGATTACGTATACGATGATGAGCAACGAGAAAAGCGGAACCTCGCTATACTGCTACGCAAGACCTGGTTCAACAGCATATCTACCGGCGTCTACCCAATGACTTTCGCGAAATCCTAAAGTCGGTGTTGGGAGACGGAGGACTCGTTTTCAGGCTTGCCAGAAGAAACATATTTCGGCCTAGGTCCGACTAAAGCAGAAGAAGTATCTGCGAAGAGTTTACCGCGTGTCAATCGTCAGATTCGCAAAGAATATGCGACGGTCGTGTGGGGCAAATCCATAAAGCGATCCAACGACCTACATAAATTCGATGACACTGTACGGTATTTGCGAACATTCTGTACACAATTCGACCTGCTGGGGCATGTATTCGAACCTCGAGATCCTTTGGTGTTGAGCCGCATATCCCTGAGTTTCATCAATAAAGATTATCTCACATTTGTCGGGTACGATTGGACGGAGGACTCGATCAGGAAAGACAAGTCGAGCTGGCGCCCAATTGGCGGTTTGGAGTTGCTAAGTCATATACACACTTTGCAGCATCTGAACCTCCAGTTCCACTTATCGAGGAGTCAGCACTTTCTCGGTGATTACGAGATCACGGAGTATGACCCATGGATTCATGATGACCTTGTCGGACGGGGGTTCTGTCAGAAGGAATTTGTCGACATCATTCTGCCGTTGGGTTATGAGTTACTCCGAGGCATCAAAAAGGTCACGATTTCCGGACATGTGGGCAAGTCAAATCACGAGAAATGGGAACCTCTTTTGCGCGACCAGTTGCCCCCATGGAATCCTGTTCTGCGCCGCCATTGGCCCTTAGGCAAACCCCGAGAAAGGCGCGACATGACAACCGACGTCGCCAGGATCCTGGCCATGTATGATAGAGAGCTGTAAGTAGTTTCAATGCCGTGTACAATCTGCTTCCGCTAACCCGAACATCAGTCCGCCGATCTGCCGCTGCTCAAAGCCATGTCAGTGGTGGTGGTCTGAACGCCGGGAGGAGGATGGGGAGTGGGATATGAATTGGTTAGAACATGTGAGCCCCGAGTCTTCCTGTGAAGACTGAGAAAAGGCCACACGATGGTGGTGTACATATCAGTTGGAACAATTGAAGATGGATATGCTGCACCAGATACTGAGGTAGACGGTCGGATGTCACTTTGCAATGCTATGCGTTTCGGGTGGCTCTATATGTATCCGCACAACATGGTCGTTTTTCATTGGGACTGGAATGGGAAGCTCTCGGACGGCTCGTTTGCGCCGGCCGGTACTTACAGGTTCCTCGTGAAGGCGCTGCACATCTTTGGTGATGCGTTCAAGGAGAGCGATTACGATACTGCCGAAACAGTAAGCTTTAGGATTCAGTACGCGTAGAGGGACGCATCAGGCGAAGAAACCCATTACTGCATGCTTTTCAGGACACCATTGTGGAGTGAGTCTTGCGCAGAAGCACTAACCCACACCCCTTAACATGCACTACAAGAGATACGCCTAGAACGCGTGCGTTTTATTGTCGAGAAAGGTTATTCTCTTACACACTGCGTAGTCACTTCTATACAGCATGTTGATAATTGCTTGATAATTACAGATCTTATTTCTGTCGTAGCCTTATTAGAAAGTAGTGTCTAGAAGCAAGCGAACCTTTGTTATCTCTTATCTCTTCAGCTACAAAGAAGAACACCCGAAGTCGTTAAGGAAAACTAGTAGCATATTACAGCATGTGATTTCGTCGTTAAATAACTGCAAGCACACGCAAGTGTAGAATGACTTTGATTTAGAAAAGAGCTTTTCCTACACGATCTCAACAACTGTCGGCTCAGTTGGATATAGAACTTTGATATCCTGTAGGTCGGTCATACCGGACCTTGTCTCGTTGAAGCCACTCTCTGGTTCCAGAAGAAGCCCGATACGTTCGTAAATATGAGCATCCGGACGTAGGCGTCGAAGAACAAGCGAAGCACGCACTTGACGTGAAGGCAAATCTGCCCTAGTCTGTACACACAATAGCAAGCAAATCCACTTGTCTCCTGCTGACCTTGTACGAATATGTACAGAACTAACCTCTGGCTTGTGATCTGGATGTATGGGATGCTCGAATCCGTTTGAGAAGCGAACAACATGTTCCAATACCTCTCCTCTGATGTAACCTCGTTCACAAAGTTTCTGGTACAGTGTGACACTTGCGCATCGACCACGGAGACGAAGTGTTCCTGAGCAAATTTCTCCAAACTTGTCAGTGGTCTTGGGAGATATCTCGCACTTAAGAATATCTACACAAGATTCGTATTGTGGGACGGGTACATCGAGAATATCGGGCTTTACAACATTTCCGTTGTAGAATTCAACAGCGCCATCTACACTTGCCCAGGACCATGACGGTGCTCTCCACAACGGCTTTAGGGTTCTTGTAAGCCACGCCAGATCTTTTGCTCCAGATCCCAGCAAGGTACTCGTCGTCTGACTGTGCAAACCGTTTTGCTAAACCGCCCAACTTCACCAGTTTGTCGGTGGAGTAGCTTAGTTGCAGTCGTGTATACATCGTAATGTTACTTCTCCAGATTACCGATCGATTCGTAAGCTCCTGACTTGGCCCTTCATGTATAAACGTCTTCGGTGCCAATATGAAATTTTCAAGCTTGGTAATGCCACGATACTCACACCGAGCCTCCTTGACGCATTTGAAGAACAACTCGTTTGATGTGAAATGCAAAACTCTTGGTGATAGTAAGCGTTCTTGCAGAACCCAAGCGCGGCTCGAAAGCGGATGTAAAGCGTCGAATTTCTTCCCCTCGTATGACAAGTCGTCAACATGAGGGAAGAAGCTTTTTCGAAAGAGAAAGCGATATAGTTTCTTATCTTGAAGACGGCCAGTAACCTCGAATTGATGCCACTGTCGAAAGAGACCCTCATCACAGGATTTTGATGCGGTTGCCGCGAGTGTGACTACAGCATCTTGGTAGACTGTGGCCATTTTCATTGCTTCTCTCGCCCAGTCAACCTGGTCGTCCTGTATTATGCAAAGGGTATCGCACCAAATGTATCGCAATCCTAGGGCTTTCGTCACAGTGATTGCTTCTCTGAGAGTGAGTGACAATTGCTCCAAATGATAGCGCTCTTTCAATGCTGGCAGATTCTTTCGGGTTGTGTTCAAGGGTTGCGAACTCCCCCAACAGTGGCTCAGAGCAACGTAACGTCCTCGCTTACCAGTCGTCTCTACAAGTGCAATGCTCGACTCGTGGCTGGGTCGTCCCAGATCGAGCAATCTTGTTGGAAGAGGGCGATCGGACGCACCTCCGTGGTGACCATGATGCATAACACAATTTGTGATCCAGTCGTTCATGATTTTGAATGCCTGGTTAGATCCAGTAGAGCCACATGTTAACCTGGCCGCTTTGAAGTGCATCCAGGGCGTCGAAACCTGTTTATTCCCTATCGCATCTGCTTTGACTTAGCGACCTTAGTCATCAAGCTTCGATAGGACTCAAACCTGTAGCTGCATAGATATCGACTATCAGCTGATCGCTGGGATCATCTGAGAACCAAATTTCAACTTGCCTTTCTCCTTCACGTCCTCCGTACTGTGCTCTGACATCATCACAGTCAAGGTCGGTAAGTATATCCCCTTCTTTTTAGATACGCCATTCTCCGAGCTTATCAATGTCTAGAGGGTAACCATAGTGGAACGATACTATGAGCTTCGTTGGGACGGAATCCTTTCTCCCAAGACAGTCAAGCCAACCGCGGCAGCCTCGTACGATAACGTTACAGCTCACGCAGAGCCGGGCCGAGAGATAAATGGTGCTCCAAGAGACTTCCGTACTCAGATAACGAGGTGTTAGGTTTTCGAAAGATTTGCAGATCGTGCATACGGTAAGAGTGCGTCCTGAATCATACAGTAATCGTGTTGTTGCTTGGGGGGGAAGAATCGGTCGAGGGGCCGAAGACTTGTTTCCCATGACGCAAAGGTGAACCCAATCTCTCGGCAAGCTGTACGATGTCGCATATAGTAAACAGGTACTAGACGGTAAAATGTGGCTATGGAGACCGCGTTTTCAGGATGATGTTGAAGCTGGTGAGTTGCTTCAGCCGCACCTGGGCATTTTCTCGGCAGTTATGCCTAATGGCTTGGCTGACTTGCGACGCTGGATTGATTCTGGAGTTCTGAATCCACCGTTGTAAGGGTGAAGTACTCTTGCTCTATAGAACCCACGCGTGAGGAAGGTCTGTGGTGCAGCGCTTGTGCGCTATGGTGTTATCGCTGCAAGCCTGCCCAGGCGAACTCCAACCATGACCGCCCACCGCGGCCACAATCTACCTCTACCGACATTGTATCTATAGATGAGTAGTGTTGCATAGGTCCGTACATTGATCTACGAAGGATCTTGTGATTGTAACTATGGTCATTGCATGCACGGACACTTGGGACAGACTAACCAAGAACGGAAAGAGACTCCGAGATAGCGCATCATGCAGACCCCGCTGTTCCTACGTCCAATCCGTCATCTACAACCAACCCAGACGCTTTTACTCTCAATCCTAGTCAAGCACGCTCTTTCCCATCATGGAACGCGAGTTCTTCAGCTCTACCTCTTTCTGACGTCATGCGCAGTGAACGTAACCGTAATGCGACACGGAAACATTCGCAACCGCGCCGAACTCACAAACTAGGCGGCTGCTCAACCTGCCGGCGCCGCCATGTCAAATGTGATCAGTCACGGCCATGCTGCTCTGTCTGCCGTAACGCTGGCCTGCAGTGTGAAGGGTTTCCCTCCCAAATTCGCTGGGCTTCCATGTCCACCGGCCCACCAGCTCTGAAGTCGACCCAGATACCGCCATCCACGCCATCTGCCCAGAGGCCAGCAGCGTCTCAAAGCACAACGACGTCTCAGGACGCATCGTCAACACAACCAGATAAACGTCTGCATCCCATTGGCTAGATATCAGATTCGCACTAACAGCCTGCCAGAGCAGTCTGGGGAAGCAGCCTCTCCCGACGGCCCGCAACAAGACGTCCAAGTGCCGAGGGATTCTATTCTACCGCCCCAAAACTCCTCACCAGCAAATGCCACGCTCCTCTTCCAGGACATCGCGCCGAGCAGCGCCGAAATTTCCAGCCATCCACCAGCATGTCCGTCTTCTATGCTTCCGTTGGAGGATGTACGCCACATGGAAGGTGACACAGGGATCGAGATGAACGAATCTGATCTCTTCAGCTACCATTCTGCCAGATCCTTCTCTGACTTGGAGTCGTTGCTCGACAACTCCGCCGTCCTCGGGTGGAACGACTTGTTTGGCTCTACGACGAGTTTTCCTATGCCTGTCATACATGATGAAACATATCACGATTCGCTTGAAGTTTTAGCGAATGTTGCTAGTCACCCACATGGATTCAATGATGGAGATCAGTTTCTACAGCATACTTACGAAGCCGAACCATCGCTGAGTGGACAAAGTATGGGTACTTTCGCAGCAGTCGCAAGCCCACAACCTCCTCCATATGCACAAACGGAATTAGATGGTGCTGAGGTCCTAGAAGATGCAAAAGGTCTTCTAAAGCACTTTCGAGATGTCGTGATTTCCCAGTTCGCACCGCTGCCGATGCACTCAAAGTCGCCGTGGGAGATTCTCAATTGGAGCAATGCCGTACATACTCTCGCCGATATAACGTTTCTCCAGAGTTCCAATCTCAAACACGCAAACTTGGCTAACCTGTTCGCTATCATCGGTTGCTCTGCACATACCATTACCAAGACACAGAACTATACTGACGTTCTTTCGCACCAGAGAGGTGCCCAGATCCTGGATTATGCCTCAAGGCATGCTAAGAGCCATATGCAGGAGTCTCTGAAATCGGAAACAGCTGGTCCGGGAAAATCCAAGTACAAAGACCAGCTAATGGCTCTCTTCAGTCTCGTTGCGCTTGCGGTATGAAACCCATCATGTTGTGGATATCGTGCTAAATGTTAGTAGACACTGAGCGGCAATTCGGCCGACGCTAGATGCTACATTATCGATGCGGAGCGCCTGTTGAGATTACGAGGACTGGCCAAGCGAGATGTCTCTCGCAAAGCTCGATTACTACACCACGTGTATACCTGGCTCCGGATTGTTGGTGAAAGCACTTTTATCTTGCATGACCTCACCAGCGCCGGTTTTCATGAAAAGGTAGAAAGGATGATACAGAAAAGCACGGCAGTTTCTAGCGTTTCGTCAGCCTCGGAGCAGAACGCAATGTTGGCAGATGAACATCCTCAACTCGACGATTTTCTTCGAGTGGAAACACACGGTCCAGATAGCGATGTTCACATGGGAACATCAAAAGACCAGGAGGCTGGTCTCCGAGATATCCACCTTTCAGATCCTCGCGAATGGCCAAAGACACTCTATATGGATATTTATGGAATTCCAGAGGACTGGCTCAGCCTGGTATCGCAAACGACCAGAGTCGCCAACATCATTGACTTTCTAGAGCGAACGACCGAGCAAACGCCGCGGTCCTTCACGGACTCTCTACAAAAGAAGACGACACGACTAGAGCACATGATATGCTCTTTTTCCGCTAAGCACAGCGTTTTTGAGACTTCTGTGCCGTCAGAGAGCAATAACGAGATTACACCCAATCATTCGATTTCCAGTCGAGCGATGTTGAGAGCAATGGGCTCGGCGTTGGTGATATTCTTCTATCGGAGGATTCGCAACGTCCATCCTTTCATCCTGCAGTCGCATGTCAACGACGTCATCACAGCACTACGGGACTTCGATATCGCACAAGGTCCCACAAACATGATATCTTTAGGTACGCCATGGCCAGCTTTCATCGCTGGATGTGAAGCGCTGCCAACGTCTTCCCGGGATTGGTTGATGGGGTGGATGGAGAAGGGTGCAAGTCGATCCGCTTGTAATGGCTTCACTGCCTCACAAAAGGTCATGCGAGAGGTATGGGAGCAACGTGACGTCGCGGGGGCCATACAAGATCCTGAGAGCGGCATCTCCAATAGAGGCAAAGTTTACTCCTGGGTTGATGTGTTGCGAGAGGGTAAATTCTGGCTGATGCTATACTAGTTGGCGTGCATAATTGAAGTCATCAATCATACCATTCCTACATCTACATCAAAGCTTTGCAAGGATACCGTTGCCTTCCAAGACACTCAGATGGTTCGTCGTTATTTCTTTAACGGAGCGGCAGCCAGCCAAGGCCATCGTTGATCTAAACTCCTCGTACAGGATGCGGATACCCAATTCTACGCCCGCTTGACCTTTGTACTGCAAGGATGTTAGTGGCAGGGCTGGTGTGTGCCTAGAAGAACTTACAGCTAACCCCCATATCGCGACTCGTCCGAAAAAGCAAAACTCTGCCCCAAGTGCGACAGCCTTAAAAATATCTGAACCTCTCCGGATACCACCATCCATGGCGATCTTTATGCGTCCTTTGGCGACTGGAACACAGGAACGCAGCGCATCTAACGTCGCTGGCACACCATCGAGCTGACGTCCCCCGTGATTCGAGATGATGACACCATCGACACCCGTAGCCACGGCTTGTTCAACGTCTTCGGGCGACGAGACTCCTTTTAGCCATATCTCCATCTTTGTATGCTTCCGCAACCACGGGATGACTTCTTCCCATTCCAGTGTATCGTCGAAAGCTGTGGGCCCGTTGCGCTTGGTCTCGTCATCACCAAAGTCGCCCTCCCCACTGGACAGGATATTTGGGAAGGACAGATCGTTCGGCAGGGCGAAGTTCGTGCGCATTTCTCCTAGCCGTCGTCCTAGCACCGGTACGTCGACAGAGAGGAAGAGGGCTTTGTAGCCAGCTTCTGTCTATATGTCAGTCTGCACTTGCAACGCTGTGGGTCACTTACTCTCAGCCCTTTCCAACAGCTGTAGGGTACGATTCCTGTCTCTCACAACGCACATTTGCATCATGTACGGATTTCCAGCCCCTTCGGCTTTGACATCCTCTAATGCAACGTTTGAGTATGAGGACAAGGCCATCGGTATCCCCGCCTTGGCCGCTGCCCTTGAGGTCGCCAGTTCTCCGTCTGGATGTGCTAAACAATGCATCGCCGTTGGGCTGATTCCGCAGGGGAAACTCGCCTTGTAACCAAAGATTTCTGTGGTCAAGTCCAAACGAGAGACGTTTCGAAGAACGCGAGGCCGAATCTTGTATCGATCGTAGGCCGAAACATTGTCCCGAAGCCTAATCACATCAGAGATTGCCAAGTGGAGAGGTTGATTACGAACGTTATCATGTCCATTGCGCCACCATTGTAGAAATCGCGATATTCTTCTAAAAGACGTTTTGTGCCTTCCTTCTCAAGATCCTGGATTGAGAAGACTAGAGGGTCAAGATTCGATGCCCGGTTTGCCATGGTTGAAACAGAAAGTATGATGTTGTAAGGTGGCTGTCTGTCGCAGAAGTTCTGTTGCGCTGTAGCCACTCTTTTACGCAATGCGGAGTTTCTCTCCACTTACGATTGTGCAGTTCTCAGGATCTCTTTCCAATGATTGGAGATGATCTTTCAATTATGCGTTGTTGCTCGACAGTCTCCGCCTGATGCTATGAGCGATGCGACACTCCCGGGCGAGATAAGCTAGGTATCTAGAAGCGCACTTGGACATCATGTGCTACACATTTACCGATATGAGAGCCGGAACGATTTGGCGTGGTGCTTACGGAACAACATACTGGATCAAGTTTTCAATCGACATCTAGACCCTCACGATGTGACTGATCAGCGTGGTCGGAAACAAGTCAGTCAGACTAACCATATCCGGCAGTTCACTCCGGAAGTCCACTCCTGTGGATGATGCCCCGCAACATCCATCCTGACATCCCTACATTCCTGAGAATTGTGAAGTGTTAATAGAGCCTCATATTCCAGTAAACACCACTGTTGTCCTTCTTCTCAGTATCCAGCATCTTGCACACCGTACGCCTTCTAATTACGTACGATCCTCACCTACGAATCTTTTATTTGGACTATCCCTTTTCGAACTCTGCACAAGCTATGGCGCCTCGAGAGCTTAGCGGCATCCTAGTAGCACTTATCACGCCTTTCACCGACGATGGAAAGACGGTGCATGAGGGCAGGCTACAAGCACATATCAACCGGATGATCGATGCTGGAGTCCATGGTCTTGTCCCTGGAGGCACAACAGGCGAGTTCACAGCCATGAAATCAGAGGAGAGAAAGAACGGCCTGGAACTTGTCATTAAATACACAGCGGGAAGGGTTCCTGTTGTAGCTGGCATTGGCGCCTTGTCGACGTGGGAGTGCGTCGATCTAGCTACCCATGCAGCTAAGGCTGGTGCTGATGCATTGATGGTCGTTCCTCCGTTTTATGATCCTGTCAACTACCAGCAGCTGCGGACACTGATGAAGGAGGTACACGAAGCATCACACCTGCCCATAATGTTTTACAACATTCCTTCTGCTAGCGGCATCACCCTTTCCCCCACGGAGCTAGCGTCTCTGTCAGAAGTAGGCGTTCAATACATGAAAGACACATCAGGAAACGCGCCGGCGCTGACGGAGCTGCTTTTCGAGCTCGATGACAAGATTACGGCATTTAACGGCTGGGATACCCTCACCTTCTACGGCCTTGCTGCAGGGGCCAAAGGTTCAGTGTGGGGCGCTACCAACATCATACCTGAGCTTTCAGTAGAGCTGTGGAACAAGCTGGCCGTTCAGGGCGATCTTCAGGGCGCGCGAGAGCTGTGGAGGAAGATCTTTCCCATCTGCAAATTCCTCGAGAGCCACAACTACCCTTCTGCGGTCAAGACGGGCATGGAGCTGCGAGGGTGGGAGACGGGTGGCCTGCGAAGGCCGTTTGATTTACTCGCAAAAGAGCAAACCGAAGAGCTGGCAGGCTATTTGAGCTCGTTAGGGTTACAGACGGTGAAGGGCAAGTGGCTGTCAAACAACGCTTGAAGTCATGCGGCTAGATCATGACTATTCGAGAAGTCGATATTGAAATCATGTATCATGTATGTCGTTGGTAGCTTCAATGAAACCTTGTGACTGCAAAAAGGCCTTCGTGATCTTGACCCTGACTATCATACAGCGATGATTCTATCCTTGAGGATAACTAATATCGAACAAGTCAAACCGTTACATCGTGCAAACAACATAGTTCCAAAGATCAATCTCAATATCCACAATATACCTGTGTCGCTAGTGGTCTACACCGCAGGACTTGCGAATATCAGACATGTTTGAACGCAGAATACTCTAACCACAGACAAAAGGACACGTTTCAATACCTAGACGACCGGTATGGTAACAGATGCTAACTACATCACTCACTTAGTGTCCGCTACTGCCCGAGTTGGAGTTGTCAGCACAAGACCAAGCACCAGACGTCCCAGAATTGTAGTCGTCAATGATACCAACAATAGCACTGTATGAACCAGCGACCATGATGAATGTCCCGATAAGAATCACAAACGAGGCCCAGACAACGCCAATTACCCATTTGGTGCCTTTATTTGGGCGTTTGAGGTTATCATACAGCCACATAGCTCCGAGTGGTTGCATCGACATGAATGTAGCAAGCAGAGCGCCGACGAGCGATATGAGGGAGCCAAAGTTTGGCACGGCCGAGCAGATGACATAGGCTGTGAGCGTAACACCAAGCGTGCACGAAAGCCATGTAATCCAGTGGGTCTTGGAGTTCGAGACAAGGTGCTTGGAACCTTTCATTATGCGGAGGAAGACATACTTGGCTGGGTAGTGGGTGACGAGGCAAGTCGAAGCGATGAGACCGGTGATAGCGAGGCCATAGCAGACGCGCTTGAGAAGAGGGCCAGCAGAGCCAAGAGCAGGAGATGCCACGTAGGAGCCACAGAAGTAGTAAACCACGACACCGACGATGATATAGATAGCTGTCATCGTACCCTGGCATATGTACATGGCTTTGTTGTAGTCCCTGGGGTCGCGCATCTCAGACATGATGGCAAAGAAGGCGGGTGTGCCAGCGTAGGCGAAGACAAAGGTGTTGAGAGCGGACATTGCCTCGATGAATGTGGGGTTTCCAATCAACTTGTAATCTGAAACGAACGTTCCATCTTGAGGCGCAGCTGCTGGACGATCCTGGAGGCCCACTGCGATAGTCAAAGTAAGCAGCGCGGTGATGATGGATATAACACCAGCCCATGCGAGCCACGAGATCTTTCCAAGAGTCCTAATCGAGCCAGTCAAGAAGCCAATTACGGCGGCCACGGCGACAAAAACAGCAGTACATGCTCCGTGCAGGGAAAGGGCGTTGAGGGCGGTAGAGATACTCGAAAAGCCAGCCGCAGCCACACAGATCCACCCTTTCGATCGTTAGTATTTCACCGTTTCTCACGTCGTCGAGGTACTCACAAAGCATGAAGGCAACGCTCATGAACTCTTTGCCAAATTTGCCGCCCATCATCTCACCCACGTCTACAATACTGTAGACCTCAGGATGATTGAGCCTGAATCTACCAACCACGTAGTTACCCCAAGTAATTGTACCCCCAATACCAATCATGCAGAGCACTCCGGGAATCACACCAAGCGCGTCGAATGCAGACGGGATGGAAAGCACACCCAGCCCGATCTGTGTCTTGATCATGACGACAACAGAACCCATCCAGCCAACCTAGGTTTGTAAGCTAATGCGCAACATGTACGGGGAGATGCGAGGACATACATCGCGATAGTTGGGCCCCTCCTCTGTAATCTCGCCAAAGACGTCGTCGGTGATGGAAACCCTGCGTCCGCCTGTGCTGAACACACTGCCTCTGCGGTGTGTCGTCTGCGGTTCAAGATCATACTCATTTTTCTCTTCGGGCGACCGAGTCGTATCAAGGTTGCTATTCGGCTCGTAAGACATGGTGAGACTAGAGTGGCACGACCGGGTGCATGGAAGATGAAGATGAAGAAGACGAGGTTCCGATGACGGTAGAGATGGGTGGACACCCTCAGACTGGCTGTGATCAATGTTTGACGAGATTTAGGTCAGGGCTGAAGTGGTGAACGCTTGGTGTTTATGAACTAAAACTGGTTCCCTTCTGTAGTTCGATCTGGGGTACATGTACTGGTACGTAATTCACAGGGCCCTTTGGAGCGCCTTCATCGCACTTTTGTCAAGAGCCACAGCGATCCCCATGAACGCTAAGGTACGCACAGGCCGAGTTCCTGTCCCAACGCTCACGTGCTGTCGCCGGGAATCGTTCCGAGCGGCGAACTGATAGAAGCCGGAATGAAACACCGAATCTGCAATGGTGGCACCTCTCCCGAGATATCTGATCCTAGTCAGAGAAATGCCTCATTGTACATCTTCCACGCCAACCCGAGACAACGTCGGTTACGAAAGGCGATAAGGTTACTGGGACCGCCGTATGTTCAGGCGCCTATGGTCGCATTTTTGAAAAGTTTACTCATCTCTCCGATGGCTGCAGTCATTCTATCAAGGAGTGACATCAGGCATTGGCGAGCGCTGGGCGGGGTATTGAGCTTAACATCGTGTCTAGAGGTCCTCGCAAACTTAGCATACTAGTTGCGCCATCTAGTCGGAAATTTGAAGCCTGACAGTGACGCAACAACGCGTGGGATCGCGGCTCTAGTGCGTTGTTTTCCTGGGGATGGGAAAGGGTCGAGGGTCTTGTGCGGAGAAGGCGTCAGGCCAATGAGGCTTAGCTCTAGAAGATCATGACGCTAGTCCGATAGAGAGGGATCACTTCCGAGCTAGCAGCATGACAGCCAACCGTGCATCGGACCTTCCGGTCTCTCACAAACTGGGAACTGAATTGTCTGGGTTCAAGCTGAGATGTCATCACCGCCGCTGGCGCTCAAAGCGACACATGGGAATCAACGTCAACGTGCCATCTCGCAGATGATCTCTTAATATACAGCAATTCACGTCTGCCCCTTGTGTCTTCACTACCATCCATTCGAAGCGCTGGAGTACAGAGTGCGTCTAGCCACAACCCATGAGCCTGGACCGGAGTGGATGCTGCGGCACTTCACGTCGTTGGAATCCTATGGCGGTCTAATAGTATAGAGTACAGGATGATACGATAATCGCATTGCTCCAGACTCATCAGCAGACTCGGTGCCGGTTTCGGTTTCTGCGCTTTCGGAGCATCATCTGGTTGAAGTAGAACCCTTCGACGCGTGCATTGGCTGCACGCGAAGTGCTTTAGACTTTGCGACATTATAAGTTGACGGCGCCAGCGGGTCGCATCACGTGGAGTATCAGGAACATGTTGAGACCATCACTACCCTGATGCCTACAACGGAGCCGCGATTCAACAGATTGACATCTACAGCCGAAGCAAATGTTTACATCATCGCACATACCCTCAACCTACCAAGTCAGAACACGGCGACGGTCTTTCGGTTCCAAATCTTACCAGCCGTCGATGTATGCGAACATGGCAACGGCACTGGCCAAGGTGTGGTGTGGGATTTAGGGAGATATGGGAACATGTTCACGCCACTGCGGCCGATCGCAGGCGATGTTCTCCCTGAGCTGTCGCAATAACACCTTGTCAAGCGGGTTGCCATACCTCTCATGCTTCTCCACTTGTCACCGCCTCGTTATGTACCTTCTCGCAGTACTTCTTTAGATCCTCACACCAGAGGCCGACCTTGCCTTTCAGCGTGTCCTCGTACAAGACCTTGACAAGCCTCGAAAGCATGCCACCCATGATTTCCCAGGTCCTAACTTCGCACTCGTTCTCACCGGTGACGATGACCTCATGAAATCTTTCCAGCTTCATGCCGAACGCGTACATGCCTCCATTGCCCGTCCAGCTCACCCTGTATACCTTGCTGAGATCAGCCGTGAATGCTGGATCCTCGAGTTGTTCGGGCGTAAGGTACGATGTCGGCGACGAGGGGGTGCAGATGTCTACGACCTTCAGCGGTGTCAAAGTGACAGCGTCCGGTTTGTCTGCGTTCATAACGACGGTGAAACGCATTGTGCAGCCGATGGTCATACGATCTTGGGCCTGGAGATATGTGTATAAAGTCAGCGTCTGTTTCACGTCGCAGTCGTGCGGCGTCATCGCTTGCCTTTCCATCTTGCGGGCCCTCAGGGGACGAGGGTTGTGTGAGGATTTCCGCGCGAGGGACCCAAGTGTTCCATGCCGGATAGTTGGCGGCGTGGAGGACCGTGTCGAAAACGAGCGGTGCTGGGGCGCGTACGACGGTCGAATAGGAAATCTGGAAAACGGCATTCTCTCGCGGAACGATCTTGGAAGTGACACCGTTAGACGGCGGCCAGGCTGCGGTTCCAGACATGGCGCAGTGAGTCGTTTGCGTGGATGCGCATGGTGAGCGGCACTTGGAGTGTTGTCACTCACGCCCGGCTGACGACCCGGAAGCTTGCTGACCCGCGTTGGCACGAGAAGATGTCTTATCGATAAGAGCTGTGGTGTACTTCACGTGACACCTCGTGGAACAGCACCCGTTCGGCAATCTATCCGAACAACTCGTCCATGTGTCCCCACACTTCTACGCCATCTTGAGCCCCACGGCTATTGATTTCTCCGCATGCCCACCGTCTTCAGGCGCATCGGTCTGGTCTACATATTGTGCACGTCGCACTTGTCCTGTCCGCAGCCCACAACAGTCTCATACCATCAACACAGCTTCTGTCTGAGGCATATTTGCTATAAAGCATCCCGCGGTTTCCGTACGCGCCAAATAGCATTGCGACGCGTGATGGTCTCGCCATGAGTTGTCGGCCGGTGGTGAATTGGAATCACACATTAGCCGGTTGCTGCACGAAAAGCAAAGACTCTGGAGCATTGAGCTTCGTATTGGGAAAGTGAAGCGTCCGATTTCTTGTCAACTTGGTCAAAACGTCATTGCACAGCATTGCCCTGTCACGCATCTTCGTCGGCAATTGAAGCGGCGACTTCGGGACTCACGCCGACCAACAATTTTTCCAGAAAGACCACGACCCCTTCCTTTCCATATCAATGAATAACTCGAGGCTTTCGGCCGCCGCAGTCTGGTCACACGGAACTCTTCGCATGCAATTTGGCGCGGAGTCTCGCATTGCAAAGCTTCAAGCAGCTTCTATAATGTTGTGCTCTACTCGGCGCAAGGCTTGATGTCGGTAAGCTTCAGGCAAGTGCAGCGGCGTCTGTGCAGCTGGGCGGATTACCGCGTCTGGTAAGCCTTGGATCGCTCGACCACGGCCGCACAAGATTTTCCTTCAGCTAGCAAGTCTGAAGACCTGAAATTCTGAAAGATCCGCACTACCATGGTTGCATCTGGAGACGTTCCCGCCATCTAGCGCTGCTGAGGGGCCGCCGTTCCAGCTATTGGGGCCCCATGGGTACAGAGTCTCCACACCGTTGAACGACCACGCGCGCAGGCCACGATGTAACCTGGTTGAACTCACGGCAGTATGCTATAAAGAGGTCTGGTCGCTCATGCGACGTCCGATGCCTGCGTTTTGAGCTCTAGAATCCTCTCGTGGCTCTACACACCCAATCCTGGGTACGACATCGCGCTACGCCATTTTCGACCATGGACAAAATATCAAAGTACAATGTCGTCCATCGATATGAGAAGCGCAGCCTGCTCATCGCGTGCGTCTTTGCCGAAGGAAGTTTGTAGACTTGGCTCACCATGATGACAGGATCAATTGCATCGCCGGACTATCAATTCTGTTCTTCGGTTACGACCAAGGGATGATGGGAGGTGTCAATACCGCCTACGACTATTACACACTCATGGGCTTCGGCCACAAAGGTGCGGATGGTGGTCCCGTTGTTGACGATACGTTGCTCCAGGGCGGCATCGTTTCAGTGTATTACCTCGGGACTTTGGTGGGCTGCTTGGTCGGAGGCTCCATTGGCGACCGCTTCGGACGCATCAAGACCATCTTCGTCGGAGCTGCTGTCGCGACTGTCGGCGCATGCTTACAATGCTCAGCGATGAATCACGAGTGGATGATTTGTGCGCGGCTTGTCAACGGCTGGGGTACTGGCATTCTCAACTCTATCATTCCCGTTTGGGCCACGGAGACTGCGGAACATACCTCGCGCGGTCAATTCATCGCTATCGAATTCACACTCAATATCCTCGGTGTGGTCATCGCATACTGGCTTGAGTATGCATGTTCCTTTTACGGCGACGGTACTTCGTCTTTCATCTGGCGCTTCCCCATCGCATTCCAAATCCCGATGCTCATGATACTCATGGCTGCCGTCATGTTCTTCCCGGAGTCGCCGCGTTGGCTTGTCAAGGTCGGTCGCGAGGCCGAAGGACGGTACGTGCTGAGTCGGCTTCGAGGTGACGCGGGGGAAGACAGGGAGAGAGCGGAGACTGAGTTTCAAGAGATTGTGGCTTCTTGCGAGTTGGAGCGGTCCAACTTCCGTAAGCAGAGCTACTTTCACATGCTGTTTGGAATCGGCTCTGGCAAGCTGCATACTGGTCGTCGCGTTCAGCTTGTGGTTTGGCTCCAGATCATGCAAGAATGGGTCGGTATCGCCGGTGTTACAATCTATGCGCCTACCATTTTCGGCATTGCAGGTATGAGTCCAGCAAAGCGACAGTGGATCTCAGGCCTCAACAATATCTTCTACATGTTCGCGACACTTATCTGTGTCTTCACTCTGGACCGTATTGGCCGCCGATGGACTTGCTACTGGGGTTCGGCAGGGCAAGGAATCGCAATGGCGCTCGCCGGAGGGTTCTCCTACCTAGGTCAAGAAGCCACGAAGCGTGGCGACACCAGTGCGGCATCATCATACGGTAACGCGGCGGTATCTATGGTCTTCATCTTCACAGCCATTTTCGGAGCAACATGGTTGACAGTCCCATGGCTCTACCCCGCAGAGATTTTCCCGCTCGAGGTACGCGCAAAGGGCAACGCTTGGGGCGTCGTCGGCTGGTCTATCGGAAACGGCTGGCTCACGCTCCTCTGCCCAATCATGTTCGATTCTCTCGGTGAGAAGACGCTGTACATCTTCGCCGCATGCAACGCGATTACGATCCCCATGGTTTGGGCACTGTACCCTGAGACGAACCAGCGCACGCTTGAGGAGATTGACCTGCTTTTCGCATCGGATAGTATCTGGAACTGGGAGGCAGAGAAGAACTTTGCGGCGCTGCAGGAGACGCTTCCTTTCGAGGCTACATCGCACGCAGCGAAGAATGATATCGAGCGCGTTTCGCTGTAGAATTTGTGGTACTCATGTCACTCAATGCTCTATCTGTGTACGGCTTACTCGAAAGCGAATTCTAATTGATGTAGTTAATCTTAAGCTTGAGATCTTTCCTCAACCCCTCACTACATAACCCTCCTCTATGCACTCAACATGTTTCCTGTCTCATGTTCAATAAGGACTAAAATGCTCATACAGATTCGATATCCTCCCGTTCATTCTTAGCCTTAACCCCCCTAGTTGACGCCGTAGTTGATCCAGAAACCGACCAACGAGCCGACTTGGTATGCTACCTGCAGGAGGGGAAAGAAATAAGTACAGCACATCCTGGAAGTAGAAATTGATACATGCGTCAAGATCCCCAGTGAACAGTCCACGAACAGTGGTAGAAGCGACCTCCGCAATGTAAGATGGGATGATACCCGTCAAAGCACCCACACCAAAGCCAGGCAAGGCTCGACTTGCATACAGCATCGGCAAGCTCGAGGTCGTAGCCGTTATAAGAACAGCACCAATCTAAAAGACAGCGCAGCTGACTGGCATCGCCCTGATCCGGCCAAACGTCTCGATGGACGGCCAAGCAAAGAGTGATACAAAGAAACCTGCCGCGAGGTGGGACGAGGCGATATTTGACGTGTTGGATGTACTGTCTTTTGCGGCGGCCTTGCTATGCATACTACAGCGACGACTGGACTTGAACGAGCAGGAGAGTCATGCAGCTTCAACGATCACAGTCACCCAATCGTCATAGGCTCATGGTGCTAGACTCTGCGATTGTGCGAATATGCTATGGAGATGGAGTCAGCAGGGGACCGTGCGCGGACAAGAGAAAGCTAACATCGTTCTGCCGCTTTAGAGTTTGTTCCTCAAATACATACGCTGCATGTCTTTATTCCACTACACTCCTGTTGATACCGCTGTTCCTGTTGTTGTGCAATGCCAACAGCAATGTTCAGACAGTATGTCGCGTCCCTTCCTATTAGGGCAAGGTGGCGTTGCTTGCCATGCGGGGATCGATAGTTGACTTGTCTAAACGGCCGAGCTATCCGGTAAGACTAAGCACAGCATCGCTTGCGTCAGAGACCCCGATTACCCGGATAGGACTAGAAAACCACCCACTTCCTTACAGTCCTCCCTTCCCTTATTCTGAAGTCAGCAATTCTTCTGCATACCTATACACGAGGTTTCGGACAAATCTCATCATGAACATTGGTTTCATCGTTTTTGGCTGTATTCTGGCCTTTACACTTTGCCCCACCCTTATATTGTTCCTCTTTTTCAGTTGCTTAGACGGGTACAAGGCGTACAAACGTACCAAAGCCTGGGATAAAAGCCGTCACCAGCACTCCATCAACACACAGCCATCTGAAACCATCCGCTGCCTCCCTGAAAAGGATGGCGATCTGGAATTCTACGACACTGAGGACGAGGAAGAACACCATCAGCGCAAGGCTGAGGAGAAAGCAGACCAGCACCTCACTTTCTATGGGAAATTTTGGAAAGAGTTCCGCTACCAGCAATCAGGCAAGATAGGATTGGACGAAATGAAGAAGAAGGATCGCGAAGAGAGGAGGAAATTGGCTAAAGCGGTAGTGAGGGAATTAGACCTCAGGGAGCGCAACAAGGTGAAGAACACCAACAAAGTGCAGTCCTTGGGGACTTTGTAGGCGAAGTCACGATGTATGTCCAATAAGCCTGCAGCAACACATCCTGTATGTTTTTCTGTGTCTTCCCTATTCGCGAGCTAGTGTTGTGACGTTGAGTCGTGGAATGACAGTCTAAAGTGCATCTCAGCATGGTGGCACGCACGTCATCATGAAATAGTCAACACGTATCTGCGAAGACATGAGTGAGCTAGAGAGGAAGCTGGAGTTAGAGGAATAGAACTGCCGATTGAGAAGTCGATCTAAAGTCGAGAATGCGCATCCTGGTAGTTCCTCCGCACGAACAACAAGATCATCAGAATGCATTCAGTCAGCCGTACATTATCAATAGCTTGTTGCAGACAGTAACTTAAGTAGGTTGTTTAGATCCTATCGTGAAAGTCGTGAGAGATATCAACGTTTGCTCATTGTGGCATGTACAGTTGTTGACGCCGAGATAGCTCAGCTGAGGATTACCGTGCCGGTGCGCGTAGTGCACAGGTTCGCGTAACGCCCCACCCCCACAACAACACATCTTCATCGCGTCACAATTCCGCTGAGTGGCGTCGGATTCGAAAAGCGATTGGAGAAATAGAATCACACGAGCCAGGAGATGATTTCATATATAGCAAAGCCATTGCCAAGTACGATCTCTAGCGCAGTACACTCGTTCGAAGGAACTAAGGCCTGACAAGAGCCCGCAACGTTGCGCATCAAATCCTCCACCCAGAATACGAAGCCGAGCTTGTACGACATATCAAAACGCTTACTTAACGAAGTTCACCGGACGGTTGGCTAGCAGAGAGGTCTCCAAAAGCTGCGTTACCCGGTTCCTCAGGCGTTTGAGCTGCGGTACTCATGAAGCTATCGTGTTGTGGGTGGGGCTTTACGCGCACCGATACTGTACAATCAACCGCCGGCGAACCCCGCGCGGAGAACTGGTGAGTGCCAACTGCGCCACCCCAGACTACGGCAAGCGCCCGTTTACAGCCTGCTCGACGTGAGACGAAGCTGCGCCTTCAGGCTTCGCGAAAGTCACCGCTTATGCTCTGCGTCCCTTGACTCTCTTCGCACCCCAATACATATCACAACTGATCAATCATGACCGATGTTTATAGTCTGGGAAGAGCATGCTTATGCCCGATGCAGCTTCTGAAGCGTTCGCCGTGCGACAGCTTCGATCTGCCGTGTTTGTGCGTCTAATGCTCATGGTCAGGTAACACATGTGCCGACATAGCCACAAATATCTCTGGAATGATGACTTGATAGTAGTGGATAAAGTGCGTCTACCAGTAAGAGGTCAACGCTAACGATCAAGAATCAGGCAAGCAGTTACGTCGCCGACCACTTGAACCCCGACAATGTAAAGGACAGGGAAGATCGTGAAACAACCGCTGCAAGCAGTACGTGCTGCCGCCAATGAATTCGAAAGCCGTAGTCAGTGGCGGAAGAAGTGCAATTGCTGTGCTACAAGCGTATCATGGGTATGGGGCTGAAGCTTAGCTGTGTACGCCCCTAAGGTTTCCCCAGCGGTTGAACTGCACGACGAATCTACGCTACTGTACAAAGCACGGGAAAAGCATGAAAGGTCAATAAGAAAAGCCTCGGTCTAGATGCCTACCGTCGCTCTCTACCAAGATAGGTTCACATCTGTGCCGTACCTCCTGTCCTTGGTGCTGCTGGGAGCAGGCCCTCGGTGGCTGTTGTGAGGTACTTAACTTCGATTACTTCCACTTCTGGACCAGGTAGGCGATAGATTGCATCTGAAGTATCAGCGTACTATGTCATCCTAGTCTAGTCATTAGGGGATGCCTTAAAGTGAACGATGACATTGACACCGGCACCCGGGTTGTACAAAGTAATCTTACATAGTTGCTAACTTTTCGTTCCGTAATGTTTCTGTTGCATATGAGACCTCTAGGTATAGTCGCCGTTCAGAAGTCTACAAGCATTTCCACTGGTCCAGAGCCATGCAGGGTCTGGGGGCCTTACATAATTCATCTACCGGTGGCTAGCGTCGGGCCTTGCATCGATATTATAGATCCGTCAGGAAGGGGCCGCTCCGCCCGCCCCTTGGAAGCGTGCCTTATTGGTTCGTTGGACAGGGGTAGTACCACAACCCACAGAGGCTCAGATGTATCGCGTAAAGAGTTACTACAGCCTAGGCCTCCCACTATCGCAGACAACCTTGAGATGCCGGCCTAGCTTGTCTATCCTGAGTTCCATTCAACCAACCCATCTCTAGGGGCTTTCCGGATCTCACTACCGGTCCTATCGCGCAGACAGCATCGCACTCCTTGTAGCCTTCTTTTTCATATGGTACCGCCAAGTAGCGTCAACAGGCAAGTAATTTCCCAACTCGAGACGGTTAGGCGCTTCTATCAAGGCCTCCCGCCGCAGCTCCTCACTCTCGCAATGCAAGCTCAGTACAGACGCTCTCTCATGTATAAAAGGCCTTTGATCCATCGTCAATCCATCGAAGCACTTCATTCAAGCTTTAACGACAACACTTCACTCATACTCGAATCTTTCGCTCAATATGCAGCTTACCAAGTACCTCTCCGTTCTGGCCTTTGTGCCATTCTTGGCCGTTGCCAACCCACTTGCTGTCGAAGATCTCTCTTCTGTCAACCGCTTTCCTCTCGAAGCCCGTGGCGGCATCGACTTCTGCGGCAGCGACTTGCGCGCAGCCGGCGACTCTTGCACGTTTGGCGGCGGCGAATCGGACCCGCATGCTTGTGGTATCAAGGACAGAGCTGTAGTGGTAAGTCTTTGCATCTTATGGATTGTAGATCTGAAGTCTGACAACAGAAAGCTGTACTGCGTGAACGGCAAGTGGGCTATCAACCACCGCTGCGCTCAGGGCCAACAGTGCATGTGCGACAAGGGCACTCCCAAGCGAGGCAACCTCGTCTGCCGATAGAGAATCGACTACTTCTTAGTTGTAAGCGTGGCAGGGCAGACATTAGAGCCGTGGAACTATATATTGGAGAGGCTCTTCTTTATGCAACTTTAGCTACCCCTCTACGTATCTCTCCGTAACCACAGTATATTCTACTAGATTCTACTCGCAGTGCATATTGGAAAACGTGATCTAAGAAATATCAAAGTGTGACGTAGATCTAACGTGGGTATGTAGTTGATACACTAGTTGGGGTGATGAAAGTATTTGTTGTGAATATATAGTCTACAGGAATCTCATCCCCAAGCTAGTACCAATGGCTCTCAACTCATATATGGCTGATGAGTGACACCTTCCTTAAGTGCTTTCAGCTGCAACGCAAGCAGCTTGGATACGTAACGGGTTATGGGAAGGAAGCTAACTATAATCCAAAGATTTGGCACACCAGACTCCCTGAAAGCTGTCTTGGCTTCTCCCTCCTCATCTACACCCCAGATCGGTTCACCTCTGCTCGTGATCTCATTCCCAAGTGGAGCGCGGATAGATTCAATCGTATTTGTGAAACTAGTCGCAAATACAACTATATGGAATTCTCTCTCTCGACCTCTACTCAAAACCGCTTTATCCTCCGTGAAGTGGTCGATATAACCCTGCTCAACCTTGATCTCCTTGCAAGCGCCTGCGTCGAAGTAGAGACCGCCGTTGCGAGTTTGACCCAATGTCACATTGCCTGTGTTACGCTGACCCCTCCACGTTCGCAAGCATTTAGCATTCAAGCCATCCAAAAGCGGCTTATCGAGATGTTCTAGTACTACACGTCATGTGTGAGAAGCCCAACTCTGTAGACGTTATCACCGCCGCTACTGTGATAGAAAAGGCCCAGTCTCGACCAGATCTCAAATTCCTTGTTCCGTTTACTCGACGATGTATGTGTACTGCCCCGATGAGCGGATGCGTTTCCCATCAGGCAAAGAATGAAGCTGACTCTGATTCAGATGATAAGTCGTATTGTGAGGCTAAGGACCTTATTGAGAGCGGCGAACTTGGAGAGATTCACGCGGTTGAGACCTGGATGAGCGACGTCCAAGATCCTGCTGGTAAGCGAACGCATATGCATCAGATGCTTTATGTCGTAAGCTAAGATTCATAGGTCACTTCGTTGCATTCGCTGCTCATTCTTGCGGCATTTTCCTTGACATGGGTATTTATCACGTAAGTTCTCTCTGTATCTGGAGAGATCAACACGGAACCTCTTTCATACTAGACGGTATCTTTTGGACGTAACGTCCAACCTCACAAACCCGAAAAACCAAGTCAAGCGAGTTACAGCTATCGGTCAACGAGCTGTATACACCGATCTCGCCGCGTTCGGAGATGCTGATAATGCCTGGGGCTTCGTTGAGTTTACCAATGGTAAGGTTTGGACAACACATCTTGCTAGGACAGCGACAAACGGGCTTGAGGACTCAACACGCGTGTGCGGTACAAAAGGGCACAGTATCGTCAGTTCCGCTAGTATCGTCGAGATTCGGGATAAGCATGGCGTTCGCAAGCAGACCGTGCCTGATGCCTTCAAGCTTTTCCCCCAGACGTATGAAACAAATATTACTGGGTTTACCAATGCGATTCTCTTTGACAACCCTTTGACAAGCCTTGCAGAAGATGCTGTTGAGGCGGGAAAGATATGTACTGCTCTTCAGCATTCTTACCGCGCTGGCCAGTCAGTATACTTCAACGATGAAGGATTCCCAATTCTCAATGACGGTACACCGACTCCTTAGTTCTCCAAGATATGAACTTCATGCTGCTTCAACGTTCTGTTTGCTACGATAGTGACTTTATACTCTCTATTGCGTGAACTAAGCGGAACACATTTGTGCTGAACCTCTCCTTGATCATCACTCAGCGAGTTGCCCTCACCATCGTTCACCACAAACTGCTCATAGAGTGTTAGAGGAAAGAAGGGAAAATGTAAGTCTTATTACAAGCTATATATGATGATGACAATGTATGGAGAGATTTCTCGATGAGGGCAAGTTAAATAGCCCTCAAACTTTGATTCAGATGGATTCATAACGTACATTAGTCTCATTCCTGACCTGAATGCCATACGTTCCTGGAGCGTTGGCATTACCGTCAGGTATCTCGTCCACGCGACTAACAACAGTTTTGTTGTATCCCCCGCGCTCCGCATAAGATTCATAGTACATATCACCACGGCCAGATGACCCATCGTCGTGTTGAGCGAGTTGCCGCTCCGAACTATTATCGTCCAGTTCTTTCGTTCGATGACTGTTCCGAAGTTTGATGCCCTTGCCGCTGAAATCGCTGAGAGGGTTCGGGCCAGTTGAGTGGGACTTGGAGGCAAGTATGGTGCTGGACAGGAATTTGCGGAAGACGGGTCTTGTTATGGGGAGACATGCTGATGATGGAGAAGTCAGCATCGGTACTCAAAACGCTGGTCATTTCGGATCGCGAAAACACTCACAAGAGATGATAGCCAAGTATGATTCCGTGCCTGCCCAAATTATGACGCCTTTGACATCCCTTGACATCTCTGTCGTCTTAGCGTTCAGATTGATACACACAATGAGTACAACGATTGACGCAGCACAGACACTACAAGAAAGAGTCAGTCATTGATGTTCAAGGATAGTGCAGCAAAGGAGAAAGCGAGATTTGGAAAGGGACGTACAAGATACCGAACATGAACATGGCCACAACAGCAAACTTTTGACCTGGGCGAAGTCTGAGACTGGCCACCTGGAATACGGGCAGTAGCAAGACTGAGATTTCGAGGAGAAGATGAACCAGGGTCGTGCCGAACATAAACTTGCCGGGATCAATAGTGCACACAGCGTCTTTGATGTTGAAGTTCCAGTATGCTTGGACTGGTACGCAGTGGAAAATAGTCATGAAGGTCCGAATGGTGAGCCAGATTATGGTGCATGCCCCGAGAATATAGATTCCTGGTCGAATGTTGGAGACACTGAACAGGCGCCAATAGAAGCATAGGATAGCTAGCTTGGACATTCCAAGTGACCATGCATATAGGAACTCAGCCATGAAAAGCCCAAACCGGGCATATTCGTCAACTTCCTCTGCGGGATGAGGAATGTCTGCTTTGACGTGGCCGAGACCCATTACAAGCGTCCCTGTCGAGTAAGAGTCAGTGCGTTGGTACTTTGCGGCCGGGAAGAAAGTTTTGGAGATGTTTGGTCGATCCCGACTTACAGTATAACGCAAAGCCACAGTAAAGAGCAGCCGCCACCCAGGAAACCATAGCAAAGTAATCATCCAACCACAGTGCCACATTTGTCATCCTTCGAGAAATTATGCGACAGACTAGGAGGATCGTAGCGACACCAAACGTGATGGTCATAGCGCACATCACGCCAGCGTCCGGCTTGAAACCCATTGCGGTGTTCGTAGTTCGCTATCGAGTTCGCATTGGAGGTGGTCTAGGAGTAGGAAAAATCGATGTAAGACTTTTGAGACGACAGAACCGGCCGAAAGAATCCGAAAAAGGCGTGAATGCTATGGCAGAATGCTCGCTGGTAAAAGAAGACAAGTCACACTGACAGGGGATGATCCTCCAGGAGACGATTGAAGAGCGACCTCTTGTATTGTAGTGGAGAAGCGGAAAGAGAGGGTGGGGACTTGTTAATCATTCCAAGATGACTTGAGCTAGCACTGCACGGAATCGAGGGTTTTGTGCCGCCCGGGATGGTAGCCGCAGAAGTGCCGTGAGACATTCTTAGGTTACAGGCTCTGAATCAACTAGCTGGGATACAATCGGGAACATGAGTGGTCATACGCGAACAAGCGAGTGCGTACAACGATTAAACTTTGATATGCCGGCAGGGATGCAGCATCGATCCCATGTGAAAGTTCCGACCGCCGCATCAACAACATGATCCAGCACTCTGGCACTTTGTAATTTAGGCGACACGCGGGGCTGATCATACAACTTTTGGTGTTCTGGTGTGACACTACTGTCGTATCTCGCTTCTTGTTCTTGGGCATGCCTACAGGCGGTCAGGCCTCGCGACGTTGACGCCATGGGACGCCTTAATAGCCTTACTGGTATGCTACACTTTCGATCTCCCAATGCTTTTACAACAGTCGCTCTTCTCCTTCTTCAGCTTGCTAGACTTGGCGTTTGGGAAGGTGACTCGATTGTACGCCTTTCTTGATCTCACGGAACGTCATGATTGTTTGAAGATGTGGCGGACGAGTGGGCAAGTGGACTTGTCAAGAGTCAAGCGGCCCGATGGGCGGCATGATTTCGGCTTGGATTCTGCACGAGCCGAATGTCGGAACTTGCAAACCTAGATAGTCGACTAAACCTGTTGATCGGTCTGATTGTCGACAAGCTTGCCGTGGCTACTTGATCGTATTGATGAATCGCTCATAGAAAGACTGTCGCATCGCGCGCGACGTGCGTATCCGAGCGTTGCCAGGTATCATCAGTAGCTCCTTGTTCAAAAGGGGCTCCCATCCTTTGACGATATACGATGTTGTACTCCGAATGGACGCATCTTAAACTGTTCTCTTATCCTTGGTTGTCTGGCGTAGTAAAGCATCTCCGCTCAGCGCGTCCCTGAATCAGTGATGCAGGACGGTCGACTGATGCCATTTTGTCTCCGCTCCCGCTAGCGCAGAATGATTAGCTCGATGACTGCGGGATCGGTAGGTAAGGCGATTTGATCCCTGCATGTTGTGGCGCGAACGATGTTGCGACTGCAATTGCGGGGAAGCCGCAATCGCTACGCTCGAACACCCCACGTTCTGGAGCGATGCTGCTGCTGCGACTGCGACAGCACTAGGGTTAAACCTCGTGATAGCCGAGACGGGGTATGATTGTGCTGTACCGTATCCGTGCATCTCGGTCCATGGAAGAAGAAGATTCTTGTTCAACGCTACCTAGGTAGCCTCGGGGTCGTGGGATTCAAGTTCCACAAGCCATAATCTGGAATCACTGTTCGTAGAATAAGAACGCTGCTATAGCTGTTATTATTCGGTTCGTCTCGTGATAAGTGGACCAATGTAACAGTCGACAAGCGGAAGCAAGTACCCATCGATAGAGCACGGAGAGTACTAGCTTCGAGCTACGGTTCGCCCACTTGCCGCTGTTCCGCAATCCTAGTTCCTACGAACGGCGCGCATTGCGTGCGCATCGCATCACTCTCGTGACGTCCAGACCTTAGCTGATTATCGGAATCTTGCATGCCAGTAGAGACGGTGGAAGGAATGGGGCTCCTGTCGGGCTCTGTTCGGTGCTTGCAATCTCGTAGATGCCCATTGTTATTGGTGTTCCTCGCTTTTTCGCCAACCCCTGCCCTGTTGAGATGGACGCTAGCGCACACGCGAAGACCCCAGTAGTGCTGTTACAACTCAACTTTTGCTTGAAGATCTACACCTCCATCGCATCAAGAGAGACTGTTAACGGATCCGCCGGGACATATGGGTAAGACTGCACATGTACATATACTGACGACCATCAAGTGATGCTAGATATAGTGAAGGAGTTGTTGTCACTACATTGTTCTTTTGACGGGCATATGAGCGTGCGTATACTCAAGTATCTGCATGTATCTTTTCGGAGTTTGGGACGCATAGACGCGACATCCGCCTCGGTGCAGACTCAGCGCCGAAGGAGAGCCGGTGCAGGTTCAGCTGAGGCTGCTAGGCCAGTCCTCGGGCCGAAAGTGCCTGAAAACCTCAACAATGCTCCATCCAAGAACCCTCGTGATGGTAGATCGCACAGGGTGCACGTAGAATTGGGGAAGGTGGCCGTGGCGGGATCATCGATCCGAGCGGAAATCTGATGCAGGTTTTGTCAGTCTGATTCTTCAATCACAGGCAAGTCCCCAAGTGGTCAGAGCCATATCGGTCCGTTTCTTGTCCACGAATGCAGGGAGAGTCTGCCCCTGTTTTGTCAAACGCTCCCATGTAAGGTACTCGCGGACCCGCAATGGCAACAATACTACCCCAGAAATTACAGCGACGACCCATTGAGGACGGCCCACTCCTATCCTCCGTGACACATGTCTTGCACGTACGCTAAGGTACGCATCAAAGAGGTATATTACCACCACCAGGAAAACGTCCAATGGCAACAGTCTTGGAGAGCAGGGAAGGCTTGCTACTGAAACAGTCACTTCAATGTCGAAAATCATCGCTCCAAGTCATTGCTGATAAGTACACAATGTCAAAGGCTCTTAGCAGAAAAGTTATGCAACGAATAGGACACTGCAATATTTACAGGCGTGTGCAATGGAATATTTACAAGAAGAAAAGACAGTAAGGCGCCCAACCACCTCCACTGCAGAGTCAAATCAAACGTCGGTTCGCGTAGTCGCACCAATAGCAGCACCATTCTTCGGTAGCAAAAAGTCACTCGCAGGCACCCTACCGTCAGCACCACGCGCCTTCTTCAGCGTAGATGGGTCAACACTTGTGAAACTCGAGTTAGACCAGCTACCCGACTGCCACGAGTTACCTGTAGCCTTGATTCCCGACGCGGTCAAGCTAACCTGCGCACTACCCACATTTGCCACAGCGATGTTGTTGTTCATGGTCGAGCTGGAGCTCCTCAGATTGAAGCCCACGTCACCGTTGTTCCACGCGGTGTTGCGCTCGAAAGTCAAGCTACCCGGGTTTCCGTTATCGATGAAGCCCTTCTTCGCATTTGCAAAAGCCATGGAGTTGCGCACGATGTGGTTGGCGGGCGGATTATCCGTGATACCGAGCTTGAAACCGTTGCCGTCGCCCTCGAAAGAACTGAAGCCCCAGCGGTTGAAGCCGTTACCCCACGCATATACCTCTTCCAGTGTCACGGGTGATCCGAACATGAAGAGGTCGAGCCCGTCATCAACGTTGTCCCATAGACGCGCATTGCGCAGGACATTGCCCTCACCTGAGCCTTCCTTGCATGCGAATCCGTCGGCTGACTCGCCGTTCTTGCGCGGGTCACGGTTGCGATAGGAGTCGAGGTACAGGACAGTGTTGTTCGACGATGCGCCCTGAAGCTGGAAGCCAGTCTCGTAGTTGTCGTGAGTGATCAAAAGCTCGTAGTGGTTGTGCGAGGCGTCCCGGGCGTACACACCGTAGGGGCCGTTGATGATTCTGGACATGGGTCAGTATGCGTGATGGTGATAATCAAGGTAGCCGGCTGTACTTACTCCAGGTTGTAAAACTTCCAGTAATTCGCCTTTTCGATATGGAAAGCACCGCGCTCCTTGTTCGGTAGAGACGCGTCCAAGGCGTATGGCGTGCCAGGCATACCCTCACCATCGATGATGACCTTCTCCTTCTCGAAAGAACGGAGAGTGATAGGCTGAGTCCTAGTGCCGCTCTTGGTGATCTGGACATTGGTGGTCGGTTTGTATGTACCTGCGCGAAGGAGAATCACATCGCCAGCCACGGCAGCGTTGACAGCAGATTGAATCGAGCCGAAGGGGGCGGTAGAAGTTCCCGTTCCCGTGCCTGTTGGCGACACGTAGATGTCTTTCGCGTTGGCAGTAGACAATGCTGCAACTGCAGCAGCAAATGTAAGAGAACGCATAGTAAATATAACCTTGATGGTGGAGATGGGTGTTGATGCGATCTTGTAGGTCAAAGATAAACTGTCTCTCCACGATTACAGGTACCAGGTACCATATATACTCCCACCACGACCGCCTCTTTCGTTATGACATCTCGCATCAAGTATTCCGGCACCAGTCATGAACAATGTCCTTCTCGTGTCAGTTGCCAAGATATAATAGATGAGAAAGCGCTGTTGTCGAAGCTCCACCAATGCCTGAAATTTCCGACTCTTCGCCCCATACACAAGCGCCAGGCTAGAAGAGGCGACGCCTACTCCCTGAACGAGCAAGACCGCATGTACCCCACACCTCGCCTGCGGTAATTATTCATGTCGCACGTGTGGTGTGCATGATAGTGCGCATGATTGATGGACTGCACGGATGCGGTTTCAAAACGTCGCCAAGCGAGCGGAGGTTTTTACTATGGACGACTCGTTTCCCATGACTTAGAAGGCCGCACCGGAACAATACCGACCGAGGGTCTAGACTTTTGTCTTACATCCCATGGTATGTACGATCAGCATCTGTGCCGATATCGCGCAATATCAAGTGGTGAACAGGTGCTTGTATGCGCAGTGGTCGGGTCAAGTTGAGGTGTGGTGTCCAGTGATGGGGAGGCTGACAGGCGGCAACCGCGGCGGGCCGAGATGCGCCAAGTTCGCCTGTTGGACAGCGTCCATCCATGACGTCTTCCTAGGTATGCACGAACACAATATTAGCCAAGGACGACCTCGAATGCCTGGCATTCGCAGAGATAATACCTAGTCAGGGTTTGATCTGGCGTATCCAGGATCAGACGATGAGTTCCTCTGCTGGTCCGCCATCGTCTTCGGACGTTCCACCTACTTTCTTCCATGCCGTGTTTTGATTGAAGCTCAAAGGCCACCAATCAAGAGCTATGCGCTTCATGTTCATCTTCTTTTCTTCTGTCTCCCACCCCGTTATCGCTTCACACTACGGCTTGCGCGATAAACGTGCGCTCAGATCCTTGAAGAGTACTTGCGCAAGCATCGCATTAATGCGCGATAGTACGCCGTCATTCGGTGACAATAGGTAAGGACGATAATTGATTAGCTAGGTATAGGGGCCGTTTTAGGTTAGGTTCATATCGGATGTTAAACGCGTCGCTAAAGATGTGCAGCGCCTAAGTATATTAGGATCTAAGATTCTGTAGCAGAATCTATTAAAAATTAGTCTGTGCATAGAAAATCTAACAGCAGAATCTAACAGTAGAATCTAACAGCAGAATCTAATAGCAAAATCCTAATACGTACTTATATATTTAATAGTAGAATATAATAGTAGAATCTATATAACTTTATTTATACTTATATATAATCTTAAACCTTCGCTTTATATTTATATATAAATATCCTAGTATCTATAAGGTTTTCTATACCCTTTTTATATTATAAGATACTAAGTATATCTAGCTTTAATACTACTTTATAACTAATAACGTAGCTAGATCTACTTAGAGAGATCTAGCTATAAGACCCTTTAGCTTAATAGATACTAGCTAGATCTTTCTATATATATTAGGATTAATAGTTCTTACTTTAGAAGATATCCTTAATTCTAGTAAGATTAAGCTGTTTTATTAGTAGTAATAAGAGATAGATAAGAAATAAAGAGTAAAATTAAGGTAGTAGGATTAAGCTTAGTTAATCTAGTAATAGAGCTAGCTAAAGAAAATCTAAAGAAGCTATTTTATATAGAATTATATAAGAATTTTAAATCTTTACTTAGTTTATTAATAGCTGCTCTTATTATTAAGATATCTATATTAAAAAATAGAAGTAAAGTTTTAATATTCCTTACGTAACTACACGCTACACAGCTACTATAGAGGATTTCTAGCTATACCTTTTAGTATAGAATTATGCTATAATTTTAGATCTACGTCTAGATTAGGTATAGCTCCTCTATATATATTAAGATTAATAGTTCTTATAGAGAACTAAGTAAGATATAGTATATATACTAGAAATATTAGCTAAGAACTAAGTACTTAAAGTCTAGAAACTAGATTAGAAAACTAAATCTAAGAGATAGCTTTTTAAGAACTAATATCTAATATTTAAGAACTAACTTCTAAAAACTAAAAACTAATTTCTAAAAACTAAGAACTAATTTCTAAAAACTAAGAACTAACTTCTAAGAACTAATATATAATATCTAAGAACTAAAAACTAAAAATTAACTTCTAAGAACTAAAAACTAACTTCTATATATATTAAAATATAAAATAAAAGACTACTATTATCTAAAAAGTAGTATATACACTAGTATATTATAGAGTAATATAGAGTAGTAATATTATACTTATAAAAGAGTAATACTACTTTTTAAGAAAGTAATATTATATATATAAAAAAGTAATATTATTTATATAGAAGAGTAATATAGCTTATTTAAAGCTTAAATTTTAATTAAAATCTATACCTATTAAGATCGCGGATTTTGCTATTAAATCTTCGAAAAATTAGCCTGTGCGTTAGAAATCTAATAGCTAATTCCAACTGCTAATTCTAATATTTAACAGCTAATTCTAATATCTAATAGCAAAATCTAATAGTAGAATCTAACAGCAGAATCTAACAGCAAAATCTAATAGCTAATTCTAATATCTAATAGCAAAATCCGCTAGTAAGATTTAACAGCAAAATCTAACAGCTAATTCTAATAGCTAATTCTAATATTTAATAGCTAATTCTAATATCTAATAGCAAAATCTAATAGCGAATTCTACTATTTAACAGCAAAATCTAACAGCTAATTCTAATATCTAATAGCAAAATCTAATAGCAGAATCTAATAGTAGTTTATAGTAAGAATGCTATTTACTTCTATATATAATCTAAAACCTAGTCTACTTTTTTTATATACAGCTAATAACTCTACTACAACTATAATTATTCTACTTAGTAGTAGCTTAGTAAAAGCTAAGTTACGTGTAAGTAGGAAAAGAAAAAGTAGCGTATTAGTATAGCTAGAAGTACTTAGTTACTTATATAAATTATCTATTCTATAAAGAGACTTTATATTAATAAAACTTATCCTCTAAGTTAAGAATCTTATATTTATTTATAAGATTCTAAAAAGACCTATCTCTATCTTCTATAGGTTTAAGTAGTACTATAAATAACTAATCTTCTATATCTTCTTTATTTACTACCTTAAGAAATAGCTACTCTAGAGGTACTTTTTCTACTATATATCTTAAGAATAGAGGTTTAATAGCCTTATACGTTTCCTATATATTCTTATTATACGTTATTACTATTTAGATCTAATCTTCTAAATAGTATATAGATCTACGCTTTATAAAAGCGTATAGTATACTACTCTTTAGTATTAAAGTAAAGATACCTATTTTAAACTTTTATCGCAATATCTACTACTATTTACTATAGTCTAGGTATTAGTTCTATAATTAGTAACGTGTAGTATAGTTATTTTTTACGTAGTTTTTATAATAAGCTTAAAAGAGCGTATAGAAAAGTTACTCCTATACTACTATTACTATTCTACGCCTTTTTATACTTATTACTTTTACTCTCTTACTTAAGACGTTTTCTAGACGTTTGTATTCTATATAAAGAGTAGATATAACCTAATAATACTTTATACTTCTAATAATATCTACTATTTTATTTTATTTTACTAATACTAATAGATTCTAAAAGCTTTTTACTTCTTTCTTTATTAAAACTATATCTATATAACCTTGCTATTTTACTTATAATAGCGTAGTTAGTATCTCTTAAGTTTTATATACTATATCTTATATACTACTTACGCTATAAAAAGAATCGCCTTTAGCTTAGAGAGCTACTACTATTATCTTTATATAAAGAAATAAATACTTACTTTTTTTATATATCTCCCTCTACGCCTAAAGTACAGCTTTCTAGTCCTATAAATAGGAGGCTATAGCTACTACTTTTATATAGTTAATTATTTTAGCTACTTTACTAACTTTAACCTTCTATAACTACTTTATAAAGTTCTAATACTTCTACTCTTTTTTAGAGAAAGTAATATTTATTCTCTTTATAGTAGCTATATCCTACGTACTAGTAACTATTTCTAGTAACGCGTAGTTAAGCTACTCTTTTAGCTATTAATTTACCTACTTTATAGTAGGCTCTCTCTATACGCGTTTTAATAAGTAATAGCTATTTTTAGTATTACTTACTTTAAAAGAAAAATACTTATCTTATAGCTATAAGTTATTATAAATTTAGTAGATAATCTTTAAGAGGTGCACTTTACTAATATACTAGTAGATCTACTCTATAGTATTATCTAGAGTATAAGTAATAAATACCTATATTAGTTCTATAGTATCTAGAAGTATATAGAAAATAGGTACTTAGAAGTTAATAGGGTTAGGGTTAGGGTTAGGGTTAGGGTTAGGGTTAGGGTTAGGGTTAGGGTTAGGGTTAGGGTTAGGGTTAGGGTTAGGGTTAGGGT